TCCAAAACCACTTCACACAGAAACTCAAACTTTATTCTGAAAGAATTCAAAAGATTAAACTTTAGTCTAGTTATTGGTGATTTTGAAAGGTAACCGTAAGTCTCCCCGAATCCTAAATAGTAGCCGCTGTTTGATTGGTTAATTCCGTTCGGCCTGTCTCGTGTTTGATTGGACGGTCATAGGTTGTTCAAAGGTTATCTATGGCGGCCCTCTACTAGGTTTTGTTAGACTCAGTATAGCAGTGTAACCAAGTTTACTTGGCATTATCAGATTGCTGGATATGTCATGGAACTCATGGTGAGTAAAGACTGAGAAATATGGACGGAACCCTTCATAAAAGGTTATGCGACAAATATGCTTCAGGCCCTTTAAACGTAAAAACTATTCATAACTCGTTTGACATGTTGTCTGGGGACGGGTTAGGATGGTGTACTCACTTGCCAACGATGTGAGTGGCGTAGCCGAGTTTCTTCAGCTCTTGTGGAAGGAGGGTGTAGTTTAGGGGAAAACAAACAGCCTGTGGATTTTGAATGACTTGATGCTGTAAAGGGAGGTTACTCTTACCACACGTACATGAGGTTGTGTCACATGTTTTAATATTGGTTTCCATGTCAATGGCTTACCACAGGTGAACAAATCTAGCTCAAACCATTGCTGTGTCTTGACGGGATATGGTTTAGGACTGTGTCTTGTCTGGATGGGGATGAAGATTGGTTCTGGGTAAAATGTGTGAATGCATGTGCATGTGGTGGACTAGAAAACGAGTACTTCATCACAACACGGTCATGCTGTTTGTGGGCGGTGGGGTAGCCTAGTGGTTAAAGCGTTGGCTTGTCATGCCGAAGACCCGGGTTCGAATGCCCACATGGGTACAATGTGTGAAGCCAATTTCTGGTGTTCACCGCCGTGATGTTGCTAGAATATTGCTAAAAGCGGCGTAAAACCAAACTCAGTCAGTCAGTCAGTCTTGAGGTAACAGTGTGTAGTTAAGTGGAAGACACACAGCCTGATTCTGACCTATCACTTGGTGGTGCAAATTTAGATAACTCTCAATCTACGTGTAGATTTGGTGGTTTTGCAGTGTTATATAATGACTCCTGAACCGCGCACACTGACTATATATATATATCAGCTGCTTATAAAACACATTTATGTTTAACTGTACATAAACGCTAATGTAATGGCTTGCTTAAAATGTGCGTCTACGCCTTGGGTGTGCTGAAAACAAGAACGGCATCAGTGAAATTGAAAACTGTGAGGGGAACAGATAATAAATTTCTTTGTTAAGAGCAGTTAGTGGTAGAATGCAAGCTTATGAATGAGCACAACATCACGCCCTAACGTCCAGCAATATGTCAAATTTTTTGCTTCCACATCACCGTTAGGCTAACCTGGCGTGTTGTAGACAGCGTCTAGTAGACAGCGTCTAAGGTTCAGGACAAAAGACTGGGACAGTGTACTGTTCACAGATGAGTCCATGGTTCATCTGGACAGCTCTAGTGGTCGCTGAATGGTCTACAGGCGTCCCGAAGAATGTTCACGCGGCCACGTCAGTGTCGGGTCATGAAGTGTTGATGAATGGGAAGACATCAAAGCTCATGGAGGATCATTATTTATCACTGTAAATGGATTGTCTCCTCTTTATGCCAATAGAGGGACGTCACACTGCGGCTGAGTATTTCACGCCAACATGTAATTGTTACACGTGCTGCTAAACACTTTTTGAGCATGCGCGACATTATTTAACTGCCATGATCGGTTGTTTCTTCAGGATACTTGCAAGAGCTGTTTTCAGTTATCTGGTGTCTACTAAGCACAGCTCCTATCGCCCCTTAATTAACACAGATTTGGTATTTGATATATTACGCCACCTTTCTGTCATTGTGTGTCGCTGTCTCCTATTACAAGGATAGATTTTATCAATGAATGTTTGTGATATAGCATTGAGCTTACGAATGATAAATATGTTACCAATATACACTATGTACAGTTACATGTCCAGTTGCGTCCCTTAGTCGTGATATGATCTGCTAGTCGTGGGTTCGAACTACACATAGATGCCAATTAGGATGTAACCTGAATACAATATGCACGTATAACATAAAGACTGTTTACAGAGGCGTCACAACTAACTCCATCGTCCTCCCAGTACGTACCTGGAGACCAGATTTGAAGGGATAAACTCCAGACATAAAGGCACTCCGGGATCTGAAACATACGACACTCGTAATGAATAATAACGCTCGTTATTTGTTGTCAGATATTATTTCTTTGTACAACGAAATATAAACCCAAATAGTTTGAAGTGGGTAGAGTGTGTCGATATTTGAAGTCACTTACGGACTGCATAGTGGCTGCACGTAGTTCCTGTCCAGTATCACGCCTTCTCGCGCCATTTTGTCTATATTAGGTGTCAGCATGTCACCATTCCGGAAGCCAACATCGTTCCAGCCTGCAAAAACCAACATGTTCTTACAAACCTGAAATTTAGCTATGTAAACTCACGGTGCGCGAAAGGAAAGTTGACACTTTAAAAATGAAATTACAAGCATTTAAAAACACAAATACATACTAAACGAAGACAAACATCATCGTCCTAGAAAACCAATGTTCTATGCAGAAGAAATTACACGTCACATGCCTTGGGACACATGGTTACTCGACTGACAGCTCAGCGTTACATGGACGACATTCTTCGTCCAAGTGTCCCATCATTGCTAAAACCTCTGGGTTGTCATGGATCTCTTATAACAGACAATCAACACGAACTGATCGAAGTCCTCCACGACGAATGGTTACGTATACCACGTGACTTTGTAAGAAGACTGACCTTTTCTTTTCGCCGTAGAGGTTTTGCGTGTATGGTCGGAGTGGGTGGCCATGCACGATATAAATCTGATGTACTATTGACCTTGAGCAAAAGCGTGTTTTTGATACCCAACTTGGGCAACTGTCATGCCAAGACCGTTGTTGTAGGACTGTACTCATGATTAACTATAGATTTCGTTGTGATCTTGATTTGTTAAATACATTTTACATCATGCATCTATCATAGGTGGTTGTAAAATTAGACTTATATACATGTAAACCGATTTCTTTTGTTACTTTTACACGACAGTTACGTTTGTGTGACTATGGTCAGGAAATGGTACAGGAATCGAAGTTCTTTGGCTACATGATTACTGTCATAAGACGACATAATTCAACGAGTTACACAAACCTTAATGCATTCCACAACCATTAGTCCTCTTGGAGCATGGGTTTTAAATTCACCAATAAAGAATAATATTCTGGCACCAATGACGTGAATCGGGAAGGTCTTTCGGACATTCGTCGTCCTAAGACATACACACAGTTAAAAACATCACGAGAACACTATGCAGATGACGAAATACTATTAGTCATCAACACTTGTACTTGAACAATTGCACAGTGACCCAGTGTGAACTGAACCAGTGCGCTTTAAGACTGCCACGGTGCATTGACAGATAAAGGGCAGCCTCTGCCTGCAACCTGCTGTTCACCAGACACCGATACCGTGGTCAATGTGAGCGGCGTGTGTTTTATTCCTTACTTTGGGCGCTGCAACAATGCAATTTAACAAATGAATAAAAACTGACCAGAGCTGTTTTTCTTCTTTCCAGAAAGGATATATGCTCTATAAACCTTTGAAATGGTCGGAAAATTTTTAAAGGATGTGGTACACACATAGTGTCTGGTACGGGAACATACATAAGAATAACGTTGTTACGTCCAACTTATATTCCTAGTTAATCGAAGCAAGAAACCAATGATCTGGAACCAGTGGAAAAACACAAAGTATGCACTTAAAGCTTGGAATTTTCCAAACGTTATCAAAATGCACCTACAATGAAACCAATCGCCCAATCACTGTCAAAAGGTTAAAAGAAATACTTATCCAGTCAATCTCCATTGAATAACTATGACTTGTCTGTTATATTTTCCACCATCAGATATGGGTGTGTCCAATACACTTTATATAGCCACAAAGTCCATGTTTAGCTAAACATACAAACTAAACGAAGATATTAAGGTAACTGTTACAAACAACGTGTAAGGTTTTCGATTTATAGACTTTACCTAGATCATCCGCGACGATGAATACGATATTGGGTCGCTCTGCGAGGACAACGCCGATGAAGGCGAAGACGAGGGCTGCGACTGTAGTCGACATTATCGTGAGTTCATCTTCACCATCCAGGTCTCAAATGAACATGTCTTCAAGCGTTTGGGTGTCGTGTGATGTGGATCAGACAGACATGAGGTGTACGTTGTACATGTAGGAAAGAAATCAGCTGATATATACTGACAGCCTTGACAAAGGTCAAATGCACAAAGATAACACAAGTTGTTATCATCGTTTAAGGGGAATATACAAGTCGTACAACTGATATTGGTAACTCCGATTTTAATACGAGTCTGGATGATGTAATCGAATGCTGCTTTTCTAAGGAAAATAGGATTTATCTATATTTTGCCACTGAGACTAAAAGATCAATTCAATTTGTTATTGTCCCTAACACCAACACAGACTGACTGTTCTTGCTTTGTTGAGTCAGTGGATGACCTCTAAGGTATAGAAACTTCGATATCCACACGACCACCCTGGCAGCATTTCCCCACTTTCTAACTGGCATTGTGCCAAGGTACACTCCTCAAAGGGGTGGTCTGGACCACCAATTGTCCAACTTCCATTTTTTGTGGAAGCCACGGTGAGGGGGTTAGGCGTCTGACTTTTGTGTTGGCGATTGGGTTCCCGACTCTGAGAACGAGCGGTATAAAAATGATTTCAGTTTGTAGGATGGGATGACCAGTATAATTCCGATTTCATCATCTACAATCTGGTTTATTAAAATCGGAATTACCAATGTCAGTTTAACTACGACCTGTATATTCCTCTTTCAGCGATGGTAACAACATGTGTTATCTTTGTGTATATCAACCGTGTCAAGGTTGTCAGTATATATCAGCTGATTTCTCACCTACAACATACACTTCATACTGTGTCTGCCCCGAAAGCACCACATCACACGACACCGAGGTAGTTTGCAAACGCTTGAAGACATATTCATTTGAGACCGGGATGGTGAAGGTGAACTCACGATAATGTTGACAACAGTGGCAGCCTTCATCTTCGCCTTCATCGGCGTTGTCCTCGCAGAGCGACCCAATATCGTATTCATCGTCGCGGATGATCTAGGTAAAACGTCTATCAATCGGAAACATGTTTGTGACAAGTTCTTTGTAACTGTATCTTCGATTAGTATGTATGTTTAACTTAACATAAACTTTCGAGCAATACAAGGTATACTGTACACACCCATATCTGATGATGGACAATAAAACAGACAAGGCATGGTTATTCAATCGATATGGATTGGATTTGATTTCGTTTACATTTGGGGGCATGGTGGGCGAGGTGTCTAAGGTGCCAGGTTAGTGATCCAGCCAGCTTGAGGTGACGGAATCGAGCCCTCCTGTGATCGGGTGTAAAAACCTTGGAGTCAACTTTGTGTGCAGACTCGTTCAGTGGTGTAACAACCCCTAGTGTACAGTACACAGCCCTGTGCACTTAAACTAACCCACGAATCCGTTGGTATCTGACCAGATGGTGGCCACATGATACGCGCAAACTCCTTTTTGCAGGGACAGCAACGTGCAGTAAACTTGGACAAAGAACTGTGACTATGTGTCCCAGTCCACCCAGCTGTAAATGGGTACCTCGTAAGGATGAGAAAGCCACAATAACTCGGTGCGCCTAGTGGCCGCAAGAGTTGTATGATCACCGGGGAGTTGAGATTGATAATACGATGTTTTGTTGAGATTGACATCCAGTGATCAAGGGGGAAAACTATCAGCGTTTTGTGCATGTACTAGATTCATGGATATGTGCGCTATATAATTATCCTATAATAAATAATAATTATAATAATAATAATAACATTAAATTTGATGAGTTTCGGCGACTGTTTTCAGGTTTTGATAATATTTGGGATCTTTTGGTAAGTTTTATGTGTTTACTTTCATTTTCTTTCACTGCCTTTCTGTACTTTCTTACGCTGAGTTTGACTGGAGTAACTCTACATGACTTCATAATAAATAGATTTTGTGGGTTAACAGTCTCAACGTCCACTTCTGGGTTATGTTAACTAGGAAAATGAGTTGGCAGCAACACCGTTTTGGACCACGTCTTTCTGATGTATATCCCTGCACCCGCCGCTATGTATGTACCATACCATTTCAAGGTCCTGGGCCGATTCTCAATATGACAGAGATGACTGCCCTTCTAGAAAGAAAACAAATCAACACTGACCAGCATTCATTGCCAAACTGCATTGTTGCAGCGGCCAAAGTAAGCAATAAAACACACGCCGCTCACGCTGGCTGTAGTTATCTAATCGGTGTCTGGTGAACTGCAGGTTGCAGACAGAGGCTGTCCTTTATCTGTCGGCGCACCCTGGCAGTCTTAAAGCAGACAGGTTCACTAACCCCGACCATTGTGCGATTGTTCAAGTGCAGGTCCACTGTTGGTGACAAATCCCATTTCCACGCCCGCATAAGTTGGTCGTAATATTTCTAGCTGTATGTATGTCTCAAGACGACGAATTGCCCTGAGACCTTCCTGATTGACGTCATTGGTGTCGGAATGTTATTCTTTATTGGTGAACTTAAATCCGTGCTGAAGGAGGAGTAATGCTTGTGGAATGCATTTTGGATAATATAACTTGTTGAGTTATGCCGCCGTCGTATGACAGTAATCATCTAATCAAAATATTCTTTTGGTACCATTTCCTGACCAGAGAAACACCAAGGTAACTGTCGTGTAAAACTGACAAAAGAAATCGCTGTATATTAGTCTTGTTTAAAAACTATCTAAGATAGATGCATGGTGTAAAATGCCTTGATAAGATCAAGAAATCTGCAGTTAATCATGAGTACAGTCCTACAGCACGGTCTTGGCATGACAGTTGTCCAATTTGGGATATCAAAAACATGCTTTCAACTTAGTGAAAATGGAGCACAATTTACTGAAGGTCACACTTATACATGTATCGTGTATGGCCACCCACTCCGACCATACACGCATGCGCAGAACCTCTACGTTGAAAAGAAAAAGTCTTCTGATGAGGTCACACGGTTTAAGTCGCCAATTGTCTTGAAAGGCCTGGATCAGTTCTTGTTGGTTGCCTGGAGTATGTGGTCTCTGTCATACAAGATCCATCACATCCCAGTGGATGTAGAAATGATGGGACATTTGGATGAAGAATGTCGTCCATATAACGTTGAGCTGTCAGTCGAGTAACCATGTGCTCCAAGGCATGTAGCTTGTAACCTTTTCTGCATAGAACATTGTTGTTCTAGGACGATATATGTTTTGTCTTTTAAATACTTGCCATTAAATTTTAAAGTGTTATAGTTTCTTTCGGCTGTGAGTTTACATAGTTGATGTAGCATGTACTGTATAGAACACTGTTGTCCTAGGACGATGTGTTTTGTCTTGGTCTAGTCTGTATTTGTGTTTTTAAATACTTGATATTTCATTTTTAAGGGTTAACGTTTCTTTCGGCAGTGAACTGACATAGCTAATCAAAGTTAAGGTTTGTAAGAACATGTTGGTTGTTGCAGGCTGGAACGATGTTGGCTTCCGGAACGGTGACATGCTGACACCTAATATAGACAAAATGGCGCGAGACGGCGTGATACTGGACAGGAACTACGTGCAGCCACTATGTAGTCCGTAAGTGACTCAAACTTCAAATATCGAAACACTCTACCTACTTACGTTTTTTTGAAAGTTAGTATAATAAAAATATTAGTGCGATTCTTTCCAATCCAGATAGATAAACCAAAACATACACTTCGTTGTACAAAGAAATAGTCATTAACAACAAATAACAATTCATTACGAGTGTCATAATTATGTTTCAGATCCCGGAGTGCCTTTATGTCTGCAGTTTATCCCTTCAAATCTGGTCTCCAGGTAAGTACTGGGAGGACGATGGAGTTAGTAAGTGGGGTAGGTGTGACGCCTCTGTAAACAGTCTTTATGTTATAGTGCAGCGTGCATGTTGCAATGGGGGAACGCGTAAAGGATTTAGGTTACTTACATACTTATGTATGTGTTGTTCGAATCAACGACTAGCTGATCAAGGGACTCAAATGGACCTGTAACTATGTTTTATTAAAATTGTAATTGCTACAACACATTCACATTTGTCTTATCAATGTTATATAAAAAAAAATCATTGACAAAACCTATGCTGGTTGCAGGAGACAGGGCGACTCTTTGAAGGGAGTTTATCGTAACGCAGGTATTATCAATGCCAATATCGGTTGTGTTCAGCATTTGTGCTGATAGAGGGGAGAAAGTGGTTGTGCAGTGAGAGCACCACATAAGTGGAAACAAGAGTGGAAGACTTGTGGAGAGAGACACAGCCAACCATGGCTGATCAGCAATGTCTACCTCGTGCACGTGGATTCACAGATACCACCCAGAACTAATCCTAATTCTTGTCCAGTTGAGACACAACCGCGGTGTCGGCTACATTTACTAATCTACAATCTAAAAAAGGACAACACGATGAACGTGTAATAAAACCCCATGCACATATGGTACGAGTAATCTCCCTTTACAGCATCAAGTCATTGGCGCCGCACAGGCTGTTTGTTTCCCCCTAAACTACACCCTTCTTCCACAAGAGCTGAAGAAACTCGGCTACGCCACTCATATCGTTGGCAAGTGAGTACAGCATCCTAACACCTCACCAGACAACATGTCAAACGAGTTATGAGTACGTTTAAAGGGTCTTATGCATAAGTGTCGCATAACCTTGAGATATGTCCATAGCCCTCATTTGTTACTCACCGATGACAACGAGGTGTAGTGATGATGTCCACGGAATATCCAACAAGCTGATAACGACTAACCCCTCATACACTTCAGATGGCATCTTGGTTTCTGTGACTGGGACTGCACTCCGACCTATAGAGGCTTCGATACTTTCTTCGGATATTATGATGCAAAAGAGGACTATTACTGGCATAATACTTGTAAGTACTAAAAATAAACGGATGCACTAAATCCACCTCAAAATGGTGTGTGTGTGTGTGTGTGTGTGTGTGTGTGTGTGTGTGTGTGTGTGTGTGTTGCGTGCGTGCGTGTGTGTATGTGTGTGTGTGCGTGCGTGCGTGCGTGCGTGCGTTCGTGCGTGTGTTTGTGTGTGTGTGTGTCTGTGTGGTCAAAGACAATCACTTCGCTGTGCTGCATTGCGTCACCTCGGCGCGACGTAGGCATTAGATCGTGGGCTCGTGTGTTGCAGGGGTGAGTCAATAAGAATGACAAGCTGCGGCTGTGTTTGGGAGGTGACTTTTATTCCAGTATCAATTTGTGATTTGATCAGTCAATCAACCACCCTGTAAGAAAATATAACGAAGAATGATACAATTACCTAAACACGCAACACCTTCAGTTTCACATTACAAATTCCGAATATGTTATTGTTACTATTATTATTACTAGTACGTAAAACACTACATAGTTGTTATAATGATCATATAAACGATCAACCTAAATAGTCTTATGTGTGATAATTAAATACATGACATAAAACAATGCTTACATACCCTGTGAGTGACACCGGGTGTATCTATAAACCCATGTTTACATACCCTGTGAGTGACACCGGGTGTATCTATAAAACAATGTTTACATACCCTGTGAGTGACACCGGGTGTATCTATAAAACAATGTTTACATACCCTGTGAGTGACACCGGGTGTATCTATAAAACAATGTTTACATACATACCCTGTGAGTGACACCGGGTGTATCGGTTTACATACCCTGTGAGGTATCTATAAAACAATGTTTACATACCCTGTGAGTGACACCGGGTGTATCTATAAAACCAATGTTTACATACCCTGTGAGTGACACCGGGTGTATCTATAAAACAATGTTTACATACCCTGTGAGTGACACCGGGTGTATCTATAAAACCAATGTTTACATACCCTGTGAGTGACTGTGTTTAGTGAGTGACACCGGGTGTATCTATAAAACAATGTTTACATACCCTGTGAGTGACACCGGGTGTATCTATAAACACATGTTTACATACCCTGTGAGTGACACCGGGTGTATCTATAAACCAAAAACAATGTTTACATACCCTGTGAGTGACACCGGGTGTATCTATAAACCAATGTTTTTATCTATAAAACAATGTTTACATACCCTGTGAGTGACACCGGGTGTATCTATAAACCCATGTTTAAACCGGGTGTATCTATAAAACAATGTTTACATACCCTGTGAGTGACACCGGGTGTATCTATAAAACAATGTTTACATACCCTGTGAGTGACACCGGGTGTATCTATAAAACAATGTTTACATACCCTGTGAGTGACACCGGGTGTATCTATAAACCAATGTTTACATACCCTGTGAGTGACACCGGGTGTATCTATAAAACAATGTTTACATACCCTGTGAGTGATAAAACAATGTTTACATACCCTGTGAGTGACACCGGGTGTATCTATAAAACAATGTTTACATACCCTACACCGGGTATCTATAAACCAATGTTTACATACCCTGTGAGTGACACCGGGTGTATCTATAAACTATATGTTTACATACCCTGTGAGTGACACCGGTGTGAGTGACACCGGGTGTATCTATAAAACATACCCTGTTTACTATACCCTGTGAGTGACACCGGGTGTAGGAGTGATCTATAAAACAATGTTTACATACCCTGTGAGTGACACCGGGTGTATCTATAAAACAATGTTTACATACCCTGTGAGTGACACCGGGTGTATCTATAAAACAATGTTTACATACCCTGTGAGTGACACCGGGTGTATCTATAAAACAATGTTTACATACCCTGTGAGTGACACCGGGTGTATCTATAAAACAATGTTTACATACCCTGTGAGTGACACCGGAGTGACACCGGTGTATCTATAAAACAATGTTTACATACCCTGTGAGTGACACCGGGTGTATCTATAAAACAATGTTTACATACCCTGTGAGTGACACCGGGTGTATCTATAAACCAATGTTTACATACCCTGTGAGTGACACCGGGTGTATCTATAAACCAATGTTTACATACCCTGTGAGTGACACCGGGTGTATCTATAAACCAATGTTTACATACCCTGTGAGTGACACCGGGTGTATCTATAAACCCACACTACTGTTCTGGATTATGACATTCCTAAAACAAATAATAAGGACAATATCTTATTATGGCGACATTACATTGTAGGAAGTCAACTTCTTACTCAGCAATACATTCAAACAACCAATCAAACACATACATACATTTAGACATTTCATACTGATAAATTGACCCGTGAAGATCCAGGGTAGAATAGGTCTTCAGCAACCCATTCTTGTCATGAAAGGCGACTATGCTTGTCGTAAGAGGCGACTAACGGGATTGGGTGGTCAGGCTCGCTGACTTGGTTGACACATGTCATCGGTTCCCAATTGCGCAGATCGATGCTCATGCTGTTGATCACTGGATTGTCTGGATTGTCAGACTCGATTATTTACAGACCTTCGCCATATAGCTGGAATATTGCTGAGTGCGGCGTGAAACAAAACTCGCTCACTAACTCATACTGATAAATTAATAGGTATATTGGCTACTTGATATAAAATATTAATATTTACAATACTTTATATTATTTATAACATATTCAATGGATACGTTGTAATTCTATTTAGGTAGATATAAAGTAGATATCTAACCTGAGCTAGGTTGAGTGGCTTGTCCAGTGCATAGTTGTAAGTAGTAGGACCAGAAAAGTGTGCAAGTGCTATGGAGGAAAACTGTAGTTGATTGATATTAATCAAATACCGGTAGTAAGCAGATGGCTGTTGTATCAAAAACTAGATTGTTGAGGCGGGAATGAAATAGCCTGTCCAGACTGCTTTGATAAGTAATCCAAGCACATACAACTAATGAACATAAAACAACTTGAACTGATAATCTAAAACTTTATTCCTAAACAATATAAACACAATATCCTGTTACATTTCTATGTGCACATGGGTTTTGCCCAAGTGGTATACGACCATCATCACTTCAGGCTGTACTACCAAGTGGTACACGACCATCATCACTTCAGGCTGTACTACCAAGTGGTACACGACCATCATCACTTCAGGCTGTACTACCAAGTGGTACACGACCATCATCACTTCAGGCTGTACTACCAAGTGGTACACGACCATCATCACTTCAGGCTGTACTACCAAGTGGTACACGACCATCATCACTTCAGGCTGTACTACCAAGTGGTACACGACCATCATCACTTCAGGCTGTACTACCAAGTGGTACACGACCATCATCACTTCGGGCTGTACTACCAAGTCATGCTCACACTAGTGAAATACTGTTCAACGCAGCGTCTAACCCAGGTCACTCACTCACTCACTCACCTCACTCACTCACTTACTCACTCGCAGGGGTGAGTCCAGGTATTTGAGAAGTGGGGTCTGGCGTGATGGTCTGAGGGTGGGGCAGGATGTTACCATGCCATATGAGAGACTGACACAGGTACACACATCATGTGTCGGACGTGGATTCCGGGCTTGCACGACTGGAATCCCTCTTCATCAGATACACACTTGTCTGTCAAGTCATGAGTGGGATGGACATTACCTTTACTATACCGCATATACTGCACATAGGCTGCCTTCGAAACGTTCAAATCTATGATATAGCAAATTGGTAAAACCCTCGTCGAAAATCAAATGTACAAGCCAACATTTCTACATGCTCACTTGCTGTGTCGTGTTTCAGCCGGGTTTTTAGACTTCAGGAACAATAAAGAAGCAGAATGGGACTACCAAGGAAATTACTCTGCGGTGAGACAATTTTACATACCTTAGGTGAACCTTTCAGTAAAACAAAAGGATACCTCGGTGACGTTAGTCTTAAGGCCTTATGTTAGTGATACGTAGGATCAAAAGGATACCTCGGTGACGTTAGTCTTAAGGCCTTATGTTAGTGATACGTAGGATCAAAAGGATACCTCGGTGACGTCAGTCTTAAGGCCTTATGTTAGTGATACGTAGGATCAAAAGGATACCTCGGTGACGTCAGTCTTAAGGCCTTATGTTAGTGATACGTAGGATCAAAAGGATACCTCGGTGACGTCAGTCTTAAGACCTTATGTTAGTGATACGTAGGATCAAAAGGATACCTCGGTGACGTCAGTCTTAAGACCTTATGTTAGTTATACGTAGGATCAAAAGGATACCTCGGTGACGTTAGTCTTAAGACCTTATGTATGTGATACGTAGGATCAAAAGGATACCTCGGTGACGTCAGTCTTAAGGCCTTATGTTAGTATTACGTAGGATATCAAAACATCGCAGTACAAATGCTGCTGTCACTGTGTCCACCGTCTCATCATGTCATGTTTGGTGCAAGAAAAGAAACATGGGATATTTATGTATTTGGCCAATACTATATGTTGTATCAGCAGAGAGACGAAGATTTAACAGGCTAATATGGCGTGTTTAAGAGATATGCATTGTCGGTAGTTATTTTGGTTTTTATTTTTATTTTTTTGTTCCCTGTCACGATCCAGTGGGTTTTCACAGAGAAGATCCTGGATGTCATCAGTGCCCACGACAAGGACCAGCCACTGTTCCTGTACCTGCCATTCCAGAACGTTCACGCCCCTACAGAGGTGAGACTTCCGTAGTATGTACAAAACCTGTTGACGAGAGAACAGGCATCATCAGTCCTACCCCTCAGATAGTTTGTGTAGATATGTAAATGATATTCATATTCTATGTAAAACAAAAATGTCATCTGTATGACAACAGAGTTATTCATGTGTTATTGACTATAGATGACTACAGAACTATGCAGATATTATTCAGATAACTACACGATACTACAAACCGAAGCATGAGTCTCATTAACCTATTCAGACAATGACCGATCCGAATTTTGTCGTGTGAAAGTGAAAGTAGACATCATAAACAACTATGGTTTCACTGAATTCCAATTCCTTGTTTTATAAGAAAAGGCAGCATGACCTTAACTAAGACGTCACAAACTGCCCCTGTTTGATGAGGTCGTAAAATGATTCTCAATGCATCTGGCACACTGGTTACACCTGTTACGTGGGAATTTTTTGCGCTTATTCAGTGTAGTTCTGTAACGCACAATGTGATTGATATAATATCAAGTCCGTACCAGACCGTCAAACCTTTCTAGCGGGAGAGCCACGTTTTGAGATTCCACGATTTCCAGGTTTCCTTCTGTCAGAGCTCGCTGTACGACAGACCACGCTGCACGACGTGTTTGCAAGGGTTAGAATGAGTGTAGTGTTGCAATATACAAGTGCTTAGATGTATCAAATAATACTGATTAATATTAATGTATCCAGCTAAATGAATTGGTCTGGACTAGTTATTGTACTAAGTTGCGCAATAGGACGGGACCCAGTCAACAGGAAACGAGACTGTTGTGTAATCAATGTTTTGACTTGTATTATTCACCTGTTATCGGATACAGATTGTATTTACCTGCATGTATGTTCAGCTCACATTTAGTACACTCTTAACTGCAGGTACCCAAGATATATGAAGATAGGTTCCCACATGTTGTGAACGCCGGAAGGCGTGTATTCAGTGGTGAGTACCAGCCTTGTAAAGACATGTCACCAGACATGTTCAAGCCAATTAAACCAAGACTTTTGCCAGACTGATAGCTTGTTCACAATTGATTTAACTGAATCGAGAGCAGCAAGTGAGTGAGTTAAAGTTTTACGTCGCATCGGCAATAATTTCAGCCATATAGCGACGAGATCAAGGCAGCGCACATTCACAAATCTATCTTAATGACAAAGTTAAAGGGGGTTTATTAAAATATATATTTCTTACAGTATTATTTACAAATAGGAAAAGTGACAACAGATTTAATATGAGGCAGTTTGGCATACACATATACTTATGGTGATCATGGTGTATGCATTACATTCAGTGGAACAGACAATACAGGAAGTCGAAGTCTTTATAAGAGTAAACATGACCATGAGATGGGGTGCTTTGCATGTATCTACTCACAAACCTTTCAGATGAGAGGATTTAACATGACCGTGTATCAGAAACGTTCAGATTTCATAAATTACAAGCGAGTCCTGTAATTCCGCGCGTCCGGTAATTCTGCGCAATAGCGTACTTCCGTATCAAGGTTAACATCTTCTGATACCACATTTACGCTTGAAATAGGGACATTTCTACAGGAGACTGGCTTTTAATCACTAAAGGTAAGTAAATAACAGTAACTGACAGATAAATTGACAGTTTTATGAAAATTCGTTTGCTTCAGACTTTTAAACCTTTTTCTTCATTATTCATAATTGGATTTAATATGAAACACTCTTTCTTACATTGATGAAGTGATTTTTGAAAATAATCTGGCCCTAATACGCTTCCATACTTCGGGTCTCTAACTGGATGTTATGCGCATCAGTTGCTGCGCAGAATTACCGGACAGCAAGTGTTGTCGTCAGAACGCCGGTAAGGTCAACCGTAGGGCATAATGCAACGTTAGAATCTTATACTCGTCAATATAACTTATATTTCCAGGTAAATATGATGCATACCAGCATGTTAAGAGACTTTAGTTGCCGTGTTGCGATCCATGTGCTTAGGTGCGCGGAATTACCGGTCGGCATTGTATTATTTGTTTAGCATTGTGCAGTGATTCAGGTTCATGAGACAAAAACACAATTGTTAATTATTCACGTGCTGCATGATATCAATATTTGCCATCCTTACAGGGATGGTGAACGCCCTGGATGAAGCTATAGGGAACGTGACCGACGCCTTGAAGGAGAAGGGACTGTACGACAACACGTTGTTCCTGCTGACAGCTGATGTACGTCATTACGTGTGTTAATTAATGCAGTAACCTGTATAGTCCAGCAATGTGAACTGTAACCATACATAGACCAGATAAACATAGCGACGGGGTACGGTGCCATTAATAAACTCGCAATACTAACAGAGTTTGGCCCGCTGCTGTTCTGACATTTTCAGACTGGTTAAATCAAAAACGTATATATTTGCGAAAGAAAAAAACCCATCCACGTCACAATAACCTTTACATTTAACCACCACGTTGAAGCAAGTGGGGTTTGACTGTGCATTGCCACGGTGACTGATTATATTTTGACAGACAAGATAGGAAGATTGGCAATAATTTGGTTGGAGCAGGACAACTGCCGCCCGGACTATTGCCACCCAGTTATTTTACTATAATAGTGAGGACAACTGCCACCCAGAACTTTATGTAAGTGCATTTGCGAAAATGAATGCAGGTTGTCAATAAACACAAATTTAGATGATGAAAAAATGTTTTCTTCGTATATTCATATTCTGACTTTGAGCAACTTTTAACTTTGATGAAATTTTGAATGTGTGTGGACGTTCTGCGCAGTGTAGCCCACAACATTATTAATTATTAATATACGATATTAATATAGCGCACATAGCCAGGCAACTAGTGCTTGGTCAAGGCGCTGGTATTTATTCCGTCGATCATTGGATGTCAATCTCAACGGTACATCGTGTAATCTCAAGTCCCTGTTTGTAATGAGCTCCTCCAGATGAACTTTAAGAAATGTGTTATGTGTACATGACGAAAAATGTACTTGTGCATTTATTTGCAAGTGCTGTGAGTGCAAAGATGCTAAGTGCAATGTTATAGGTATTATGAAAGTAATAGTATATGCATCATATGCAGTTCTGTTTCATGTAATGCCATTTCGGTAATGCTTGGTCTAAATTCTAGATTGTAGTTGATGTACAAGATTTGTCTTGTGTTGCTGGAAGTTGGTCATATGGAAGAATCTGGTATTAGTTATGGAATACCATGTCAAACCCAAGAAAAGTTGGAAAAGAAATAAAAAACAATTTTTTTATGTTTTGGTATGCCTGTCAGCATACATCGGTACATCGGTTACATCTTACACATTTACTCCTGGACGGTGTCAGTATTAACAGGTTATAAGCACTCATAAGACTGACTTGACATTTCAGTATTAGTATCAGAGGTGAGTGAACTATTATCTGTAGCTGCCATATTCACTATGACATATACTGAACGTTGTTATTGATGTTGTAAGTGTTGAAGCTTGGACGCTTGTTGCAGAACGGAGGTGAGATATTCAGCTACGGCAACAACTGGCCCCTGAGAGGAGGCAAACACTCTCTGTGGGAGGGGGGTACGAGGGTGACGGCGTTCATGGCAGGGGCGGGACTCCAGAAGACAGGCTACACGTATGATGGGTACGATAGTTTCTCCGGTGACACCCGTGTCATAGCAAGTGTTTTGAAATCAGAGAGTTAGTTGATGTGTTCGTCACGCCGAGCACCCTGTCTAACAGGGGAACAATGTTTGGACTGAATTCCTGGTGTAGTTCATGCATATGTTGCTGGCAATGAATACTATCAACATGGTTGCTGGTCGATGTATGATGAAGGGCTGATTTCATGTACAGTACAATCAGAAATTATTGAGAATTTAAATATTGTAAAAAAAAATTAAACTGTTCACTCATTACTCACGGATTAAATGTGAATATTAGCAGAACATAATTCCAGATTCAAAGACAGGTGAACAGTTGGTATTTTGTCAAGTCACCATGGGCAGCAATGCAGGATTCAATGTGGCGGGGCATACTACTGATCAAAGAAGTTAGAAAGTCGTGGTCCATGCTGTCCAAATATCGGACCACCTCTTCTTTCATTTCAGCCATATTTGTCAGATTTTTCTGATTGACACTTTCCTTCATATGTCCCCAAACATTTTCTATCGGATTTAGGTCAGGGCTATAGCTTGGCCAATCTAATAATGTCATACTTTGGGTCCGAAACCAGGCCTGTGAATGCTTTGAACGATGTTTTGGGTCGTTGTCCTGCTGGAAAATCCATAATGTCCATAGAACACGTGAGCAGATGGAAGTACATGTCCCTCGAAAATATGTGTGTACCGCTCACTGTTCATATTACCTTCAAATACACAGAGAGGCGTTGCCCCTAACACAGATATGCCACCCCACACGTTAAATTTCGGACTGTACTTTGGGCACTGATACACAGGTTTTTCAGTTTGTTTGGTCCAGAATTTCAGTGTATTAGGAAACAGCCACACAGAACTTTCATCTGAGAAAATCACATTGTCCCAGTTAAAATTTCTATGCTGTAAGCACCATTTCAACCTTCGCTCCTTTTGTTCAGGTTTCATGATCGGTGATGGAATTCCTCGACTTTTCTGCCAATCCATTGCATGCAGCTCAGTTCTAATTGTCTCCTTACAGACAGCCAAAGTTCCACTATCAATCATATCCAGCCTTAAGTTTTCTTAACTCCTTCGTTTGTTTCTAGAAATAAGAATACCAAGCCGCCTCCTGTCACCGACAACCATTTTCTGGGCCTACTTGCGCCTCCCTGGTGCTCAATGCCATATCCATTTGCAGTATTTTTCAAAACACGATAAAGAGTGGACAAAAGGATGCCTGTTCTACTTGAAATCACTTTAGCTGATCTGATGTCCTTGTTATAATACTCTAAAATCAACTTCCTCTTCTCTAAATCATCCATAGTGAGGATCACTGAAAATGACGTCTGCTAGCATGTAAACAAAGGGGGATAACTTTTCACAAACTAATGAAAAAGGATTAACGGAGTTGTCTCTCTTGAATGAAACCAAGCACTTGATAGCTGGTCAAGGTTGTTTATACTAGAAATCCAATTAAACATATTTCTAAAATTCTCAATAATTTCTGGTCATACGATATGTTGCTGGTTGATGTCATGTATTTGCTGGTTGACGTCATGTATATTGATTGTCGACGTCATGCATGTTGCTGGTTGATGTCATGTATGCTGCTGGTTAATGGTATGCATGTTGCTGGTCTATGTCATATATTTTGCTTGTCGATGTCATGCATGTTGTTGGTCGATGTCATGTATGATGAAGGGTTGGTTTCACGTATGTTGCTGGTTGATGTCATGTATGTTGCTGGTCGATGTTATGTATATTACTGGTCTATGTTATGTATATTGCTGGTTGACGTCATGTATATTGCTGGTTGACGTCATGATTGTTGCTACTCGTGGTTGATGCGATGTATGTTGCTGGTCGATGCCATGTATGTCGCTGGTCGATTCCATGTATATTGCTGGTCGATGCCATGTGTATTGCTGGTCCATGTTATGTATATTGCTGGTCGATGTCATGTATGTTGCTGGTTGGTGTCATGTATGTTGCTGGTTGATGTCATGTATGTTTTGCTGGTTGATGTCATGTATGTAGCTGGTTGACGTCATGTATGTTTCTAGTTGATGTCATGTATGTTGCTGGTTGACGTCATGTATGCTGCTGGTCGATGTCATGTATATTGCTGGTCGATGTCATGTATGTTGCTGGTTGATGTCATGTATGTTTCTGGTCGATGTCATGTATATTGCTGGTCGATGTCATGTATATTGCTGGTTGATGTCATGTATGTTTCTGGTTGACGCCATGTATGTTGCTGGTTGATGTCATGTATGTTGCTGGTCGATTTCATGCGTGTTGATGGTTGATCCTGAAATGTGTAATGTTGTTCTGCAGAAAGTCAAATACTCTTGATAAGATGACAGTTTTAGTAGCATTATGGATGTTTAAGTAATACTTACAGATTAAAGGTCTGGATGAACAAAAGATTCAGGTCGTCAAACAATCTTGCTTTACTTCTTTTTTTTCAAATCAATTATGCCACTGTTTGCATAGGATGATCCACGCTGTAGACTGGCTGCCCACTTTGGTTTCCGCCGCCGGGGGAACGCCGGGTAAGTGTCCTGAAATACTGTGCAAATAAAATAGGGAATCACGAAATGTAAAGTTTAAATACAAGGATTAATACTGTTGAATCTGTACTGGTGCTACCTAATCGTCAAGATTCCTGTCCACTAAAAACCTCTCCGATGTCCCCATGATGAGCCGTCGTGCTATGGCAACTGCATTGCGGTTTATATGCTGCAGTGACCGACAGAGATGGAATAGATCAGTGGGACTCTATCAGGAATGGCCTTCCATCAAAGAGAACCGAGTTCATCTACAATCTGGACTATCTTGTCATTCCGCTGGAAGGTCAGGCTGGCATTAGGTAAGGGCTTGAAACACATCACAGGAAGTAAATAGATCTTACATAAACTGAAGGACTAAAGATAGTATTTTTAAGCAATTATAATTTAAAGGAAAGTATATTGGTAAGATGACTAGTGAAAGATCCGCAGGTGTATATAACTACTTCTTAATCAAGTTATATTTTTAAAATACAGCCATTGAAAGTATTCTTTGAGTGCTTGCTGAGCGTTTCGCTGCTGAGAGCTATAGCGTCTTAGTTCCTCGGTGTTTTAAAACAATAGTCCCCAGTTAAGAGTCTTCCTTCAAGCAACCGGACCCCACGATACGTCTGCAGCCTTTAAGAGAAGAGAAAATGTCCAAAGAAAGGCACTAAAGGCAATGTGACGAAAGGCATGCAGATTCTCTAATTATTGCCAAACATTTTCTGTCATAGAAATATTTTGCAGCAGCTCTATAGCTTGTATCATGTGCCTTTTCAGGATGGACAATTACAAATTGTTGCTTGGTTACCCTGGACAGCAAGATGGCTGGCATCGTCCCATGAACAACACAAATGATGATATCTACGAACAGATAGTATATGACCTTGACCCTGACAAAGTACAGTTATTTGATGTAATAGGTGCGTATCTGTTCTCACAACGTTATGTTACAGTAAGAGAAAATACTTATCTACACAAGTGATGACAGATGTGAGGTGGTGAGGTGAAATTGGGTTTAACGTCGTGCTTGAGAATATTTCGCTCATATGACGACGTGCATGCGTGTGTATGTGTATGTGCGGCTGCTTGTACTAGCCCAGACTTAAGCTGGTTTTACAGTGCTAGCCCACTGAGATACCATGCCGCAGTGAAGCATGAATACCCCACTCAGACACATTATACTGACTCCGAGCCGACCAGTCCTTGTTCTACCCATTAATACCGAGCGCCAGGCAGGGACCAACAAGTACCATATTTTAACGTCTTTTGGTATGACGCGGTCGGGGATCGAACCCGCGACCTTCCGCTCTCCGGGCGGACGCTCTAACCACTACACCACGGAGGCGGTCCGATGATGACAGATTAACAATATCTATTTTGAAGGATTTCGTATAATTTAAGCTTTTAAAAAAGGTCTGGACGTCATGGAAATTGATGTAACCTTGAAGACCCGGGTCCGACCTGGTCTGCAACAACACATGCATTTCGGTAAGAGTCAAATAACGGGATCGGGTGATCAGGGTCGCTGACTTGGCTGATGCTCGCTATGTCAATCACTTGACCTACCAATGTGATTTTTCGTCTGTCCAGCGGACCCCACAGAAAGACATGACCTGTCTGCCCAACTACCAGACGTTGCTGCTAAGCTCAAGTCTCGTCTACTAGAGTACCGGAAACAGATGGTCCCTGCCAACTCCCCCAAAGCTGACCCAAAGAGTGACCCCAGGAAGTTTGGCAACGTTTGGACACCTGGCTGGTGCAAGCAATGACTTGTGTTTTATAACGGTCGTACAAGAGTTCGTCATTCTGAACATGAGAGATGTTTGACGTATAAAATAATTCCGTATGGTCCTGTTAAAAGTTATTTTCAGTTTACTTTCATTTTCGAAATAACTAATCTCTCATTACATGCAGTTCAAGCAATGTATAACAACTCTGACTTCAGTTATCTTTCCTGGATATTATATATCGGCTTCTGGCTTAGTTACCTGGCTCACGCCGAGCCACAGTGCAATCGCAAATAAAAATGACAAATATATTAGGGTTTTTCGTGATCTTTTCCTGAATTTGTACTCGCTGAAAGTAGAAACGTACCCTGAGACGTTTGTGTTATGTGTATTTGCGACCATAAAGGCCTTGTTGGCGAGGTACTGCTGGACCTTGTCTTGGGTACCTGTGTCATATTGCTTCCTGAAACACGAACTGGTGTTAGGTAGAGTCTTTGACATTAAGAACATAGCCATCATCTACTTGGAATTACGGATCATCTGTCCAGAGTGAGCTAATTTTGTAATATTCTAACCTGATGAATGGGCCAGATAACTCTATATGAAAACAACTGCTACTAGGTGATTGTTTATATTGCCCACGTTACGTGAACCAGATGCGGTCAGACCCGTGTGTATCCGGGTTAGAATTGGTGATCAGCAATCCATGATTGTCGCAAGAGGAAACTATTGGGATTGGATGGTCAGATTCGCTGGATTGAAGCATGCCATCGTATCCATATTGCGCCAGATTTACAGACCGGCGTTATACAACAAACAGGACAAAACGATACTGCCAGCGTGTTGAAGAGATTGGTGATATTTTACGTCAGCTTCTGCACGTTCTATGCTATTTCTCTTTGTAAGAACACGACTTGAGCATCCTTGCTCTGAGTTAAAAAGATAAGTTCAGTTCAGCCTGGCCCCACTCACCCCTCAAACCAGTGGTTGATATTATAACGCGTTGCCATGACATGCGTATGATCCACTAAGCCGCATAATCCAATCAAATGTTGTTATCTCACATCAATGTCAGCCTACAGGTTTATTACACCTGATTCCGTAGTTTAACAAACACATTTCGTCAGTGCAGACAGAATCATCTGACATCTGTGATTCGTTAAATGTTTGTGTTTTACAAATGTACATCCATCCAGTAAAAAAAGCCGATCATGGTTAGAGCTGTATTTTCAACACAGTGACTTATGCTACACTAACAACATCTCACTACACAAAGTCATGCAAAATATTTTTTATTTTTTATTTTTTATTTTTTTATTTTGCTACTTTACAGTTTGTTTGTTTTTGGGGTTTTTTATATTTTATTCAGCCGCGGTAACCAATACTCTATATAAAATTCTCACTATACCAATATCAAAGTTTCTATGAAGCTTTTCATTATATACTAGTGTCCAAAAGAAACGATACCACGTGTTTCAAAGATCACTAAATGAAAACAAAACAACATAGACATTTCAAATTGATATCTTTCATTAGATAAATGATTTTACGGCATGTGTACAAAAAGTCATGGCAACCAAAGATTTACAATCATTAACACAGGGCTTTAAACGAAGTGTGGTGCCCAAAATTGAAATTTCATTTTAGCACAGTGGAGGAGGCTAGTGAGGGTAGTCTCTGAAAACAGTCTTAACGCCACTTTAGTACCGGGTATGTCCACCAGCAGCTGCGATACATGCCATGACACGCCTCTGAGCTGATGACGTCAAACGTCGGATGACGTTAGGGGCGATTCGTTGCCACTCATCCTGGAGACAATGTTCCAATTGTTGGAGGTTGGCTGGGGGCGCAGGGCGTTTTTTGATTTTCCGATTGAGGTGATCCCATATGTGCTCAATGGGATTCAAATCCGGTGAACACGTTGGCCATGGCAAAACCTGTATGTTGGCGTTGGCAAGGGAAGTTTTGGGTCAATCTTGCCGTATGAGGCCTAGCGTTATCGTGCTGGAACACGATTCCTCCTGGATGCTGTTGGGCGAATGGCTGCACGACTGGTCGTAAAACCTCATCCTGGTAACGCTGTGCATTCAGGTTCCTCCGAATAATGACGAGCCTTTTCACATCACCGCAGATACTTCCCCACATCATTACACCTCCGCCTCCAAATGCATGGACGTGCTGGATGCAGTTCGGCGCCAAACGTTCACGAACTCTTCGGTATACTCGCTGCCGACCATCGTTCTTGTAAAGGCAAAACCGGCTTCGTCCGAAAACAAGACACGTGCCCAGTTTCGACGTTGCCACCGCCGAACACACCTGGCCCATATCAATCGGTTGACTCTGTTTTGACGTGTCAGGTAGACTCCGCGGTAGGGGCGACGTGCACGGATACCATGTGCCTGCAGTCTCCTGTAGACGGTTTGTCGACTGATCCGGTGTCCCAGTCCCGTCGCCGCCGTTAACGTCGCAGGAACGAAGCGGTTACGTAGGTGAAGTAACCGGATGTGGTTGTCTTGAATAGGCGTGGTCACCCGGGGTCTCCCGCTTCTCGGCCTGTCTGTTGTTCGGCCTGTTTGACGCAACCGTCGCATTAACCTGGTAACGATTATGCGCGCGCATCCCAAACGTTCTTGCTACAGCGGCGTGTGATGCTCCCTGTCGGACCATTCCAACGGCTCTTTCTCTCTCGATCGCTGTCAAACGTGCCATTTCCTTTGTGTGCTTTTTACTGCTGTGGGCACAACGTGTCAGACCAGCGGTTTTATACAGTTCATCTGCACGTGCATTTCGTGCTACACGACTTAACGTCATTTTGAGTATTAGTGCGATTGCTTCTTAAGTGAATAAATGTTACCGGTTTTTTCGATCGAATACGTTTGCTTAGGAACGTGGGATACACAGAAATATGTTTTTTTCTCCAAAAAGTATCATTAATTTAAAAATATTGAAAAAAATATTTGGTATCGTTTCTTTTGGACATGAGTTTAGATTTGTAATATGCTCTAGAATTATATATAGGCAAAGTTTGTGTATGTTGAATCACTCATGATAGATTTACAATAGAAAATATAATTGGTAAAAGTTTAAGGCTATAAACCAGTAGTCCCTGACCACGTGGACTTGTATTTTTTTATGTCATGCAAAATATTGTCTCCAGAAAGTTTGTGGATTTTAGTATTGTTTAACGCAATAGGTCAGCTATAGGGCGACGGTCAGTAAATAATCTGCTACTAGAATAGGATAAGGAAAAGGATTTGGGTGCAAACCTTGGTTGCCCTCTCCATTTTTCAGGAGACTAGCCTTATATAACACAAATGAAATTTAGATAAAAGACCACAGATAAAGCTCACCACAGATGCCCTAACACGCCACATGAAGAAAGATGTTGTAGTTTCTATCGTTCATATTAACAGAAAACACGCACTCAAACGCAACCGTGTAGGCTCACGCGAATCTCAATTTTGTTGTGAGTATAAAAGGAAATCACGTGCTCCCTAGGCGCAGTTAGAGTTTTGACTGATCTCTGAGGTAGGTGCGAATGTGTTTTTACCGTCATATTATCACAACACGGAATACAAATTCGTGACAATGACAACGCCGGTTCAGGTACACTGCCATTTCATGTAACATGCTACTAGCATTCAACTGTTGCTGTGACATGCATCATATCGACCCTGTTTAGTGGGAAAGATTTCCGCCCGTAACCCCCGTATTTTTTGCAATCATTCTATGCCTAAGAATATAGGTCTATGGTTTTTATAAAAAAAAAGCCTAAAACTAGCCTAAACCCTAAACCCTCGAAATATCCTAATAAATAGAATACATTTCTAGCGGGGTTACAGGCGGAACTCTTACCGCTCGATCATTTTTTTTTACTTACAAGATAATCCATCCAGTAAGTGAAAGCATGATTACCTACTGAACCTAGGGGCTCGAACTCGCATTCTCCTTGCCATACAATGTTGCCTCCCGATTTCTATAGGTCGCCCATTACGACGTTCATAAGACTCTGGGGGCATCTGGGATGGTTGCACTGATTTGTTCGGAAGAGAGTAATTCTGGATTGGGGAAACAATCTATTTTTGTGATTGTCTTCAAACCATTTTTTATAGTTTATTACACAGGAGCTATTGCTTCACCCCCATCAAGTTAATTATATAATTTTGAAGTGGATGTGCCATTTAAGGAGTACATCATATTTCTGTGACTTATACCGTATGTGCCCATGGCGCGTGTCCAGGGGATTCCATGAGTCTGAAGTATGTAGTAGGTGTCGCCTCTCTATGCACGACATGGAGTGGGTATTTCTGACGAATGTGTAGATGTTGGTGTTCACGACGAATAGACGGACGTCCATCTGTGTGCACGGCGAACATGTATGTAGTGGGCATGTATAAGGTATGGAAGGTACTCACCTTTATGCACGACACGTACAAAATGTGTATGACAAACGTAGTTTTTCATCCATTCATGACGTATGTAGAATTCCTGCATGTGGCAAGTAGTCTTAGTAGTATATTTTAATTGTCTACTTCTGTGTAGATATTGATTTCCGCCCGATACTTGAAGATATGATGAAAATGAATAAAATATTCCTCTATCTGACTAGAAATCACGGGTATATGTGAACGTATTACATTGAATCTGAACGTATGTAAACTCGTTTCAATGATTTGCCAAACACTTCATCAATCTGCCAATTTTGGTCATCCATCCAAGGATTCCCCGCAACCAAAGTTGCTAAACTTCCACTGATTTTTGATCAGACAACCACGAGAATTCCTTGTCAGGCAACGAGAATTGCTTTTAGCAATAGGTATTTTCTGTACAAGTAGAGCTTATGACAAATTCTAACCGTGAAGACCCGGGGTAGAATAGGTCTTCAGCAACCCATGCTTGCCACAAAAGGCGACTATGCTTGTCGTAAGAGGCGACGAACGGGATCGGGTGGTCAGGCTCGCTGACTTGGTTGACACATGTCATCGGTTCCCAATTGCGCTGATCGATGCTCATGCTGTTGATCACTGGACTGTCTGGTCCAGACTCGATTATTTACACACCGCCGCCATATAGCTGGAATATTGCTGAGTGCGGCGTAAAACTAAATTCACTCACTATGACAAATTCATTTATACTACCCATCAAAACTTTAGACTCAATACCAGTGTAAATGTAGCCACTTACTTCAGTCATCCATTCTAAACTAGATTTTGCTAAATATTCCATACTGTTTAAAGGTACTGTTTAAACATGGACTGATGTATTGTAAAACAAATTAGTAACGTTGTAAAGATTGTCATGAGTTCAATAAATGATGAAACTCGGTGAAAATTAGCGAATTCTCAACAAAACTTTACTCCAAAACGCAGCTGTTCACGTGCACTATATTTGCACATGCTTTTCAGCAATTTGATGCATGATCCTCGTGCAATGCATCTGCGTAAGGTTTGGAGTTGGTTACCCTAAGTTAGAGGAGAAATTTATTTTCGATGTAACTATATCGATGTGTCTATACATAACATAGTGAGTGCTTTAAGTGAATCTAAACTTATGATGGCTAGTATATTAAAAACTCATTTTCTCCCTGATTACCTGTATTGTATGCTTTGATCACTGTACTGAAGGAGGGGCCGTGGGGTAGCCTAGTGGTTAAAGTGTTAGCACGTCACGCTGAAGACCCAGGTTCGATTCCCTACATAGGTTCAATGCGTGAAGCCCTATTTCTGGTGTCCAACGCTGGACGTATTGCTAAAAGTGGCGTAAAACTAAACCCACTCCTTTCTGTATTGAAGGATGGCCACTTATGTGTATATTTCTAAATGTGTCTACAGTTATACATTTTCACTTTCATCCATATTTGTCCACTTTGTGTACTTCTGACTGTTTAGGGGTTAAGGCGTTCGTTCGTCACGCCGAAGACCCGGGTTCGACTCCCCACATGAGCACAATGTGTGAAGCTTATTTCTGGTGTCCCCGTCGTTATATTGCTGGCATATTGCTAAAAGCGGCGTAAAAATCAACTCACTGTTTATCCAGTTGACCTGACCCTGTTTCGTGTGAGCCTGATTTTCAGAAGGTATGTCAGTTTACCTCTATACTAGTCAAACAGCTACACGAATCATGAGGGGTAGGGGAACCGCTGGAGTTGGTGTACATCTCAATACGCCAGATCTATATTATGTAAATATGTGGAAGTTGTCAGCAGATATATCACGAGGTTTGTTATCTGAACGGATTTTCATCAATGAATTAAATGCAGACAATATTTCTATTTCCTTATTTCAGAACCACGGATCTCGTTTATTTGTGTGGTTTGTTCCAGCCTTGTCTGGCGAGGATGACACGGACGATGTCCGACGCTGTGGCACTCGGCTTGCTCCTTGCCCTGCTGCCGGCTGTAACGCCGTACTACCAACTCGGTAGGCACACTACACACATCAGACTTGTCATAATGGTGAAACACCCATGCAGCAAAAGTAGAGGAAGCTGTTTGTCAGAGCTTAACGGAAGCAACATTCACTTATAAAGAGGATCAATGCACATGGATAGACAACTTAGTTATTAAAATAGATGCGACGTTCGACTTGTTATGCTTGCAGGCTTGTACTTGAATTTGAGCTAGACCTGTTTTAGTTGAATTTGAATATGTCCGTGTGACTTGCGGCCATGTCCACGATGGCCACTCTGGCCTTGCTAACTCAATAACAGTTGAGTCGTCGCCGTCCACTCACTCACTCACTCAATGCTGTATTCTATTTGTAGAGAACTGCACGCTGTCCTGCAGGCCACCCCGTATTCTGCTGCGACTGTCATGTCGCTGTTTAAGTAAGGATGCAGCTTGACGTACGCTTATAGATTCTTTATACACCGGTTCACTGTTGCCAGCCATCGACGCTTGTAAGAATGGCCAGGGAAGGGCCCCTTGCTCAAAAGGATCTCGGTGCTACGACTTTAGCACAAAGGGGAAAAGTATGGGCGTCACGATCGCCTTAACGCTAAGATCGACCGGGGCTCAGACGGACGTAATGTATGTCATTATATCCGGTTGTGGTACATTGCTGATGTCATCAGCCATCGGGTGGTCTGGCCAAGGCATGATTTACACGCTACACATACATAGCTGAAACACTGCTGTATCATGTCCCATATTTCTACATTGAAAGCAATTTTATGTGCTGCTCGTGTATGTGCGGATTAATATACTTGCATCTTGTTAAATACTTTGTACGTACACACATGTACCCGTGAATATCCGGGTTAGAATATTGATCATCAGCAACCCACGCTTGTAAGAAGCCACTAACAGGTTCGGGTGGTCAGGATCTTTGACCTGGTTGACACGTCATCGTATCCCAACTGCGTAGATCGATGCTCATGATGTTAATCACTGGATTATCTGGTCAGACTATATTATTTACAGACCGCCGCCATATAGCTGGAATATTGCTGGGTGCGGCGTAAAACCAAACTCACTCACTCGCTCCAATAATTCATTCCCAACCTTTCATGTCCAGTATGGTAGGTATACTGTGACATTGTGTATAGCGAGTACAAAATACTCTTAAACCTTCAGTTCTAAAACCTGCTATCAGCTAAACACTTTACATGTAATTCTAACCAGTAACTATCAGGTGGGCCATATTCAAATCCGTTTTGGAATATTTAGCCTTGTTCTGTGGTAGGTGTGGAGGATGGGTTTCACTGTATTGCATGTATATTTCTCAACGTACTGTTTGACAAGGTGTGGAGGATGGGTTTCACTTTATTGCATGTATATTTATCAACGTACTTTTTGGTAAGGTGTGGAGGATGGGTTTCACTGTATTGCATGTATATTTATCAACGTACTTTTTGGTAAGGTGTGGAGGATGGGTTTCACTGTATTGCATGTATATTTATCAACGTACTTTTGGTAAGGCATTATATTGGATAGCTTTTGTGTATCCAATACTGGTTAATCTGGACATTGGATTATCCGGACTACCGCGTGCTGAACTGGGTTAATTGATTGGATCATTCCATCAGATCCTATCCGTGACACAAGAGATGTTCATGATCGCGGAATGTACGACGACGGGGGCGGTACGACGACGCCCAATCCTGAGGAAACAACCCCCAATACTGAGGAAACAACCCCCAATACTAAGGAAACAACCCCCAATACTGAGGAGACAACCCCCAATACTGAGAAAACCACCCGTTACCAGGAAACACAGGAAACAACGCCCAAAGGCACCCAGGAAACGACCCCTGATGCAGACAAGACCACGCCTGATGAGTCGACCAACCCCCCAACAACTCCAGACGAGGGAGAGGAAACCACACGGTCTACAACTACAAAACCAAAACAGGTTCGTCGATCATTTTCCTATTTTGTGTTGATTCCCAAGTTCTCAAGTTGGGTTAGCCAATTCAACCATCGGGAATATGGAAAGTTACTAAGGTAATTATGAAAACCATGATCTAAGCTGAAAATCATTAGTCTAACTGGGACATAGCTGAGGCAACTTTCGTGATATAAGCTGGTAAACATGTGATCCAGGACGTGAACCAACCGTGATCAGTTTCCTTGTCTGTGCATGAAGACCTTGGGCCTTCCCTCAATATAAGTTTAGCTAAATGTGTGAACTGCTTGTTGCGTTCCTTGGACCTTGGACCCTGGACCCGTAACGTCACGACAGGCAACTATGGCTAGGGTATTGGACACTTGCACTCGCGAGCGGACCGACAGATTGCCGCGAAATCCGAATATAAACGTTTAGGCAATTGTGTCCAAGTACATTTAGTTACGCAACTGTCTACGCAAATCACAGAACGACCTAAAAGATTTAACGTAACATGTTGGACATAAGGTTTTCCCCGATTGACGTTAAGAAAGACTTCATAAGAAGTTATCAAGAATTGTTTTTGGCATTGTACATATACTGCGTTAGGAAAACAAATGTATTTAGCGATCCTTGGCTGGGCAAATAGTGATCAGTCCTCATACAAACATATTTCCCTTCACAAACAATCGTCGTTAACCAATGTCCCCACAACCTACCGCTGCGAGTTGGGTTGTTTCTTTCGAAATCTCTTCAGTTGTACAATTGCATGAAACTTGCAGCCGGAAACATTGACACCGAACGTGGACAAAGCGTTGACATCACTTGATTATTATGGGGCAATCCTAATGCGTGTAAGATGCTTTCAGTTACTGAGATTATTTATCCTGTCGCCTTTGAATATGACCTGTATGGATATTGCTTTTGTTTCTATAACGTGGTGAATGATATCCTGCTCCAGGAGTGTGACCCAAGGTACAAGAAGTTCTCCAAAACCCACACCATGTGCCTCCAAGACAAGGGTAAGGACGTTCCTCTGACCACCGAGTGGAAGCGGAAAATTTTACATTTGCACAGCCAGTGTCGCCAGGAAGTCGTCCCTCCAGCACCAATAATGCAGAAGGTGGTAAGTAACGCAGCATACACTGGTTCCGATGGTGCTCATGATCAGTCGACCTTCTATCGATGGATCCGTGAAGGTCCGGGTTAGAATTGATCTTTAGTAACCCATGCTTGTAAGAGGCGACTAACGGGATCGGGTGGTCAGGCTCGCTGGCTTGGTTGACATGTCACCGGTACCCAATTGCGTAGATCGATGCTCATGCTGTTCATCACTTTATTATCTGGTCCAGACTCGATTATGTACTGGCCGCCGCCATATAGTTTGAATAATGAGTGCGGCGTAAAACTAAACTCACTCTCTATCCGATGGAGATGTACTGACTGTTTAAATCGCACTGGGGCAGTTGCCAAAATTAGCTGGTTTATCAATTTACTTTTAGAGGTTTATCTTCAACTAACAATCAGGTCACTGCTTTATTGAACTTGTTTCAGAAGCACTGAACTAAATCTAAATGTGAATCGTATATATCTTCCGCCTCAGTTTGAATAACTGCTAACATGGGGTTCAATCTAACACATTCCTTTTGGTTTTAAAGACACCAAAATAATGTGGGTATCCTCGCACTGTACACGCAGTTTTCGTGCTTTAAACGAATGAACAATTTTTACGATTAGGACGCCACCTTCCCCGCAGACCGCCTCCTCCACCATTCCCCGCTTACTACCACCTCCCCCGACCGCCGCTTACTACCGCCGACCGCCGACCGCCGCTTACGCCACCTTCCCGACCGCCGCTTACCGCCTCCTCCCCGACCGCCGACCGCCGCTTACTTCCTTACTTCCCGACCGCCGCTCGCCGCTTACTTCCTCCCCGACCGCCGACCGCCGCTTACTTCCACCCTCTTCCGACCGCCGACCGCCGCTTACTTCCACCTCCCCGACCCGCCGACCGCCGCTTACTTCCACCTCCCCCGACCGCCGCTTACTTCCACCTCCCCCGACTGCCGCTTACTTCCACCTCCCCGACCGCCGCTTACTTCCACCTCCGCCGACCGCCGCTTACTTCCACCTCCCCCGACCGCCGACTGCCGCTTACTTCCACCTCCCCCGACCACTGATTACAATGCCTTAAAGCTTCATGCTGGGAGACAGGGATGGACCTGATTGAATGACGCAGGTGTTATTCCTGTAGGCTTTACTTGAAGGCGCTAACATGCCGTCGTCCAACAGCTGCTCCATGTGGCAGTAGATCCCGACACTCAATTTGAAAATTTACAGATCAGACTGGTTAGTCAGGCTGAATGTTGCACCCCCACCAGTGCTTACATCGCCCACTGGTTTGCGTGATTATGTGTCCGAGAAGTGCTGGTTCTGAGTAAACACCCTACTACACGGATGACAATGTAACGTATGTTTAGATATGGGATGAGGAGCTCGGCAAGATTGCAGGGAAGTGGGCAAGACAGTGTCTTCTGGCGCATGACAAAGGCCCCGACAGGCAAGCCATAGGTAAGCACGATACTGAAGCATTGGTTCATGGGCGAGGTGCCTCGAGGTGTTCTTACAAAACAATCCTACCAGAAACCGCTACTGCAAGCCCTGGATGTGAAAAATGTGTGGATTTGAAAGAGTAGTGACAGATCAGTGGACCATCAACACGGGTAAGTAATGCGTGAGCGACTTATGAACACAGTTCAGGGGACCTTGCAGGCGTTTTTACCCGTGAAGATCCGGTTAGAATTGATCTTCAGTAAGCCATGCTTATCAAAAGGCGACTAACTATATCGGGTGGTCAAGCTCGCTGACTTGGTTGACGCATGTCATCGTATCCCAATTGCGTAGATCGATGCTCATGCTGTTAATCACTAGATTGTCTGGTCCAGACTCGATTGTTTACAGACCGCCGCCATATAGCTGGAACAATGAGTGCGGCGTAAAACTGAACTCGCTCACTTAAAGGTGTTTCAGCGATCTGACCTCTCAGCCGCACCAAAAATCGTAGATCGATGCTCTATCACTGGATTGTCTGGTCCAGTCTAGATATTTTACATACCGGCGTCATAGAGTTGAGGGTGGTTTCGAACCCCGGACCCAGCTCGACACAATGTACTACAATTTGTACTCTGAGAAAAATGTATTATTGTCAATGTTTATACATTTCCTGTGAAGTTTTAAAATCTGCCCATGGATACATGTGCAGTCGCTGATTCAAAACACCATGTGGTCGTTCTCAGAAGCGAGTGGGCCTTTACTAGCGATGCATTGTCTTTACTGTTGTGACAACATTTTCTTACAAATTCTGACACCATGTTTGTATCGTAACACATGCACTTTAGTGCCATTAATTGTTCTTTAGGGATACCAGACTACTACATTGGTCAGAGTGTGGCCCGTCAGAGTGGCAAGTTCAACTTCACCAGAGTCATCCTTGTCTGGGTGGAGGAGCTTAAAAGCTTCAAATACGGAACTGGCTCTATCAATGGCAAGTTCGTGGGACATTACACACAGGTACATAGTTATTTATATGGTTCAAATTCCAACAGCCAACCGTTTGCAGCATCTGATTTAGTGACTGCTTCACCGCGTTAGGTGATAATTGTCGACCAATACACCCTCAATCATTGTTGGTTAGAAGTTGTTTCAGTTCGAAATGCAACGGTACTGGTAAACATAAAGCTTTTCTATTGCAATGACGTTCTCTAACTCCTGCTATTTGAAACATGTTTCTTATATTACGAAACCGGTTGGGAAACAATCCCGAGTGTACATTTGCCATGGAATGTTATTTGTGATAAATTGAAAAGCCAATATTGAAATGAGTTTCACGTCACCGACCATGTCATGTTTGTGGATGGAATGATGACCGATCAGATGGTTTGTGTACATGCAGATGGTTTGTGTACATGCAGATGGTTTGTGTACATGCAGATGGTTTGTGTACATGCAGATGGTTTGTGTACATGCAGATGGTGTTTGGGAAGACTGTAAGGATGGGATGCGGACAGGCTGAATGTAGTAAACATGGATACTACGTCTGTAACTATGCAAAGGGGTAAGTTCCTTCAGCCAATGGACCCGTGAAGATCCGGGCGAGATTTGTTCTTCAGCAACCTTGGCTTCTAACAGGTGACTAACGGAATCAGGTGGTCAGACTCGCAGACTTGGTTTATACGTTATCGTATCCAAATTGCATAGATCGATGCTCATGCTGTTGATCACTGGATTGTCTGGTCTAGACTCGATTATTTACAGACCACCGCCATGTAGCTAAAATATTGCTGCGTGGCGTTAAACATCCAACATACCTTCACTCGATGTGAAATTGTCCTGGTTGCTCCGGATACCTTGTTAGTCATCTGTGACCAGAAGACTCTGGAGGTCTGGTGTTGTATGGCTGATTCTACCTATTCCAGACAGACCAACGTTCACACGCCGTATTGCACCGGGGTGAAATGTGGAACCTGTGGTAACATCGACAAGGGAACAGGGTTGTGTGGTGAGTAGAAAACTACCTGTGGGAACGGTACATTGATGTTAGAAATGCTTCATGATCAATGAAGTTGATGAGGCGCGATGATTAGACGCCTGCACAGTGCCAAGACGGTACAAACCTTACCAGCAAGAAGTCCTTATGTAATTCCCTGTCGACGTCCAGTGGACCATTGAAACTGAACCTTTACCTACTTGGTGATAGTTTTGACACCTTAGGTTTACAAAACTTACAAAATGCCATACATGCGTTGTAGTTGGGCTGGATTGATTTCTTGGAACTCGTATCTTTACCTCACTTCTATTTTGCTGTAGTTTGCCCTTGATTTAACCTTCAACTTGACCCAACTGGCTCTTCTAATCAGCTCTGAGCCTGTGTCAAAATGTGATTTATATTTGGTTTGTGAGCACAATGGCGCTTTCCCTTAGTACTTTGAATTCAAGGTAGATGAGAAATGTCCCATGTAATGGCCGAGCAAATATTTGAAATCCATGAAATATGGAAACTCGAGTGTACGACATCCTGACTCCATCTTTTAGGATTGGTGTTCGTGTTATCGGCCACTGGTTAGATGGTACAGCCTGGTATTTTGGGTCTCTGTATAAAGCTGGAATATTGCTGACTGCAGCGTAAACGTCCACTCACAGACCGTTGAAGATACGTGTTGCTGTCTAAACTAATTTCCTCATAACTGACCATGTGTTGCAGATTGTGGGGGTCTGGTGTGTCGGTGGGGAGGGCGACTAAATGCGGCTAGCTGTACCTGCGACTGTAAACAGGGAACAAAGGGCAAGAACTGTGAAACAAGTGAGGAGCGTTACCTCTGCGACATGCTCGATGTGTGTGCACTGCACGTCATGCGAGACTCGGTTGTTTGGGTGAAAATCTAAACATTTTCCAATAACATTCGTATCTATTTTGACGGTTATGACCATCACAAACTGCTTTCATTATAGTGTCTATTCTAAAACATCTGAATTACTCATTTTGTTCTCGCAGTGATTTTTAACTTAGATTTCGTTTGATATCACATGGACATACCGTGATGGCCATCTCATCATGGGATCAATCAAATTTACTGTTAGACTAGGACCCGTAAATATTTTTCAACCCTATCAGTTTTGAAAACTCTCGAGATAAGTCATATTGTACTTAAAATAATTACAACGTAATTGCTACACAGCAGTTAAACACACCTTGTATTTCATGACTACAGCCATTCAATATTTCAGTTGGTGTTCCTTTACTTCATTTGAGCAGTATATCAATCTTTGCTCAGTGAACCCGTGAAGGTCCGGGTTAGAATTAATCTTCAGTAACCCATTTTTGTGGTAAGAGGCGACGAACGGGATCGGGTGGTCAGGCTCGCTGACTTGGTTGACATGTCATCGGTTCCCAATTGCGCAGATCGATGCTCATGCTGTTGATCACTAGATTGTCTGGTCCAGACTCAATTATTTAGACCACCGCCATATAGCTGTAATATTGCTGAGTGCGGCGTAAACCGCAACTCGCTCACTTTGCTCAGTGAAAGTACAAGGTTGAATCAACGTGACTATACATTATTAAACGGAAATGTCATCCGTATGTCATGCCTCTCGTTACAGTTGTGTGTCCTGCCAAGGAGGGGGCTGGGCTGTTCAAACCCCAACTGCAAGACATTCCCGCTGTCTTGTCCTATAACATGTGGCCTCTGTCCAGGTAAGACACTTTTGGACAAAGTATATAAAACATCCTTGTAAAAGGCTTCATTTCAGTGAATACATTATGTACAAGTTGAGAAACAAGTTTGTACCAAGTGTTTGTACAAGCAATTTATTTATGTAATGTATACAACTTCACGACAGATAACACTGTTAGAATCTTTAGCACTGTATATTCTATCGTGCACACAAATCAGACAGCTGAATGGTAACATCTAAGGGAGACAACTGGCAATTTTACGATTGTTTCATTTATTTTGGTGATGGGGAAACTTAATCATTGTATAGAGGGGTACACAAAGTCCGCAGTCTAGACTAGTTATCCAAGTACCATTTTTGTGGAAGCCGCGGTGGCTCAGCGGTCTAGGCGTCTGACTTTGTGTGCTGGCGATTAGGCGCCTGACTGAGGTTGTAGGTTCGAATCTCTGATGGGACTCAACCCCAAAAGTACTAGAATCTGTACTTTACTAAGAAAATGTAATCCCAAATATAACATATGTTACATGGTGTAGTCCGTTTGACTGAATTTGAGACAGATGAATTGCTCACTAACACAAAATCTAACAATTGCAACAAAACCAAATTTTGCACAGTCACATGAAATCAACAAACGCCGATTTGTCTCATAATTTTGGACACCCGAATAATATTCTTTAACAAACGATCATTATTTTGTTGTCACTTACCGCTATTTCTTACGAGAGAGGACCAATTGCTGGTAGAACAGCCAGGTGTGAGAGTTGTACGTGTGAAATTGAAATTTCACTGCACGCGCTTGTTGATTACCTGGCTGGTTCTACCAGAAAGTGGCAAGTATACATTGTGACTCGAATTTGAATGTATCTGCAGTTGAGGACAAGTGTACTACATCACGTCATGCCATGTCTATAAAAAAAGTTGAGAAACAAGTTTTTACCATGTGTGTGTACAAGCAATTAATGTAATGTATACAAATTCAAGGAAGTTCCGACAGATATCTGTTAGAATCTTATAACTATTATATTATGATATATTGACTTGACCTCGCACTCGCACTCGCACTCGCACTACTCTCACTCGCACTCGCACTCGCACTCTGGACTGGAGGCCTTTGATACAGAATAAAGAATCTTGAATCTTTCAGGACCCCCTACACAGACACCGACGAAACCCACTGGGCCAACAACTGCACGATCAACAGGTGTTCGGCCTACAACAACCCCAGCGCCAGAAAAGGTCGGACAAATGAGTGTGACGTAATTAGTAAACTCACTTCTCGCAGGTGTGACATCTCCTTTGGAATACTGTGTGACGGTCTTCGGAGTTTATTGGAAATAGCGTCTGAGTTGGTAGTTCAATCCCGGTCCGGAAGACTCTAAGATGTTAGTTGATGTTACATTGCTTGGTGCTCGACATTATGAGGGAAGATAAAGGCTGCGAGTCGTTACACTGCAAGTGTGATTTCATGTTTGGGATCTCAGTGGGCTTGAACCTTTGAACTGACAGTGAGGACCGCTATGCGTCATATATACAACAGATATCACAAAAAAATACGTTTGAATTTGGCAACCATTCTTTGCCAGTCGCTCTAAGATACCTTGGTGTTAAAGGCATTAACTCGATGGGCATGCTAACAATGTCATCAAGAAGCAAACTGGAATCGAATCTCGACCGTTTTGAAAACACTATCACACTTTGGATGCACAATGCCGTTTAGGAAGATATCAATTATCATATACACTGAGAAAGTGTAATCCGAAGTATGGCACACGTTACTATAATAGTTTCCGCGCTATTCGCTCATAATTAAGGTGCAGAAAACCGCCCACTGAACACCGAGCAGCGTGATATGCTCTGCAGAGAGGGCGATTGTATTCATTCTATTGCAATAACAGCCTGTCACTTATGATAAATGAAACTTACTGCTTTATCTGAAGTTCCTAATCACGGACCCGTGAAGGTCCGGGCTAGAAGGAACTTTTAGTAACCCATGCTTGTAAGAGGCGACTAACGGGATCTGGTGGTCAGGCTCGCTGGCTTGGTTGACGCATGTCATTGGTTTCAAATTGCGCAGATCGAGATCGAATAGCTGGAATATTGCTGAGTGCGGCGTAAAACTAAACTCACTCACTCCTATTGTCCGTTCGGCTCAAAAGCGGACCGATGAATTGCAATCTAACTCGAAAACTAATAAACATAAAATACTCAATGAAACGCTGATCATAATCAAAACATACCCACTGAGGTTTTTGCAGAATTTTTGTCCTGAAAATAATAAAGTTGTTTCTTAAACTATCATTAAAATATTGACACAGTTCACTATTTGTTACGAGGGAGGAGTGCAGATCGAGAAAGGGACAGCCAGGTGTTCGAGAACGGATGGAGACGGCACAGCACAGGTTAATGAATAAATAACTTTGTCTGTGAACATGCTTCTCGAACACCTGGCTGTCCCTTTCTCTGCACTCCTCCCTCGTAACAAATAGTGAACTGTGTCAATATTTTAATGATAGTTTAAGAAACAACTTTATTATTTTCAGGACAAAAATTCTGCAAAAACCTCAGTGGGTATGTTTTGATTATGATCAGCGTTTCATTGAGTATTTTATGTTTATTAGTTTTCGAGTTAGATTGCAATTCATCGGTCCGCTTTTGAGCCAAACGGACTGTAATCACGGCTTCAAAGTTTCCCTAATGTTTGCCAATAGACAAAAGCCAGTGTCATTCAATTTTCCAACAGCCTTGCGACCCTCGCTACAAGAAGTTCTCCAGCACTCACACCATGTGTGGCAAGGACATCGGCGTGGACGCCCCTCTCACCAGTGAGCGGAAGCAGAAGATTGTAGATCTCCACAACCAATGGCGCAGTAAGGTGGCTCCGCCAGCCCCAGCCATGCAGAAAGTGGTGGGTGGAATTATTGAATAAGCTGAACACTTGGGGTTATTATAGAGTGTGATCAGTCTTTACAAGATAATCCTTACCTATTCATGTGACCTACCTATTCGTGATCAGTATAAACCTGAAACATTGATCTGTACGTTGTCTATCATACAATTACTCCTTTGAACAAGAGTATGAATCACCCAAGACTGAATACGTTCCTATACAGGATATACGTTCTGATTCTAAGGTTTAACTGTACGTTGGTGGCCCCGCCGTAATATTGCTGGAATAGTGTTAAAAGCGGCGTAAAACTAAACTCGCTCACCCACTCACTAAGTGTTGGTGGAAAGTTTTAGTGTTTATAACACGCCTAAATGCTAAATAAATGAACTGTCACAAGTGGCACTATCACTGCAGTTCGCTGTTCAGACTTGCCTTCCTTTAGAACGCCAAGATCCTATGATCGTTGGTCCGATTTCTAATTCGCTCAAATTATCATGCTTGGTTTGTCTGACATTATGACTAACATCATGGGTCCCGTTATACAAAACTATTCCTGTTCTAGGAAAACCAAGTTCTAACGAAAGTCAGCTTCTTTATTGCAATGAGTGCGACGTTTCGGTGTAGGTACTAACACCGTTATCAAGCAAGTGATCATTACATCACTTGCTTGATATTACGTCACTTGCTTGATAACGGTGTTAGTACCTACACCGAAACGTCGCACTCATTGCAATAAAGAAGTGGACTATCCATAGAACATGGTTTTTCCTTCATCTGTACAACTTCTAAAATGCCTCTCGAAGGTATTCCTGTTCTAGATATTCTGTACTTTAACATGAATTTACATAGCCTGGTGAAACTGGCCCCAGCCCTTCAGATGCGTGTAACCTTCATAAGCCAGCACGACTGACGGTTTCAGATCTGGGATGACGAGTTGGCGGCCATAGCGGGAAAGTGGGCAAGGCGGTGTGTACTGGGTCATGACAAAGGCTCGGAGAGGAAAGCAATAGGTTAGTCTCCCTGTTCAAGATACATGTGTATAGGTGCTTACAGTACAGTATATGCTGACATCTCGAGAACAATACCACGTTGACAATCACTTACTCGCTGAATACCTGCCTACTGACTGACTGGAGATGGTTTCCGGACAGCGTGTGGTACCATGTCGTCCAACTTATATATCTTGTTTCAAAGATATATAATGCTGTACCACATGCTATATTTGGGATTACACTTCCTCAGTAAAGTATAGATTCTAGTACTTTGTTGGGAGAGTCCCATGCTGGATTCGAACGTACACCCTTGGTCAGGCACCTTTGGGTTCAAGCGGGAACGATGAATGATTAAAATGATTACCTAACACAATCTGAAATCTGACGTTTGATGATCGATCGCAGAAAAAGTAGTTTAAGAAATTATCATGTAATATTCAGTTTTCACGCTTCACACCGGGGTGATACATGGCTGGTGGAACAACGCGGGGCCGTTTTTCAGGTGCAACTCAGCACAGAAACATACCAGTCAGGAGACGGCAGACGCTGTTCCACCAACTGTTTCTCTCCCCTTGGTGTGAAGCGTAAAAATAGCTCAAGGTTAAACGATAGTTTCTTAAACATCTTTTTACTTGATTGATCATAAAACGTCAGATTTCAGATCATGTTGGGTACAGAGGTTTCAGGACCATGTCTTATTTATGTTTTGTGCACTTATCCCTATTTCAAGTTATTTAATCATTTATGTATATCGTTCTCATTTGAACCCAAACGGACTGTAATTGCCAGCACAGTCGGCCGTCTAACTCATTCAGCCACCGCGGCTGCCAGACTAGAATGTGTACGTGACTGAGAAAGTGTAATCCCAAATATAGCATGTTACATTTGACCACTTTCTGAATGGTTTTGTGTATTCATATTTAATGCATATTTGGACGAAACAAACTGTTAAGGAGATTAAGATGGGACGGGAAACACCGGTTAATGTTTATTGCGTTTCGAAAAACCGTGTACGCTGCCTTTTGATTGAAATACTCCTTCCATACATATTTCATCACGGGAAAACTGTTGTGTGGCCGTATCCGACCTGGTTTAGATGTCACAAGAAGCCTCTCGCAATTTAGTATATAATTTATTCCCTAATGTCTGGTTTCAACAAATCAAAACCGGCGAGTTGTGAGACTTGTCAAAGATGAAAGATCGACCTTAAAGTGTTACTCTTCAGGAATGCCACTGTATAACATCGGCCAGAATCTGGCCCGTCGGAGCGGCGAGTTCAACTTCACCAAAGCCTTCCTAGCCTGGGTGAATGAGATCAAGGACTACAAGTATGGGAATGGTTCCATCAACGGCGGAGTAGTTGGTCACTACACACAGGTAGGTGCTGGTCATCATCTCCTGACATTGAGGCCAAATTGCTGTATGATCCAGTATGACATGAAACTTTCGTATTTAGTTGCTACAGTTGGCTGGAAGCAGTGTGGGAAATAGTTTCCAAATTGTGCTTACCAGTCGGGCTAGTTATGCCTGAAAGTTACTAGCCCACAAGATAATTCACTAGCCCGAAATCTGAATGTAGACACGGTTTCATCATTAAGCTTCACTGATATAATGAACAGTATTCTCAGGCAGTAATCTTGCATGATTTAGAAGACTTAGTGTATTGCAACTTAACAAGTCGGAGAGAGCGATATATTTACAAAATGACCCCATGAAAGTCCACTATCCAGTCGGGCCAGTGACTGGAGAGATTTACTGGCTCGTCTGGATTTTTACTAGCAACGGGCTAGCGGGTCAGTGGCTATTTCGTACACTGGCTGGAAGTGGTGTTCAAGCTGAATAAATGCCAGAATTGCAAAGCTCTGTTCAGAGCAGATATGGCTTGATTCAGGTTTGTACAATAGCCTAGTCACGTTTTTCTAGCCTCACCCAAAGTTCAGCCTGGGAGTTGTCCATGTTCCAGTTAATGGTGACTTCCTATTGTTAGAGGCATACGTGTTTCATGGAAGATTGGCGACGATGGTAAGGTTTAATTGATGTTCCAGGTGGTGTATGGGAAGACAGTCCGTATTGGCTGTGGCCAGGCCGCATGTGGTGAACATCGGTACTATGTGTGCAACTATGCTTCAGGGTGAGCCCTCGTGGTCTTATTTTTATTTATGTTTTTTAATTTTTACCTCTGTTTAGAGTTTCATTTTAAACTGCTTAGTAACACTAGAACAAAAAAAACGTTTGACTAAAATGGACAACAAAAATTAAGAGCCCAGTTCTTTCAAATTAGTATAGTTTGACATTTGCTGGTTATATTGGCCTATCGGGTGTTCTGTGCATTCGCCTTAGTTGTATACAATAGTGTGTGCTGGGTTGTTCCAGACAAACGAACTTCCACACACCCTACTGTACTGGGGAAAAGTGCCCAACCTGCGGCGGCGACTTCAAGAAGGCAGGACTCTGTGGTGAGTATCTGGGTTCAGGAAGTCGTTGATGGATAATATACGGGTTTCCTTGGCAATAATAACATCATGCTCGCCTAGATTCTGTGTTTGTTTGGGGTAAATTGATGTAATGGTCATGTGTGTTTTAGTTGGCACCACAGCCATGTGTCGCTGGAATGTGGACATTTGTTCTCGTGACACTATGGCAACGTCAAAGATGTGTGGATAGACTGCATGTATCCCTGTGCTTCAGACTGCGGAGGGCGTATATGCCAGTGGCGAGGACTTCTTCAGCCGAGCACCTGTTCCTGTAGCTGCCCGAAAAGGACTTCTGGAAGTAGTTGCGAGAAACGTGAGTAAATGATTCATACATTTTGTTGCAGGCATTGAAATCCCTGAACACTTATCAAACAAGTTATGTAGCGATTCAGGAAAATGGTCCGTCATCAATGGATCTCGAACAGTACGATAACGTCACAAATGCAGAATGCCCATGTCTCAGGTATTTTCAAAATCTGTATTTGTGTAATCCAGTGTAGTTAAATGAGGTACCACATAAATCCTATGTGACGTAATGCTAATCATGTTACGCGTTAACCTGGCATGTCTCTATATACTCAAGACAAAGCTGGTGATGGGTATGTTGTCTAGGTAGGGAATCCATGGTAAATACCACAAAGCTCACATGATCCCAGATTTGTCGGAAACGACACATGTGTGTCCATATATACAGTTCAGTAAAATAATAAACACAACTTTCAAATCCCACTTCACCTTTCATACCCAATTTTCAACAGTTGATTGTCCATTGACGGAACCGACGCGGTGTTCAAATCCAAACTGCCGATTCTTCCCGCTAACTTGTCCGATATCATGTGGCGTGTGCCCCAAACCACCAGGTAGGTTGTAACAAAATGTATGTCACTACTACTGAGAGGTATACGTCTTCAACGTGAGGTTTCTGCTGCAACATAGAATGCTTTCGCTACATGACCATAATTTAGTCGCTGCAGAATTTCTGCATTACGTCAGATGGTAGGGAATCCTTGCATGTGATAGACCTCCGTGTACACATTTGTTTTCATTATGCCAAAATCACAGCATGAATTAGTCTAAACGGGTTTTTTGCATCTACGTCTACCAAAGAACAAACGACTACTCCAACGACTACTTCAACGACAACAACGCCTGCTTGCACCCTGAAATGTCCAAAGAACAGTATCCTGGATTCCAAGAAATGCGAGTGCAAGTGTACACCCGGATGGTATGGAGAACAATGTGGTAAGTATGTTTCTGGCAGAATGGTATCGAGAACAATGTGGTAAGTATGTTTCTGGCAGAATGGAATTTGCAAAAGGAATATTGATTGGTGAAACTGGATGTCGTTCTGGTCACAAGTGCTGATGTTTAAAGAATGTCCGTGTGTATAAATCATCAAAGACAGTGTTTCGATAACCTATATTGGTTCCTTCGGTGGGCGGGCTGGAATGGTAGTTCATAAAGGAATAGCGCTCTCTTTAATCTCTATTTCGCATTTCAGATTGCAACCTTAAGTGTGCAAATGGAGGTATCTTGGACAAGCTGACGTGTTCGTGTCGTTGCGTCGCTGGCTATAGGGGAGCCGACTGCAGCAAACTGCCCTGCAAGCCTGAAGACTGCGTCAATGGGACATTGGACAAGGCAACTTGTGCCTGCAAATGTCTGCCAAACTGGCGTGGCCCCAAGTGCGGTAAGTATTACTGTGTTAATCCAATAAGCCAGGGGCAGGGCAGGGCAGGGGACACGGGGAGGGCAGGGCAGGGCAGGGCACACGGGTTCGGGTGAGGCAAGCAACTAACCCTATTAATTTTCGTTACTTTTAGACTGTGATCTTGCTTGTAAGAATGGAGGTGCCTTGGACGGGGCGATTTGTCAATGTCAGTGCGCCGGTGGCTACAGAGGTAAAGATTGTAGCAAGCCCCCCTGCAAGACCGACTGCGTCAGTGGAAAGATCAACCAGGAGACCTGTGCTTGCGAGTGTCAAAAAGGCTGGAGCGGCCCTACCTGTGGTAAGATATATATGCTCAAAGGCAAACGTACAAAGGTACTAAATCAGTGTTGGCCCGTCACACGTCAATTACCTTTTCAGGGTGTGTTGCTCAAGATTGACATGGTGTGTTAAACTTGATATATTTAATGTTGCAGAAATGGGACATGGTGAGGGGAAATTTGAGCGGCGTACTGTTTAAACACATACCTGCTGTTTCAGACTGCAGCTTGAAGTGCGCCAACGGCGGTACGGTGAACGGAGCGCGATGTTTCTGCAGCTGTGCAGGTGGCTTCAGGGGCCTTGACTGCAGTAAACCCCCGTGCCAGACCAAGTGTATCAATGGCAAGGTCAACCAGGGGAACTGTGCATGCGAGTGTACAGAGGGCTGGAGCGGTTCCTCTTGTGGTAAGTAGGCTTGGTACTTCCATACATTTATGTTCATCAGAGGATCGTTGTCTCAATTCGACTGGGTAACGGCAGTGGCAGGATGGGCCATATACTGGATGCCATCTTGGCGACTGTAGAGACTCGGTGACATTGTTTGCATGTACCAATTTAACAGGAATTGGCAGGATGGGCCATATACTGGATGCCATCTTGGCGACTGTAGAGACTCGGTGACATTGTTTGCATGTACCAATTTAACAGGAATTGGTTGTTTGTACAAAATCCTGTCGCCATGCAAATGAGTATCTATCCATACATTTGGCACTTAAAAGATGCTACAGTACTGCAGGTGAATATTTGCATTTAAAGTTCCTTATAATGCTCAACAAAACCATATTACTTCATTCTTGCCGAAGGAGGAAGTGACACTCTTGGTCCAGACCCACCTAGCATTCATAGCGTTACGTACGAGCTGCCATAAGTTCCGTTTATCTTACGAATGTCGTAGTGCTACTAACCCTTTGTGGATCCGGCCCCGGGGTTAGGTCAGTTTACGGTAAGCTTCCGTTAAGACATGGTCTAACTTGCATAATGCATGTCTTCATGAGCATCGATCTACGCCATTGATACAATGTCAGTCACTGGATTATCTGGTCCAGACCGTTTGTTTAGAGGCCGCTGTCAAACAGCTGGAATATGGCGTATGATGAAGAAATCACTCCCAGCACATTCTTTGAAGATCCTTCTCAAATGGCGGGGGTACTTGGCTGATCGGGTGTCACTGTACCTTGTCATTGCGATAGATGCTCATCCAGCACTGACAAGACACTTGTGCTTGGTCAAGACATGGCATGCCTGTGTCTGGAGCTATAGGCTAAGACTGCCAGTGTCTACATATGCCTAACTGCGAGTAATAAGTAGAAACGCTTATCCCGTTCAGAACACAGATTTCTATATTTCAAGCCAGGGCGGTGGGGTAGCCTCATGGTTATAGCGTCACGCAGATGACCCGGGTTCGATTCCTTACATGGGTACAATGTGTGAAGCCCATTTCTGGTCTCCTTCGCCATGATATTGCTGGAGTGTCACTCGCTCATTATTTTAAGGCATACTAATGTTGATGTACCCGACTTTCAGATTGCAGCCTTAAATGCAAAAATGAAGGAAAGCTGGATGCAGATAAATGTCTGTGCACCTGCGTCAACGGTTACAAAGGCTCAGACTGCAGCAAGCCTCCCTGTAGAACAGTCTGTGTCAACGGGCAGGTCAACCAGGAGAACTGTGCCTGTGTGTGTGCCAAAGGCTGGACTGGTCCCAAGTGCAGTAAGTACCACTCCCAGTCTTGGTTACTTCGTATAGATCTGAAAACGTATGTACAAGTAAGCCTTGTGCACTGACGTTAGTGGAGAGGGAATAGTCTATTTACATGTGATTTTTAACGTTCTTTAGTGCGATGATACATGGTACGTGGCGACAGTAAATAGCGCATGCCGTAAATCTGTTTGCTTCTGAAACACCAGATACTTAGCATCCCGTGCATGTAAACTGATATCTCAGAACTGCGGATTGTGTGGATCTACATACGTTTTGTCATTCCGTAGATTGCAGCCTCACATGTTCAAATGGGGGAACTCTGGACAAAGACAAGTGTCAGTGTGCATGCGCGGGGGGATACCGTGGTGCAGATTGTACTAAACTTCCATGTAAAACCGAGTGTGTGAACGGGAAGGTCAGCCAGGAGAATTGTGCCTGTGAATGTACGGATGACTGGAGAGGCCCCAAGTGTGGTGAGTCTAATATCGCCTCGACCGTCATCGGGTGGATAGTTTGAGGGAGATACCCATCAGTCTGGTTCCTTGATGTTCTGTAGAATTTCCAGTAATACTGTGAAGAAATATTCTTACCATATGTAGGTCCATACACATGAAGGAAGTAACCATTAACCAATAGTGAAATCGTCGACTATAACTTTTAATGATACACGACATTTTTACGTGTTCACTCTATCTGACCGTGAAGGTCCGGGTTAGAACTTTCGGCAACCCGTGCTTGTAAGAGGCGACTAACGGGATCAGGAGGTCAGGCTCACTGACTTGGTTGACGCATGTCACCGGTTCCCAATTGCGCAGATTGATGCTCATGCTGTTGATCACTTGATTATCTGGTCCAGACTCGATTATTTACAGGCCGCCGCCATATAGTTGAAATAATGCTGAGTACGGGGTAAAACTACACTCGCTCACTCACTTTGTAAACATTCGGTCATCAAGTACCCGGGTAAAACTCACTACATAGGTATACTACTAAACTCGTTTCTGGTTTACCCTGTACCGCCAGGCAGTTGCGACTTAATCTTTTAATCTGTTTTAGACTGTAATCTGAAATGCCAGAATGGAGGAAAACTGGATGAAGATAAGTGTCAGTGCACCTGTACCGGGGGATACCGGGGTGCTGTGTGCAGCCTTCCACCGTGTACCACCGAGTGTGTCAACGGCAAGGTCAACCAGGAGAACTGTGCTTGTGTGTGTAGCACAGGCTGGAGTGGATTCAAGTGCGGTACGTTATTCGTTCTCAAATAAAATCACGTTTCATTTTCAAATTCCCAACATGTCAAGTTCAAATGCTAATTTATTTTTTTTAAATCACATTTGACGAGCACACTGTTCTCAAGTATATGGCTTATGGTCTGTGGGTATAGAAACACTGGCAATTTCTGGGTTTTTTTAGGTTTTAAGAATCATTTGAAAACACAATTATAAGGAAATAATACTCAATCTGATAGAAATTCCAGTAAGAAATGTAACCGTTGGGATATTTTATCGTCATTTATCAATGTTGATGTGAAGTTTACACGACATTGTCTAGGTGACAAATTTCAAGGACTCTTCATACAATCGGGGTGTATAAATATTTCATACATATTGACAACGTGCATAAAAACAGTACCCCAACAGATCACGTTGGAAAAAAAACTACCCCCTCCCATAACCACACGCCATTAACGTAGTCACGGTCGTATTTTAATCATTACACATGTTAGTACCTGCAATTTGACATATGCATATGGAAACGGACATGTTTCTGCATTCTTTCAGACTGTAAACTCAAGTGCTTGAATGGAGGTTCCTTGCAGTCGTCCACGTGTAAGTGCACGTGTGTTGGTGGTTACCGTGGTGCAGACTGTAGTCTGCCGCCATGCAACACGGCCTGTGTCAACGGGAAGGTCAACCAGAAGGACTGTGCTTGCGAGTGTTCAGAAGGCTGGGTGGGATCCAAATGCGGTGAGTTGTAATCAGTCTCGATGTTCTACCGAAATAGATCAAACAATTGACAACGGTACTCATCGATACAATTTAGAGGAGATTCAACGGTCATGTCGCAAGCTCCATCACAGAAACTTGCAAGGAACAAAGGTTTTAAGTGTCGAGTAAACAATGGACTGGAGGGATACCATGAAACTGAGCTGTCACTGTAGCCAACATCAACCATTGCCCAATTCATGAAATGAGATGCAACTCATTCATTTATACTGCGCTAAGTTCCACATTATGCTATACATTATGCTATACATTATGCTATACATGATGCGACCATGTACGGCTGGTTCAAAGTGACAAACAGAACCAATAAAGTGACTTGAGGTTTGGATTTAAAACTGTGAAGCAATAATTGCCAAAAACGATTGCAGTATGCATTCTGTATTAAATGGTAATATTCAAGCATATATATTATCCAAAAGCAGTTAACGATAATTAACTTTGTGGGAGTTGTTTTGCAGTGCATACTGAACACCATGCCATTTAAAACAAACTCAAAACAATATCCCAGTAAACATTCAAGTTTCACCAACTTTGGGAAGTTGTCACTGTTCCTATACTGTTACCTGGAGTCATCACCTTTTAGATAGGATGTCATGGGTACAGAGTCGTACCCCTCATCCTCGACAGATACCCGTAGTCGTCTGTTCCAGACCGCCTCCGTGGTGTAGTGGTTAGAGCGTCCGCCCGGAGAGCGGTAGGTCGCGGGTTCGATCCCCGACCACGTCATACCAAAAGATGTTAATATGGTACTTGTTGGTCCCTGCCTGGCGCTCAGCATTAATGGGTACATCAAGGACTGGTCGACTCGGAGTCAGTATGTGTCTGAGTGGGGTATTCATGCTTCACTGCGGCATGGTATCTCAGTGGGCTAGCACTATAAAACCAGCTTCAGTCTGGGCTAGTACAAGCAGCCGCACATACACATGCACACGCATGCACGTCGTCATATGAGCGAAATATTCTCAAGCACGACGTTAAACCCAATTTCACCTCACCTCTTCTGTTCGAATCCCACCTTGACTGGGCTCGTCTGCGATTTCACTACTGCGTTACAGAAAGTTACTTTGGTTGTCTTGGTGGCGGGTACACCTTCATATGCTGAAAAGAAGGATCCCCTTTGTTTCAGACTGCAGTCGTACATGCTCGAATGGAGGAGCCTTAGACAAGGAGAAGTGTGCGTGTACATGTGCGGGTGGCTACCGAGGAGCAGATTGTACATTACCGCCTTGTAAGACGGTCTGTGTCAACGGGAAGGTCAACCAGAAGAACTGTGCCTGTGATTGTACCGAAGGATGGACTGGTCCCAAGTGTGGTAAGGTCTTAGTTCCGTATCACCTTGCGATGTTTAAGGGGACTTTGTATCTACATTTGCGTGAACTGAACGTGTCTACGATTTTGTGGACTAAAGGATCGACATTCTTAGCGCCTGTTCTTAGCACTCAAACTTATACATTCATGTTTAAACCACTGTTACAGTGCATTACAAAGCGGTCAAATGTCGCAGTATGCATTGTTGCATACGCTCTTGCTACAGTCTCTCTACAGCCTTGGCCTGAATGTGAACCTTTACTGCTCAACATAAGCTATTCCCGTCGAGGGGTTTTGAAATACTGCGCGTCTGCGACCTGTCCATGCTGGCTTGACCCGTGAAGATCTGGGGTAGAATAGGTCTTCAGCAACCCATGTGCTTGCCATAAAAGGCGACTATGCTTGTCGTAAGAGGCGACTAACGGGATCGGGTGGTCAGTTTCGCTGACTTGGTTGACACATGTCATTGGTTCCCAAGTGCGCAGATCGATGCTCATGCTGTTCATCACTGGATTGTCTGGTCCAGACTCGATTATTTACAGACCGCCGCCATATTGTTGAAATAATGCCGAGTGCGGCGTAAAACTAAACTCACTCACTCGCTCCATGCTGGCTTTCGTCCACGTTTAGAACTTGAGCACCTACCTATCGGTTTAGCTGAGGAAGTTAACTGTTGGAGATGGTGTTTCTTTCCCTAAGAAAGATGATGGAATTCAGTGTTCAGTGCATGTTATGTTCCATATGTTAAATTCAGACAAGCAAGTCTATTTTCACCTGCTGGATTATGTTGTCTTTCAATTTAAAATCAAATACTATTCCAACAAATCGTTGCAATAATTCTTTTTCAGATTGCAATCGTAAATGCGCCAATGGGGGTACCTTAGACAAGGAGAAATGCGAGTGCACATGTACCGGTGGCTACCGAGGAGCTGACTGTAGTCTTCTTCCATGTAAGACGATCTGTATTAACGGGAAAGTCAACCAGAACAACTGCGCTTGCGAGTGTACAGAAGGCTGGAGGGGTGCCAAGTGTGGTGAGTTGTCAGATCCTCCATGCTGTGTAAGATCTTTAATGGTCCCGGGTCGGTGGGGTAGCCCAGTGGTTAAAACGTTAGAGGGTACAATGTGTGAAGACCATTTCTGGTGTCCCCCGCCATGGTATTCCATAATGTTGCTAAAAGCGGTCACAACAATGCTGGTTCACTTTAATGGAAACTGTATGGGTGTCTGTTGCGTGTACACAAGATTAATTTAGCAAACATGCATCTTTGAAACTGAACATTTAGTACAGTTTATCATGACGCAAGAGCTAAGCCAATGCGCAAAAGCGTAGGTGTCAATGATTTATTACATTTAGTATCCTCTACGTATTTTAAAATAGATTGCGGTCGGAAGTGCAGCAATAATGGCACCTTAAATGTCGACAAATGTGAATGCACGTGCGCTGGTGGTCACCGTGGTACAGACTGTAGCAAGCCTCCATGTACCACGGAATGTGTCAATGGCAAGGTCAACCAGGCAAACTGTGCCTGCGAGTGTGCAGCCGGGTGGCGTGGTCCCAAATGTGGTAAGGTACCTTTGTTCCGTTCCTACTTGTAATATCCAACTGTCAGAACATAGCAAGTGTTGTAGGTGATTTTTAATTTGGTTTGAATAGAAATAAATAGTTTCTACATATCAGAATAGGAATATTAACATGGCGTTTACTAGAAAACAGCTTTTGGTAAATTTGACTTTAATATCATGTCTGCCACACCAGCAATTTGTTCACGGAAATAAGTACTGTTCACTTTCAGTCTGATCTGTGATCGACGAGTCATAAACCTTGGCTCATCCATACATGGATACAGGGTTTGATAACCATTCTGGGTATCCCTTGCCCTTATCGTGATAGCATTGCTAGTAAAACTACTGTCTGATATTCTTGCTTCGGGTAGAAACTGACCGTATCTTTTTGTAAAAGTAAAACCACAATCACTTAAATCTTCGTTTCAAGACTGCAACCTTAACTGTGCCAACGGAGGAACCCTGGACAACATCAACTGTCGATGCACCTGTGCTGGCGGGTACCGTGGTTCCGACTGTAGCAAGCCTCCGTGCAAAACCGAGTGTGTCAACGGGAAGGTCAACCAGGAGAACTGTGCCTGCGAGTGCACAAAGGGATGGAATGGTCCCAAGTGTGGTGAGTTGATCCAGTTTGTAAGAGTTAATCGGAAGGTCCACCTTTTGAAAAGATACTCTACATGGGTGCTTATTAAAATCATCGCCTTGGACATCATCCTGTAACTGGCATTTATAGTCATGATATCACATGTCATCCTGCAATGGAGTGGCTTATCTGTGCCAGAAGACATTTTTCCAATGTTATTACTGTTAAAAGCCACACCGGGTGGATGACAACTTCAGTGGCCAGAGTTCGGTCATATCCTTACTTCCAGACACGAGTCACTGTTTATATTGCTCATATTGCAGCAGACTCGTGAAGATCCGGGGTAGAATAGGTCTTCAGCAACCCATTGTCATAAAAGGCGACTATGCTTGTCGTAAAAGGCGACTAACGGGATCGAAAGGTCAGGCTCGCTGACTTGGTTGACTCATGTCATCGGTTCCCAATTGCGCAGATCGATGCTCATGCTGTTGATCACTGGATTGTCTGGTCCAGACTCGATTATTTACAGACCGCCGCCATATAGCTGGAATATTGCTGAGTGCGGCGTAAATCTCACTCACTCATATTGCAGCATACCTACAGTGTTCTGATCTGATTCGGCAGCGCATGCGTAACATGAACAAGTACGCCAGTGTCGATGATTAACAGCTGCGATATTTGTATTGCAGATTGTGATTTGAAGTGTGATAATGGAGGCACTTTGAACAAAGAGACCTGTAAATGTACATGTGCCGGCGGATACCGAGGTGCAGACTGTACACAAGATCCATGCAAGACGGAATGTGTGAACGGGGATGTCAACCAGGCGAACTGTGCCTGCGAATGCACGAAAGGCTGGACTGGTCCTAAATGCGGTAAGACGAATAACGCTTACGTGTGCGCATGCATTGATGTTGGTCTGCTTGTGCGTGCCTTTTTGTAATGACCGGTTCGGCCTTCTGCATTCTTCTTCATAGAGATCGTCCATATTGGGGTACATATTATGCATTTTCCTGCTGAAAAATGTCCTGTGACAGTTGTATCAATGTTTTTTGAATAAAAAGATTGAACAATAAATAAACTCTTTTATTTATTATACGGCCCCTGCCTCACGGAGTTACCTCCCTTAGCGCATGCGCACCAACTGGGTAGGCTCCTAGACCCGTATCATCATTCCTTCTGCTGTCACTGCCATGAACAGACGTATGTAATACTTCATGAGCCGGACGCAGCTGAACTTTCTGACGAACCAGAAATTGAATATGTCTCAAACACCACCTGTATGTATGGTCTTTATTTGCTTATGAAAGGAACAGTAAAGCTTTACAGTTGGTTGTTTCATAATTGTGACTTTGTATTAATTCTAATACGCGAACTTTCCCGTGGTTTACGCACGTGTTGCTCTGCCATGGCGGGAAGTTTAGCGTGCCATGTGGTCGTAATATTGAGTATTAAAACCAACTATTACTTTCCGTGGTAACCTTCACGTATTTTTCAATGTTTTCTACGTGTTTATATGCTGCTGGCCGCTGTTAGCTACATGCTTGCGTGTTTGCTTTCAGGCCTTTTCATCCTGTTCGGTCTGTGGACAAAGTATTCCACGGGCCGACGGGCATGAGACAATCGTTGCCTGTCTCGAGAAGACGGGACACGATGCGGAATCTTGTCCAATATGTCTTGGGTTTTCCCCCCGGGCCCAAAAGAGGAGGGCGGCGGATACGCTCTTCTACCGGGAGATGCGTGAGGCGGGTGGGGAACTGACGCAGGTCCCCCCGTCTAAGGCTAAAAAGCCGTCAAAAAAGGAAAAAAAATCCGTGGCCAAACCCCCTCTCCCGCCAGTACTGGTGGCTTTGACATGTCGATAATGGAAACCTTGTTTCAGCAGCATATGGACTCTGTGAAGTCCCTCGTTCGTGAGTCAGTTGGAGGTCTCCGCCAGGAGTTCCTCGCTCACTCCGGACGGGGGGCGGAGAGTCAGGGGGTGGGATCGCCGGGCTCGGCTCGATCCCTCAGCCTTGAGGCGTCTGTTGACCCGTTGCCTCTGGCTTCGGGTCCGGACGCCTCGGCTGCCCCGGAGGGGGAGGTGCTCCCAGTCCCCCTCTCGGAGTTGGCGCAGGGACCGTTGAGTATTCCTGGTGTTCCAGTCCCTGCGCACTCCCGCCCCATGAGAGCGGAGGCACCAGTTCTGCCTGGCCTGCCTCCAGCGTCTCGGGACCGGGGTCCATGCACGCCTGCTGGCGCCGACGTGGAGCAGTCTGTCTGCTCTTCCCTTTCTGTGCTTCCTAGCGTTAGGCAGCCCACCGGGTCGGGGTTAGGGTCCTCTTTCGGAGGAGACCCAGCCTCTGACTCAGGCTCGGGCGCCGAGGCAATGGAGCTTGGGGAGGTAGAGGAGCATGACGGAGGCTTCCGTTTTGCTTCGGCTCTGCGGGAGGTCCGGCAAAGAATTGCCGAGGGCCTACCCCAAGCCGCGGTGCCTGTGGGTTGCGTGGACTCGGCTGAGTTCCGCTTGCCTGGCGAGGCGTTTGCCCCTCGGCAACCCTCGCAGACGCAGCTCCGCATTTTGCCTTCGTTGGTCTCAGACGTGGTTGATCCCCTCTTGTCTGGTGCCCGAGTCCGGTTCGACTTGCCGGATCTCGTGCGGCGCTACCAGCTTGGGGAGGACTCCCTGTTTGTAGTTCCCATCGTTGACGAGTCCGTGTTCACTTCCGTCGCCCTGGGGGGAGGCTCGGCTTCCTCCGGAGCAGCTCCGGCTGCTCGGCAAAGGCGCCTCACTCCACCTTTTGCCCTCGCGGGCGCCCCCCTGCGGCACGCGTACCGGACCTACGAGGAGGTCTACCGGAACGCAATGCAGCAGGTCAGGGTGGTCCACGAGGCCTACCTCTCCTCTATTCAGAGGTCGGCCCTGGAGGCGGAGGGCATGCTGGCGACGTTTCGCGCATGTCGTGCTGCTCCGTCAGCTCACCGGAAGTGCAGGCCCACCTGCCGCGCGACTCTTTGCGGTCTGCAGCGTCGACGGTGATGTGCGCAGTCATGGGGATGCGCAAGCTGTGGCTGTCGACGTCTAGGTACTCGGCAGCGACGCAGCAGACCTTGCTGGCCCTCCCTTTCCGTCTGGGAGCGACCCTCTTTCCAGGGGCCCAGCAGGTCATACGGGAGGCTGCTGCTGCAGCTACCTCCTTCAAGGATTCTAAGGCCTTGTTGGAGCACCCGCGGGTGTCTCGCTCACGCGCTCCCGTTCCACCTTCCTCCGCCGGGGCTGCAGCCTACGCCGAGTCTGCCGGCTGGCCGGCGCTTGGTAGGGGTAGGCGGAGGAACAGGTCCGCCAAGGGTAGGGGCAAGGAGCAGTCCTCGACTAGCTCCCAGCCTTTTCGCGGGCGCGGGAGGTCTGCCCCGACCTCCCGTTAACCCATCAGGCTGCCGCTCAAGCCGTGTGTCACACCCAGTCAGCTCCGCTACTAGGGTCCACGCCGCGCGCTCCTACCCCATATCCCAGTGGGAGGCCGCCTCTCTATTCCTGCCGGAATGAGAGAAGGCTACCAACAACGCTTGGGTGCTGGCCACGGTCAGCATAGGCCATTTACCACTGTGGAAGCGAGGTCCGCCCGACTTCACCGGCATACGTCACACTCCGGTGCCGTCATGTCAGGCCAGGGCGGACATATTGCGCGACGAAGTTCAGGCTCTGCTGGACAAGTCCGCAATCGGCGCATTCCACCGGAGAGGAACAGGCGGGATTTTACTCCACGTACTTCCTCGTCGAAGAAAGGCGGCGGGTTCCATCCTATTCTCAACCTCAAGGGGTTGAATCGCATGCTAAAGTACCATCCTTCAAGATGGAGACACTGCGCTCGGTGATCTCATCTGTTCAGCCCGGCGATTGGCTCACGTCAATCGACCTAAAGGATCGCGTATCTGCATGTACCAATACATCCATCGTTCAAGCAGTACCTTCGGTTCTCTTCACGGCGGGATGTGTTACCAATTCAGGGTGCTCCCCTTCGGCATATCGACTGCCCCAAGGGTGTTCACCAAGCTCATGTTAGTCCCAGCTACCCTAGCTCGTTCGCAAGGAAGGCGTTGTTACCCTTACCTAGACGACTGGTTGCTCGGAGCACTAACTCAGCCAGCGAGTCAAGATGCTACTCACACAGTGATAGACATTCTAACTCGACTGGGGTGGATCATCAACCTCAAGAAATCCGACCTGGTACCCACCCAGGACTTGGTTTTTCTTGGAGCGCGATTCCAAACGAACAAGGATCTCGTTTCCTTGTCGCCCGACCGGATCACCAGAGTTCGGGAGATGGTATCTTCATTCCTCTCCCAGCCCCAGGCACCAGCACGGACTTGGCTCCGTCTACTGGGCCATATGGCGGCGACAATCTCTGTAGTGTGGCGGGCGCGGTTGAGGATGCGTCCTATACAGCAAGCTTTGGCTCGGCTGTGGACTCACACGGAGGATCTGGAGTGCAGTCTCACAGTCCCCGAGTGGTTGACACCTCTTCTTCAGTGGTGGACAAATGTCGTGAATCTCACCAGGGGGATCCCCTTGGAAATCCCGACGCCAGCTCTCACAGTTCAGACCGATGCGTCCCTCACGGGCTGGGGGGGTGTTCTGGGCAGTCTGTCGGCATCCGGACTCTGGTCCGAAGCCGAAGCCCACCTTCACATCAACGTGTTGGAACTGAGAGCTGTGCGGTTGGTATTCCAGCGCTTCAGAGAGCATGTCCGTGGCCAGGTAGTCCGTCTTCAGTTGGACAACCAGACGGCCATGTCGCATACATCCTGAAGCAGGAGGCACGGTGTCCCCAGCGCCTCCTCCGGGAGGCGTGGGACTTTCTCCTCTGGTGCGACCAGTACGATTGTCAGGTACTCCGTTTATCTCCCGGGGCTGGAGAACGTGCGAGCAGATGCGCTCTCTCGCCGGATCCTGGCCCCGCACGAGTGGATGCTCGACAGGCAGATTTTCACAGTAATCTCCCAGTTGTACGGGTCGTTCCAGGTGGATCTGTTTGCGTCCGGCGGGACGCATCAGACACCCATGTTCTGCTCTCGGATACCGGACCCAGGGGCGTTGGCTGCTGACGCCTTCCTGCTGGATTGGACGGGCAAAGTGCTCTGGGCGTTCCCGCCGTTACCACTCATTCCCCGTGTCCTTTCACAGCTGTCCACCCAGCCAGCTCGGCTACTTGTGCTACTGGCACCGCTTTGGCCGTCACAGAGCTGGTTTCCGGTAATTCTCAGGTTTCTGGCTCAGCCTCCTGTTCTATTACCTTTACGACCGGACATTCTCACTCAGAACGGAGCGCCTCACCCAAATCCACGGATTCAGTGGGTGGCTTGGCCTCTGTCAGGTCTAGCCTCCAGGCACGCGGAATTCCTGCAGCAGTTGCAGACACAATTCTGGCTTCGAGGCGGGATTCGACAAACGTTCAGTACGAGGATAGGTGGTCCCGCTATGCTCGCTGGTGTTCAGATAGGGGCATTGCAGATCCCTTTTCTGTGGATTTAGTCCGAGTATTGGAGTTTTTGCAAGCTCGTTTGGAAGAAGGCCTGGCGGCTTCGACCATTCGTGGCTACTCCACCGCTATTTCCACTTTTCACACCCCTGTCGATGGTGCTCTTCTGGGGCAGCACCCTCTCATACAGCGCTTTCTTGCTGGCGCGGAACGGATTCGACCTGCGCTATGCGAACCAGTCCACCTTGGGATTTGTCAATTGTGCTAGATTGGCTGTCCGGTCCTACTTTCTCACACCTATCGGCTATTTCCATTCAGTTAACTTGGAAAGCTGTGTTTTTGGTGGCGGTAACATCTGGACGTAGGGTCGGCGATTTACATGCTATGTCGTCCGACCCGGCGCTGACTGTTTCACACGGATCGTGTCAGTATTCGCCTCCCAGATGCTTACCGACCGAAGGTCGATCACGCTTTCCATGTGACAGCTCCTATCGAACTTCCTACTCTTACCCAGCCTTCCACATCGGGGACCACTCCTACGAGCACTCACCCGTTGGATGTCCGTAAGACGCTCAAAGTCTATATCAAACGAACGCAGGGGATCCGTACGGGTACCCAGCTGTTCTGTTACGGTGGCGGGAAGGCTGGTCTGCCAGCGAGCAAACAGACTTTGTCTCGCTGGCTCGTTTCGTGTATTTGTGCCGCTTATCAGGCTAAGGGCAAGCTTCCCCCTGAGGGGTTGAAGGCTCACTCGGTCAGGGCAGTAGCCGCATCAAAAGCTTTTGCATCGGCACTCCCCATTGAAGAGATCTGCTCTGCCGCTATTTGGAGCCGGCCAAGCACGTTTATACGGCATTATCAGCTCGATACGCATTCCCGTAATCGTGCGAGCTTTGGCCGTACTGTTCTCTCCAGTGGACAGTGTCCTGCCACCCTGACCGAGTGAGTCTTGGTTTATTGGTTTGTTTTGACGCTGCTGTACAATATTTGTATTATTGACATGTCTGCTACTGTGAGCTCACTCAGAGAACATGTACCCCCTTTCGATTCTCTTAGGAGTTATTTGTCGATTGTGAGCGGTATTGCATTCCCCCCTACGGTGCTCACTAATAGACACTTCGTGGGTGGGGCTTTATTGACATTCACACTATGTGCGTTGTCTCATTATGCTAAATGGAGGTCGTCTTTGAGTACAATTCCTCCCTGTCAGTTCCCCTCCCATAATGCCTCTCGCGGAAGCGCAACTGGGACACGTGACAGGTGAGTGTTATGGCGTCTGTTCAATTTTTTTCCATGATACGATCGCTATATTTGTGTGTGCTTGGACAGAATTCCCTCCTCCCTGGCCTCCGGTCTTTGGGAGTCTGTGTTTATGCATAATATGTACCCCAAGGACGATCTCTATGAAGAAGAATTAACCAAACCTGAAGAGGTTTTCAATTCTTCGAAGAGAGTCCTGCATGTCCTTTCAGGTTTAGCCTAATTTCATGCACGTGTCTGGGTACAATAGGATATTAATTGCTTTAAATGATTTTACTTCAACCATTTCGGTATGGTTACCGAACTGCATGGTCAATCAGGCTGTTTTCATGCCACTTGTGTATTCCAGTAGTATTGAAACAAGAGACGCCGAACATACATAGATTATATGTAAATTGTGAAAAGCAGAAGCTACCGGTAGAGCAGGACAATTAACCTTTCGCCTTGTGTCGGTGATAGTATATTTATAAATATTTTGCGTTTCACCACAACGGAATCGGTTTCTGCAGATGTGAGATTTATTTTCTGGCACTGACAAATCTATTTAAATGGTATTACAGACTGTCAGCTGACATGCAAAAACAATGGGACGTTGGACAGCACCAAATGTGAATGCACATGTGCGGGTGGTCACCGCGGCGCCGACTGCAGCAAGCCTCCATGTACCACCGTCTGTGTCAACGGCCAAGTGAACCAGGAGAACTGTGCCTGTCAGTGCTACGAAGGCTGGAGCGGACCTAAATGTGGTAGGTAATTCTTCGGTCCTGCCGACACAATTCAAAACACGGAGACCGCCTCCGTGGTGTAATGGTTAGAGCGTTTGCTGAGAGCGAATAGTTGGTACGACGAAACCGGGCAGAATAATCTTACTACGTGTGTGTGTGTGTGTGGGGGTGGGGGTGGGGGTGGGTTGCGTCCACTGTTTGGGGAATAGAGCTGTACTCCTTTTAAATTCATTACAGTTCAGTCGATTGATATCCTTCATAAACGAGAACGAGACTAATTTCACCGCTTGCATTAGTCACACCTTATACTGCATACCTCCACTGAGGAATTGGTGCATGTCTGCCACTGCAGCTTTCAGTGGCCCATCAAACTGGGGAATCAGTCTCAAGCATCCTTTACTTGTAAGATGCAACTAAGTGATAAGTGTCGCTTGCATCATTGTCTGCTTAACTCTGCGTGATCGACGTTGATCCCGCTTTTGTGAATAGTTTGGCCCAAACTCATTGGCAATGCTGGCCCAAACCCATTGGCGATGCTGGCTGGCATTAAACCTAATATCCTTAAATCACTAGATTCTACAGAAACAGTTGTAACTAGCATGTAACATTAGTATACGATATTCTAATTGCTCCAGACTGTAGCCTGAAATGCCAGAATAAAGGAACCTTGGACAAAGCTACCTGCAAATGTGCATGTACCGGTGGTTACCGTGGTGCAGACTGCAGCAAGCCTCCTTGTACAACGCCATGTACCAACGGGAAAGTCAGCCAAGAGAACTGCGCATGTGTGTGTAACGAAGGATGGACTGGCCCAATGTGTGGTGCGTGTATTAACGTTACATTATATTTAAATAATGTATATAGTATATGTTATGTCTACATTATGTCTAAAAATATACATTGGCGAATGATCGATAATTGAAACTGTTAACCGTTTTCATCTCTTGCTTTCAGATTGTAATCTGAAATGCCAGAATGGAGGAAAACTGGATGAAGACACGTGTCAGTGCACCTGTACCGGGGGATACCGGGGTGCTGTGTGCAGCCTTCCACCGTGTACCACCGAGTGTGTCAACGGCAAGGTCAACCAGGAGAACTGTGCCTGCGAGTGCACAAAGGGATGGAGTGGACCCAAGTGTGGTACGTTAAAATGCTAATTGTGCTGATCATTCTCATGCTTAGATATGTATTAAGTTCGAACTTCAGTTGGGTTATACATGTACCAATACAACCGATAAGTATATTAGCGCAATGCCTTGAGAGATAGACCGCCTCCGTGGTGTAGTGGTTACAGCGTCCGCCCGGAGAGCGGAAGGTTGCTGGTTCGATCCCCGGCCGCGTCATACCAAAAGACGTTAAAATATGTACTTGTTGGTCCCTGCCTGGCGCTCGGCATTAATCGGTACAACAGGCCTGGTCGGCTCGGAGTCGGTATAATGTGTCTGAGTGGGGTATTCATGCTTAACTGCGGCATGGTATCTCTGTGAGCTAGCACTATAAAACCAGCTGAAGTCTTGGCTAGTACACGCGCATGCATGCACGTCGTCATATGAGCGAAATATTAAGTACGACGTTAAACCCCAGTTCACCTCACCCGCCTCAAGAGTTAAAACTGGGCACTGGGATAGCCTCGTGGTTAATGCGTATGCTCGTCATTCCGAAGTTCCTGATTCGCACCCCACAGACGTACTATATGTGACTCGCACAGTTTTTGCCGGCGTAAAAAAAACCTTTCTCGGTCCAAACTGGTAGCTATTTGCAAAAACTAATCTTGTGTATTTCGAACGATTTCACTGCTCGCATTTTAGACTGCAGTCTTCAATGTGCCAACGATGGAACCTTGGATAAAGACAAATGTACCTGTACCTGCACGGGTGGCTATCGGGGGGCCGACTGTACGCAACCCCCATGCAAGACGGAGTGCGTCAATGGGAAGGTCAGCCAGACAAACTGTGCTTGCGTATGTACCAAAGGATGGTATGGTCCAAAATGCGGTAAGTTTGTTGATGGGCACTTCAAAACCTTTTCATAGTTCCCGGATGTGGGTTCAAATCCCGGATTGGGCTCAACACCACCAAAAGTACTAGAATCTGAACTTTACTAAGAAAGTGTAATCCCAAATATAACATGTTACATTTGACCACTTTCTAAATGGCATTGTATATTTCATAGTTCCACAGAAGAATATTCTGTAAGACATTGAGTGTTCTTAGTTGGTGAGGTGACTACTCGATAACGTTTTTGTAAATATTCAATATTGTCCATGTTCAGATTGCAGTCTCGTATGTCAAAATGGAGGCACGTTAAACACCGAGAACTGCCAGTGCGCGTGTACGGGTGGTTACCGTGGAAACGATTGTAGTCTTCCGCCATGCAAGACAGAATGTGTCAATGGTAAAGTGAACCAGAAGAACTGTCTATGCGAGTGTACAGAAGGCTGGAAGGGTCCGAAATGCGGTTAGTTTTTAACGTTTATGTATTCATGTTTTGACGCTTTCCTTCTGGCGATTTCAAACCCATTTATACAGCTGATTCTTTAATATATCATTTGAATTAATCACCATTTGAATGGGTCCTCGTTGAACGTAACGTAGTGGCCAGTGGGATGTCGGAAGGTCAGCGGTAAGTTACCCGTCCCGTATTGTACGAAATACAATTGCACTTGTTTAACCCTGTCGGCCTCTCCATTTTAATGACGAAACAAGTCGTTTACTTGTGTTCAATCCCCATGCTGGTGATTTCTAAACTGAAACTAGGGTGAACCCATACACCGGTTACAACTGTAACTGTACATCGGTAAATGACAAAATGAAGACATTATTCTGACGCAGAGTGAAGAGCGACAGTAGAATAAGCAACAAGTTTTCATGTGAAATCTCGCATCAATAATGAACATTCAGCGTATGTTTGACAACGTCCTGTTCAGACTGGCTACAAAAGCGCTCCATACTGTACGAGTGATGTTTAACTCCTGTATTTTGCTTATCGAAAAGTTTTGGTCGCACAGCACCTGTTTTCCCCGTTTAAATTTAGTAGCTGGTTGAGATTTGTACTACCTTTTTGATATTCTAAAGTGACAATGTTTTCGACTAAAACGTCCCTTTTTGTATTATACTATCAAACATATTTGGTTTGAACAAACCAACCCTAATTGTGACTTAACTAATTCCTATAACAATGACTTGTCATCGTGGGGCTACTTACAACAGTTCTGCACTAGTCCATGACCTTATAGTGCCTTTTACCACATGTCGTCTCTTGGGTGAGTCGTTTATCTTTGACAAGTGTTATATTGTGAAACTGAACACGTACTAAACTGTTCCAGATTGCAACCTCAAATGTGAGAATGGCGGTACCTTGGACGCAGACAAGTGCGCGTGCACTTGCGTGGATGGCTATAGAGGAAATGATTGTAGCAAGCCCCCGTGTACGACAAAATGTGTTAATGGAAAGGTGGATCAGGAGACGTGTGTTTGCAAGTGCTCAGAAGGCTGGGCTGGACAACATTGTGGTGAGTTCATTTACATTCGACAAGCAATACCAGAGGGTACTTAACGTGTAGGTCCTCAATAGGCATAAAATATGTTATACATGTATGTACTGAATCTTAAATTGTCATCTGCATTTAGATTGCGGTAGGCAGTGCGGCAATAATGGCACCTTGAATGCGGACAAATGTGAATGCACGTGCGTTGGTGGTCACCGGGGTCTAAACTGCACCAAGCCTCCATGTACCACGGAATGTGTCAATGGCAAGGTCAGCCAGGCAAACTGTGCCTGCGAGTGTACAGCCGGGTGGAGTGGTCCCAAGTGTGGTGAGTGTACAAGTTTTTCGAGTTCGGACTTTCAGCTTAACCATAACCATATTATCTTCAGGTTTTAACTGCTTCCAGTGTGGCTGACGTATTATATACATACGCTCTTATGCATAAAACGTGTGCCTGCGAGTGTACAGCTGGATGGAGCGTTCCCAAGTGTGGCGTGTATAACGAGGATTCGGGGCGGTGGGGTAGCCTAGTGGTTAAAGCGTTGGCTCTTCACGCCGAAGACCCGGGTTCGAATCCCCACATGGGTACAATGTGTGAAGCCGATTTCTGGTGTCCCCCGTCGTGATGTTGCTGGAATATTGCTAAAAGCGGAGTAAAACCAAACCCTGTCAGTCAGTATAACGAGGATTCATTCGATTATACAAGTATTTAGTTGAAATACGTTTTTGAACATCGATTTTAATTCAGTGCCTAAACGCATGAGAAAATGTGAATTTGTTAGCGAATAGTCTTAACTTCATCAGAACCTGACGCAGAGGTGACTATTAGTATTATAGCATCGCCTTTGACGGTGCAGCAAACACTTGATCAGTTTTAGATGACGTATGTAATCAAGCACGTTATACTAGAGATTAAACTCACTCACTCTGGTTCTAAACCCACTCTGTGATACTGGTCACACAAACCTGATGTGACTCAACCCCTAAAAATATTAGAATCTGTACACATAAATTATAACCCAAATATAACATGTTATATTTTGCCTCCTAAATGGCATTTTGTCATTAATGACTTATGTAATCAGTAAATACGAAAGTTAAAGTATCTTTCCGAAGATTGCAAGCTGAGTTGTGCCAATGGAGGAGCCTTGGACGAAGAGAAGTGTGCGTGTACATGTGCGGGTGGCTACCGAGGAGGTGATTGTACACTACCACCTTGTAAGACGGTCTGTGTCAACGGGAAGGTCAACCAAAAGGACTGTGCCTGTGATTGTACCGAAGGGTGGACTGGTCCCAAGTGTGGTAAGGCAAATGTCATTACATCTCATGTTCGGTATACCTAATTTGTCAGACAAAGCATACTGAATTGGTTGCGTTAAAGTGCTACAACATTAGTCTGGGAAAGTGTTTTCAGGGACGAGGCAGGTTGTACGTTTATTAAATGAAAAACGTTAGATCTACATTTCCCCTTTCATCGAGATAATAAATGAAGAGAACATGGCACACAAGTCTGTCATGCTTGCCAGAAGAGTATTCCTCCATTCACCCACCCAAACAATCACCTAACAACCATGACAAAGGACAGTGATCACCTGAATGTGAGAAATGAGTCGATAACGCCTACATGGCTCAACATATAGAAGATTGATCTACACGACAGGATAAAATACCTTGTACAGCTATTTTAAGAAATTTGGGATAAAGTCCATATTTGCCACCTCAGCGGTCTTGTAAACAAGACATCATTCTGATGTTTCACGCTAGTTAATCTGCCTGGTGTTTGGCATTAGAGGATAAAACTAAGGTTTGATCGTGTTGGAATCGGTACACTGTCATTGTTGCGCGTCGTCTTTTGAATCTCGGCGGTCAGAAACTATATAATCGGCATTTGACTTGCACGCATGCATTTCACTACAATGCAGTCACTGTAATGGCAATGTTAAAACCTTATTTCATCTCTTATGGTAGATGACGATCCCATTCACACATTCCTAATGAAGACTGAAAGTGGGCCAACCCTCCACTAGGCTTCTGCATGCAATGGAGAATCGTGATGTTTTCCCATCACTGATAAATGAGAACATGACAGATACGTGTGTGTGTATATAGTGGGGAATGTGTAACTATTCAAGACTATTGATGAATGCAAACACGTTGAATTTACTATCGTTACAGATTGTGATCTCAAATGCGCCAATAACGGCACCTTGAACAAGGACACCTGTAAATGCACCTGTGTTGGTGGCTACCGAGGAGTTGACTGTGCACAAGCTCCCTGCAAGACAGCATGCGTCAATGGGAACGTCAACCAGAAGACGTGTGCCTGTGAATGCACGGAAGGCTGGACTGGGCCCAAGTGTGGTACGTAGTCTGAATTTTAATGTAATGTGTCTTACATGAAAATATTTCTCCAAACGCTCGAGTTGTTACGGTTAATAAATTGCCGTGACAAAGGGTTTAAGAATCCCCTTTGAACCAGCAAAATATAACAGACAAGTCTAAAATATTCAATAATATATTGAGCAAACAATGAGCAAGCTACAATGAATCACAATACAGATTTCTAGTACAATGCAATTGAGTCACAAATCTAAAGTAATGGGTCACATATAAATATTAACTCTCTAGAGTCGTGGTAACCACAGTGAGATCAGATATTCTAAATGGAGCTTGTTTACAAATGAGAGCAGTCAGGCACGAAGTGTCAGGGTCAGACGATGTCGATGTGACGAAGGACGAAGGCAAACAACGATGGGCAACTCCAGTGATATCGAAAGTGCCGTGTAATTCCGTGTCAGTCCTTGCGTGTCACCCCACACAAACAGCCAGCCTTTTATATATACTGACAGATTCTCGAACTTTCCAGCAAAGCATGTCTGTATCATTAACCACTTTGATCTTTCTTGAAACGTGTTGAACATACGACATGACGATGTCAACACATAAACATCCGGTCAAGGAGGTAACTCTCTGAGCGCTATCATAAAGGCGTGCCGCTAAAATACTGTTGCCACTGAACATATGACTCGAAATGTGACCCACAACCAACACTCAAAACTTTAAACTCATAATTATTATTATTATCACCCTACCAATGTTATTACAAATTACAAAAACTCTCGTAACAATGTGAACAGCCTAGCCCTATAAAATCTAAATTGGGGAACCAAATGTAGCATTTAAGATCTTCGAGACTGATTTAATTCCAGAATCACAACTAAAATTTAAGAACTAGATCTATTTACCTGGTCCCAAGTGTGGTATGCATCGTTTACAAAAGCTTTTACTTAATATATTTGAATTAGAAAATGTTACCTCTGAAATTTACTGTGCACACCTTTCTTTTCAGACTGCCAACTTGCTTGCAAGAACGGTGGAGCCTTGGACAAAACAAAGTGTGAATGTGCATGTGCTGGCGGATACAGGGTGCCGACTGCAGCAAACCTCCCTGCCAAACGGTCTGTGTGAATGGGAAGGTCAACCAAGAGAACTGTGCGTGTGAGTGTACAGACGGTTGGAGCGGCCCCACTTGTGGTAAGTAAGAACAAATCAGTTTGAATCGCATAATGTGCCTATACATATTTCGGAACGGCGGTGTAACCTAGTGGTTAAAGCGTTGGTTCGTGGAAGACAGGATTTGGGCTTCACGCATTGCACCCAGGTGGAGAATCTATTTCCAGCGTCCCCGCCGTGATATTGCTGGAATATTGCTAACAGTGGCATAAAACCATACTCACTCATTCACTCTTCAAGGCGAATATTTAACTACTTAAATAGTGTAGTACGCCAGAGCTCAATATACAGTCTCACCTCTCCCACAAAAATGCACACAAACCTAATTCTTGTACCTTAGACGAACCTTATCTTTGCCTCCAGCTTGCAGCTTAAAATGCGCCAATGGAGGAGTGCTAGACAAGGACAAGTGTACATGTACTTGTGCTGGTGGTTATCGAGGCGCCGACTGCACAAAGCCACCATGTAAGACGGAGTGTGCCAACGGGAAGGTCAGCCAGGCTACCTGTCTGTGTGAATGTAGTCAAGGCTGGACTGGAGCCAAGTGTGGTAAGTCGAATGGACCGTGTGTTCAAAGAAAGTGTACAGCTGATCCATTATCATCATTGCAAGCATATTCTAACATGATCCAAGGGAGAACGTGGAAGGTGTATTGTACTTTGCCACAATAACAAGTGCTGTCCGAAGGGGGTGGTACCGTGCAGATGCGGGTTACAATTAGTCTCAGTAATCCATGCTTGTCGAAAGAGGCGACTGACTGGTTCGGGTGGTCAGTCTTGCTGACTTGGTTGACACATCATCGTATCCCAATTGCGTAGATTGATGCTCATGCTGTTCGTCTCTGGATTGTCTGGTCCAGACTTGATTATTTACAGACCGCCAAAATATTGTGTGCCGAGTTAAACAATAAGGTAGAAGTGCACGCGCGTTTGTAGAAGTACAGTCGTTTGAAAGCATCCCGTGTCCGGCAGCTATCGAGTGGTTATTTAGTGATAATTTCCATCTTGACCACGAGTGTCGAGCTAAATAATTGCTCAAGTATCATTTTTTAACTATACAGATTGCAATCTAAGATGTTCTAACGGGGGAACCTTGGACGAAGACAAATGTGAATGTGGATGTACCGGCGGCTTCCGAGGGGCTGACTGTAGTCTCCCTCCATGCAAGACGGAGTGTGTCAATGGCAAGGTCAACCAAAAGAACTGCGCATGTGAATGCACAGCAGGGTGGACTGGATCTTCTTGTGGTAACCAGATGAATTACATAGATCACCTTGTTCCCGTCTCTGTAAGATGAATGGTTGATACGCCCTCGCATACTGACTGGTTCCACCGTTGCCACATATTAGCTTGGCAGTGAGGCTGCCTGGTAATTATACTCCCGCTACGAAGTAACGGGGGTATATAGCGCTCATTCTGTCCGTCCGTCTCGAAACTTTGTCCGGAGCATATTTCTTAAAGTTTACATGCCAGGTTCATCAAACTTCACACATGTTAATCATTACCCATGGAAACATGACTTAGTGCCAAATGTGTTCGATTATTTTGGCCTGAGCATATCTCTTAAAGTTTACATGCTAGGTACATGCAAAATGTATTTGATGGTTACCTCACCACGGCATATCATCGAAACTATACATGCTAGGTTCACCAAGTTAATCATGACCCACAGATATGCCATGTGCTATAAAATAGCATCTACATCTATGTCCACTTCATTGTGTGCAACATGAGACAATCAAGTTCAATTGTATGTCACAAAAAAATCCATAAATTATAACCGTAATCAGTACATGCCAAAACTATTATCTAACATGTATATACAGATTAGTAGAGTCAAAGAGAAAGTGAGCTGCTGATCCTTGTCACATTATATATATCAATATCAGTCATTTCCATGTCCCAAAGTGGGAAGCGGGGGTATGTGAGCTGTGCTCACTTCTACACTTGTTAGTGTTCGTACCAAAGGTCTGGGTTCGATTCTTTCTTTTATGCAATGTGTAATGGTAACTTCTTTACCCTTTCCGTGATATTGATAGAATATTGCATAAAAGTTAACTTCACTCGAAACCTATAACCATGCAATATCTGGCAGTACAACGACTCTGCTTTCAGCAAAGATTCCTTTATTGACAGTTTTATCGCTTTTACCGACTGACCAAGGCAGAGCAAATCCGGACTCTTGCACTTTGTCTAAAAAGGCATGAATTCTGTGTCATCCTATTGTGCAGTTGTGATATTCCAAGCATTCACATATTCTGATCAAATGTCAAAAACTCAGAATCGTTATCAGAACACAAACCTTTACTAACTATGCATCGACATGTTCAGCTGTTCATATCTTCAAGGATAACTTAACACACTCGCCGATTTACGACTGTTATTGCCATTACGAAACCAGCCTCAAAGTATATTACACTTTCTGCTTCAGATTGCAGTCTTAAATGTGAAAATGGGGGTGCGCTTGACCAGGAGAAATGTGAGTGTAGTTGTTCAGGTATTACCGCGGTAATGACGATTGTGGCTGCTGCCATGCAAGACGGAATGTGTCAACGGCAAGGTCAACCAGAAGAACTGCGTATGTGACTGTTCACAAGGCTGGAGCGGTTCAGTCATTTCCAATGTCCCAAAAGTGGGAAGCGGGGGTATGTGAGCTGTGCTCACTTCTACACTGATTAGTGTTCGTACTCAAAAGGTCTGAGTTCGATTCTTTCTTTTATACAATGTGTAATGGTAACTTCTTTACCCTTTCCGTGATATTGATAGAATATTGCATAAAAGTTACTTCCTTAATTTCGAAACCTATAACAATGCAATATCTGGTAGTATTAACGACTCTGCTTTCAACAAAGATTCCTTTATTGACAGTTTATCGCTTTTACTGACTTTATTCAAGGGACAGAACAAATCCGACTTACACTTTGTCTAAAAGGCAGGAATTGTGTGTCATCCTATTGTGCAGTTGTGATATTCCAAACATTTACATATTCACGATCAAATGTCAAAAATCAGAATCGTTATCAAGAACACAAACCTTTACTAACTATGCATCGACATGTTCAGCTGTTCATATCTTCAAAGGAAAACTTAACACACTCGCCGATTTACGACTGTTATTGCCATTATGAAACCAGCCTCAAAGTATATTACGCTTTCGTTTCAGATTGCAGTCTTAAATGTGAAAATGGGTGCCAGCGCTTGACCAGAGAGCAATGTCAGTGTAGTTGTTCAGGTGGCTACTGCGGTAATGATTGTGGGCTACCACTATGCAAGACAGAATAAGTCAACGGCAAGGTCAACCAGAAGAACTGGCGTATGTGACTGTTCACAGAGCTGGAGCGGTTCAAAGTGCGGTCAGTGTTCTGCAGTGTTAAGTTTACAGTGATGCTGTTGTCTTTCTTTGCTTAGCGGATGTATTTGAATATATCCGTTCGAATTTTGTGTTTCATTTGCAGCAAAAATACTCGTGACAACCCCATAGTGACCTAACTTTGATTGCTGTGATGTAAAGCCCATTTTTATACATTTTCATTTGATATGTCTGCTTGTTTTATTGTCCTTTTGTATACAGGCATTTATACACTATCAATGTATTTAGTATGAATGAATTATACACAGTCACAATCCTTGCAACTCGCTGTCACTTTAAAACCCCGACTCGGGGCGGTGGATAGCCCAGTGGTTAAAGCGTTGGCTCGTCACGCCGAAGACCCGGTTCGAATCCCCACATGGGTACAATGTGTGAAGCCCATTTCTGGTGTCCCCCGCCGTGATGTTGCTGGAATATTGCTAAAACAGCGGCGTAAAACCAAACTCAGTCAGTCAGTAAAACCCTGACTCACAATCAGTTAGCATGTTAAGTTTGTAGCTGGACAAATTATTAGAGGCCAAGCTTCACATGCTACCAATTGATCACAAATTGACACAGGTTTCGCTAATACAAATGTTCAACATAATTCAGTAGCACATTGCCTAAGTTCCTAACCGGGCCATGTTACCAGTGATGTCACTGAATGGTTTAAAATTTCAGACTGCAGTCTTAAATGTAGCAATGGAGGTACACTTGACAAGGCCAAATGTGAATGCACGTGTGCTGGTGGATACAGAGGTGCGGACTGCACCAAGCCTCCATGTACCACCGTCTGTGTTAACGGCAAGGTCAACCAGGAGAACTGTGCCTGCGAGTGTAGCACCGGCTGGACTGGTCCCAAGTGTGGTGAGAGTATGACGACCAAACGTTAGGTCATACAAGTATTAAATTCAAATTATCCTCCTTTTGTAACAGATTGCTAAGTGTTTTTAACTTGGACAATCGGCGATAGAATGGAATCCACTGTTGTCCAAACATAAGATAAATCCCAAGTTGGAGCTTAGCATGACAGACGTAAAAGCATAACTCGTTTCAGTATTCCAAATGTGTAACGCCCAACGGTGTCGTTAATAGAAATAATTACTTTCTTCGAAATGGGATGTTTTCTCTGCCCTATACTAAGAAGCTTGGTTCACTGGATTATGTACTACATAAAATGTGGCGTTTCAGACTGCAGTCCTCAAATGTCAAAATGGCGGCACGCTTGATAAGGACAAGTGTACTTGTACATGCGCCGGTGGCTACCGTGGTGAGGATTGCAGCAAGAATCCATGTACCACACCCTGCGTCAACGGGAAGGTCAACCAGGAGAACTGTGCATGCGTGTGCAACAAAGGCTGGAGTGGACCCAAGTGTGGTAGGCTTACTGTAGCATATTTTCTGTACGCCTATTAGGTATCTGAATATGTAAGTTGTACCAGGATTGAGAACCAATGTTTCTGAAAACATTGTCATGTCCGTATTCATAAGACATTCTTCTTAAAATGGAAGATCGTACTATTCCAGACATATCATGAAGGCATATGTTTGAATCGCATGCAAGTGCACGCAAACGAGCACGGTTCGTATGCTTTATTTCTTAGTTTATCACTGGAAATACATTGTCAGTCGGATGAAGCAACTGCACTGGGTCTGTCATGTCATCTGACACTTTAGAAAACGATTGTACTTGTAGTTTAGGGTAAAGTTCCCAAACAGTCACGAAACATTTTCTGTCAGACTAAACTTTCTGTGTGATATTTAGATTGCGGTAGGCAGTGCGGCAATAATGGCACCCTTGAATGCGGACAAATGTGAATGCACGTGCGTTGGTGGTCACCGGGGTCTAAACTGCACCAAGCCTCCATGTACCACTGGAATGTGTCAATGGCAAGGTCAACCAGGCAAACTGTGCCTGTGAGTGTACAGCCGGGTGGAGTGGTCCCAAGTGTGGTGAGTATTGAATACATACCATGGATATCAATGTCTCTTGTATTCCTCAGGATTAATTGTGTGTTAGAATAGGTAATGTATAAAATCAACCATGGTCATAATAGTACTGCAGATGTTATCCTGCTCTACAATGCATTTATGATATACTAATGACTAACTGAAGAAATGCAGATTGTTGCATCTCTAGTAGTTAAAAGCCAACTGATTTAACATTTTGTGTACATAACATGTAATGAAAAATGAACTCTCCTACATGGAGACTTCTATGAACAATTTATCTAACACTAAGATGTCTTTAGCCACAAGGATACATTTTATTGTGCTCTTAAATGTCCTGATTTTCAAGATTGCAAGCTGTCATGTGCAAATGGAGGAACGCTGGACAGCGCCAAATGTGAATGTGCATGTGCTGGTGGCTACCGAGGAGCCGATTGTAGTCTGCCGCCATGTAATACAGCCTGTGTCAACGGAAAGGTCAACCAGAAAAATTGTGCTTGCGAATGTACAGAAGGATGGGTCGGACCCAAGTGTGGTAGGTTTCATTTTAAATGTCTGTATTGGAACCTAGATGTTAGTAGGTGGATGGTCACTGGATGTTCTCAACTGGTTCACTGGATGTTTTCAATACCAAAACATTTCGACCTGACGCCAGTATGTATGTATGTATGTATGTCTGTATTGGTAGTGCCACCGCCTATAGGAATCCATGTGCTCATACTGGATTATATTATACATGTACAACCAGTTCAGTTGTTTTGAACCCATTAAAATGTTTTCGTATTTTATTTGCAGATTGTGATCTCAAATGCGCCAATAACGGCACCTTGAACAAGGACACCTGTAAATGCACCTGTGCTGGTGGCTACCGAGGAGCTGACTGTGCACAAGCTCCCTGCAAGACAGCATGTGTCAATGGGAACGTCAACCAGAAGACGTGTGCCTGTGAATGCACGGAAGGATGGACTGGTCCCAAGTGTGGTACGTAGTTTGAATTTTAATGTAATTTATCTAGAATGAAAATATATCCCGAATAGATTGCGTACACATGAACTGCACAGATGTTGAAATCGATATTATTTTTACATATTTGAGAACCCGTCTCCGTTCACATTTTAGATTTTCCTAAGCATGTTCACTTATCAGTATCTGTTTTAAGAGCTATCAATTGATTCAACGTTAGATTGCCAGTTGGTGTGCAAGAACAATGGAAGCTTGGACAGTGCCAAATGTGAATGCACGTGTGTTGGGGCCTGCTACCGTGGTGCCGATTGTAGCAAACCCCATGCAAGACGGAATGTGTTAATGGTAAGGTCAACCAAGAGAACTGTGTTTGCGAGTGTTCCGACGGCTGGAGCGGTACTAAGTGCGGTGAGTACCATACGTTATGACGCTATGTAAAAATGTGATGTTAATGCGTGAAACATGGTCTGTTTAACAGAACGGACCTGAATATTTTAAGATTTGAAAAGGAACATATGGGAAGCGATAAATATTTCCTTTTCATTACAAATGTGTTCAGACAATTAGAAAAAAACGATGGCATATCTTCCGTTTCGTCCATATTCAGTAATTCATTAGTTATTTATCAAAGAAACTAATATGATTACATAGTCTCCTGGTTACAGACTGCAGTTTGAAATGTGCGAATGGAGGTACGCTGGATAAGGAGAAATGTACGTGCCCATGCACTGGGGGAATACCGAGGTAACGACTGTGCCCTTCCTCCATGCAAGACTGAATGTGTCAATGGCAAGGTCAATCCAGAAGAACTGCCTCTGTGAATGTACAGAAGGCTGGACTGGCGCCAAGTGGTGGTAATTGAGTGTTGCGCACTTTGCATAATGATTTCCTATTGTTTTGGCATGTTCGGCTTATTTCTGATTGTAACGAAAGGGCAAGCTTAATTGCGAACATGTTGTAGATTATTCATTGGTAACATGCCAATAAACAACCCGCTTTTCAACCTGGAATATTAAGACCTAAGATTATTGGAAAAGACAATTTAATCAGTTTCTTACATGTGGCTCAAGCTTTCACTATTGTACTCATTTTGACTTGCGGGTTTTCGAATTTGGAGATGGAGGGTGAACACGTCCTGATGGATGAAAGTATCGTGCACATGAAATAGTCCAGATGTCTGGCAATCCTTTTTAAGTCGGGGAGGTGTGGTAGCCTAGTGGTTAAAGAGTTGGCCTGTCACGCCGTAGACCTGCGGGTTCGAATCCCACATGGGCACATTGTGTAAAGCCCCATTTGTTGTCCCCCACCGTGATATTGCTGAATATTGCTAAAAGCGGAGTAAAACCATACTCACTCTCTCTTATTTAAGTCATATTTGAGACACGCGCCTCCATTTAAATTTGTTTTGTTTTCATAAAGATTGCAGTCTCAAATGTGCTAATGGGGGCACTTTGGACACGGCCAAATGTGAATGCACGTGTGCTGGTGGCTACAGGGGTGCCGACTGCACCAAGCCCCCGTGCAAGACGGAATGTGTGAACGGGAAGGTCAACCAGGAGAACTGTGCCTGCGTGTGTACGGAAGGATGGAGAGGCCCAAAGTGTGGTGAGTTGTGAAGAACGGTTTCATTCAAAACACTTGCATGCTTCAGCTAAACAAGTTTGCTATCTGATACAGGTAATTGCAGTTTACCCAAGGATATTTTCAATTTAATGTCGCACATTGTAGTATTGTGACTGCATGACCATAGATTACCTAATTCATTTGATAAAAATTTGTTTGACGTTGACGACCCTTTGACCTTCCTACCATTTGTCCAGTTACATTAGGGGTGCCTAGTGGTTAAAGCGTTGGCTCGTCACGCCGTAGACCCGGGTTCGAATCCCCACATGGGTACAATGTGTGAAGCCCATTTCTGGTGTCCCCCGCCGTGATGTTGCTGGAATATTGCTAAAAGCGGCGTAAAACCAAAGTCAGTCAGTCCAGTTACATCATGTTCAGATCTTTCAGATTACCCTTTTCTACACAAAAGCCGACTCTATCGATAATCTTCTGGTAATCTGGTTTCGCAAATGTCGGACATCTTCACCATTGTCACCCATCGGTTCAGACTAGTTAAAGCCGGTCAATGTCCAAAGAACAAATAGAAATTAATACCAGGCAATAACATCAAATCAGTGAAGCTGTGAGTATCATATTTGATCATCTCCTCTTTGTGTTTTGTAGGCAGAATATGGTAAAATGGTTAAATCTCCATACCCGTGTTCATGGCATATATGCTCACTCAGCTACTATGTTTGGAATGTTTCATTTCAGATTGTAGTCGTAAATGTAGCAATGGAGGAACCCTGGATGAGAAAACGTGCCAGTGCTCTTGTGTGGGTGGTTACCGTGGTGACGATTGTAGTCTGCCCCCATGTACCACGGTATGTGTCAATGGCAAGGTTAACCAGAAGAACTGCGTGTGCGAGTGTACAGAAGGCTGGAACGGTCCCAAGTGTGGTAAGTATAGTGTATAATGTATATTCTGAAATGTTTCAATGTTGTATTCAGTGTTTTTAAATGGTTGCTTCACACACCTAAATCACTAAATACCGCCTTTACTTTCTTGGAACATTATAGAAATTGTTGGAATGAAAATTTGCAGTTATAAAACCGAGGTATTACTTTTGGTAACGTTTCAGATTGCAGTCTTAAATGTAGCAATGGAGGTACACTTGACAAGGCCAAATGTGAATGCAAGTGTGCTGGTGGATACAGAGGTGCGGACTGCACCAAGCCTCCATGTACCACCGTCTGTGTTAACGGCAAAGTCAACCAGGAGAACTGTGCCTGCGAGGTGTAGCACCGGCTGGACTGGACCCAAGTGTGGTGAGTGGTCGACCACATGTATTAAATTAAAATTCACCTTTTGTAACACTGATTGCTAAGCGCTTTTTACTTGAATCGGTGCTAAATAGTGCTGCAAAGACAATAGACGCCAGAATGGAATCTTGTCTTGTCCAAACATTAGATAAATCCCAAGTAGAGCAGTGCGTGACAACCATGCTAACATTACTTGTTCCAGTATTCATAATGTGTAACGCCAAGCTTCGTCTTTAATAGAAATCCTTACTTCTTTCAAAAAGGCATATTTTCTCTGCCCAATACTAACCAACTTGGTTCACTCGATTATGTACTACATAAAATCTGGCGTTTCAGACTGCAGCCTCAAATGTCAGAATGGCGGCACGCTTGATAAGGACAAGTGTACTTGTACATGCGCCGGTGGCTACCGTGGCGCGGATTGCAGCAAGAATCCATGTACCACACCCTGCGTCAACGGGAAGGTCAACCAGGAGAACTGTGCATGCGTGTGCAACAAAGGTTGGAGTGGACCAAAGTGTGGTACGTCGTGTCCGTTTGAGTCAATCTCCCCAATGAATTGCACCCTAACTAAAAAATAATTGTAAATGACTTAAACCAACGCCAAATGAAATAGGAAAATCACGCCAAATTTGCAGAATTGTGATAATTTGTCCACAAAATACAGTTTAAAAAAGCAGCATTGGTTTCATCCGATGTTTCAAGATTTGTGACAAGGGTGTAGCAACAGCTCAGATAACATCCAGGCACACTTGTTACGTGACTGTTTATCCTACTGATTGAGCGATTGATGACTCTCACACAATGAAGTTTACTTCTGATGTTAAAGCTTTAATTTACAAGGTCTACGACTTCAAGTTGACTAACGGGATCGGGTGGTCAGTCTCGCTGACACACGTCACTGACACACGTCACTGTATCCCAATTGCGTAGATGCTGTTAACTGGATTATCTGGTACAGATTCGATTATTTACAGACAACAGGATATAGCTGGAATGTTGCTGAATGCGGCGTGTTTGAGTCACTAGCACAGTCCTGTACAGATGGATAAATCACAAGGGATAAGAGATACGGAATCGTATGCTATGATTGTATTTGTTACATCGATTGTGTATGTTCCTGTTGCTGGGAGTGCTGCTGTGGAATGTCTGGCAACAAACTCGTATTTACAACGTGACTTGCATCAGTGGCGACTTACCCGTTTCGTCAACACCTGGTATAATGAGTGATGTGTAATCAGTTCATAACATTTATAAAATTGTTCAGTGCGAATTTTACAGTGAAATCCTATTCTGTCGATAATTGGGATGTATTTATCTGTAGTAGACTTACATCAACGCCAGTTTGTAAGGTGTGAGTTAATTAGGGGATATTTCTGTCATTGACCCAATTATATTCACAAAGCACATGTAGGAAGCATGCTTACAAACTGGTTCTTGAAACACTTTAATATTAGTACTTACGAAGACTGGTCTTTCAAGAATAAGCCAGCAATAATGGTGATAGCACTAGATATGAAACATTCAGGCACTATTTATGTACATTCTGTTGTAATATTTAGATTGCGGCCGGCAGTGCGGCAATAATGGCACCTTGAATGCGGACAAATGTGAATGCACGTGCGTTGGTGGTCACCGGGGTCTAAACTGCACCAAGCCTCCATGTACCACGGAATGTGTCAATGGCAAGGTCAACCAGGCAAACTGTGCCTGTGAGTGTACAGCCGGGTGGAGTGGTCCCAAATGTGGTGAGTATTGAATACATACCACGGATATCAATGTCTCGTGCATTCCTCGGGATTCATTTGGGTTAGAATAGGTAGTGTGTAAAATCTCCATGATCATAATGGTAGTAGCAATGTTGTCCCGCTGTAGGCGTATTGATGGTGATAAACTAATGAATGAAGAATTGCACATGGTTGCATCTATAGAACTTAATAGCTAATTACTATAGTATTGATAAAAGTTCGTGGTCCTTAACATCTGTACATAAAAAGTGATTAGAAATGGCGACCCCTATTAACAATTTAACTAATGCTAATATGTATCTAAATTACTGTCGGGAATAAAAAACACCTGTATTTAGGCTCTTACTCTGTATCTTTACACAATTGCAAATAGCATATGTCGAAATAACCCAAATCGGCCTAACTGGGCGTTCAGATGCGTAGTAGGATATCCAGAAAAGCATGTTTACTACCAAAATCTGGCAAAGCCATCGTATTAAATGTGTTAACATATGTAGGTGGCATGACCACCCGAAGATCGACAGGACTGGATATTATTTGTAATTGTTATGACATGCCGTGTACTTCACCAGTTTAATTCCCCTAAAGGATTATAATATCTTGGCTGATATCAGTATCCCCCAGCCCGACCCCAACCAGTCTACGAGTGGACCCTGGTTTTGATTTTGAGACGTCCCCCTCCTACCGGTTTGTTTTATAGTGATAGTGAGACTCCATGGTAGATACATCCTTAATAGTTTCCATCACGCAGAAGGCCCGGGTTCGATTCCCCACATGGGTACAATGTGTGAAGCCCATTTCTGGTGTCCCCCAGCAGCGTAAAACCATACTCACTCGCCCAATACTTTCAGTATTAAAGTTATCTCTTACGTCAGCTATCGTTTACAATGAAGTTCAGTCTAACGTGTTATATTTGGGATTACACTTTCTTAGTAAAGTACAAATTCTAGTACTTTTTGAGTTGAGCCCCATCCGGGATTCGAACTCACACCCTCAGAGTCAGGCACCGCATTGCTCAATTCTGCACTCATCTCTCCTCGGTAAAGTCCTTTTTTCACTTTTCCTATCTCCCTACCACTGACTGTAGTTAGGCCGAACTTAGTCTAACAGATATTTCACTTTCACATATTAACTGCCTAAATTGTAGATATAAATGCGAAAAAAAAGGTGGTTTTTTTTCTACTTCCAACAGTCCTTTGGCCACGATTTTATACTGTTAAATGTCCTGATTTTCAAGATTGCAAGCTGTCATGTGCAAATGGAGGAACGCTGGACAGCGCCAAATGTGAATGTGCATGTGCTGGCGGCTACCGAGGAGCCGATTGTAGTCTGCCGCCATGTAATACAGCCTGTGTCAACGGAAAGGTCAACCAGAAAAATTGTGCTTGTGAATGTACAAAAGGATGGGTCGGACCCAAGTGTGGTAGGTTTCATTTTAAATGTCTGTATTGGAACCTAGATGTTAGTAGGTTGATGGTCACTGGATGTTTTCAACTGGTTCACTGGATGTTTTCAATACCAAAACATTTCGACCTGACGCCAGCGAAAAATGTTTCTACCTTCCTTGCTTATAGGACCCCAATGTGCTCATCCTTGGATTATATTGTACATGTATAACCAATTGAGTTCTTTCTTATTTACAGATTGTGATCTCAAATGCGCCAATAACGGCACCTTAAACAAGGACACCTGTAAATGCACCTGTGCTGGTGGCTACCGAGGAGCTGACTGTGCACAAGCTCCCCTGCAAGACAGCATGTGTCAATGGGAACGTCAACCAGAAGACGTGTGCCTGTGAATGCACGGAAGGTTGGACTGGTCCCAAGTGTGGTATGTAGTCTGAATTTTAATGTAATGTGTCTTGAATGAAATTGTATGCCCAAAAGAGAGCGTGTACACATGAACTGCATAGATGTTGAATCAAAATAATTTTGCTTTTGTAAATGTCTTAGGTTTTGGTCTTCGGAAGATATGCTTCATATTTAAATCGGTTGTGTACAAGACTTGTAGTTAAGATATCATTAAATGTTAGTGCTCATGTACGTTTCTGAGGGACATCTGTTCAAATAATCACTCATATTTGTGAAATGTATCAAACGGTGGTTATAAAATACACAACTGACAAGGTGAATACGAAAGTGTTTTTAGTGTTGCTCTCATGTACGTATCAACCGTCAGCGCATGCGTACTCTTGTACTCAGCAGACCTTTCATACTGACGGCACTATTCGTTACAGACTGCAAACTGAAATGTGCAAACGGAGGAAAATTGGACAGTGCCAAATGCGAATGCACGTGTGTTGGTGGTTACCGTGGTGCGGACTGCACCAAACCCCCATGTACGACGGCCTGTGTTAACGGGAAGGTCAACCAGGCGAACTGTGCCTGCGAGTGCACAGAAGGCTGGAGTGGTCCCAAGTGTGGTGAGTTGATAGTTTGTAAGTTTCCTATTAATATGGTTGTGGTTAACCTGAAAATCACGTCCTCGGATTTTAACCACAGCTTCCAGCATGACTTTAGGCCCAAAGGCTGCAAATGTGAATGTGATCGCGAGTCATCACTTCGTTCCAATGTTAACTGCATCACATTAATGTTTACGCAATCTTTCCGAACAGAAACTTTTGTGCTAATTATGAACCATGAAGCAAATTTTGAAGTCAAACTTAACTATGTGAAAGACATGCTATGCTATGGATGTTAAACTTTTCATCCTCAAAAGCTATTATATTCTGTAACTATTGCAGATTGCAGTTTGAAATGTGGCAATGGAGGAACCTTGGATAAAGCCAAATGTCAGTGCACCTGTACTGGTGGCTACAGAGGAGCTGACTGTAGTCTGTCTCCGTGTAAAACGGCCTGTGTCAATGGCAAGGTCAACCAAAAAACCTGCGCTTGTGAATGTTCCGAGGGTTGGACCGGTCCCAAGTGTGGTGAGTGATGGAATAGCCTTATGTCTTATCTGGGTGAATCTGTAGAAACTGCAGTTCTTCTTCATAGAGATCGTCCTTGGGGTACATATTATGCATTTCCCGGCTGAAAAATGTCCTGTGACAGTTGTATCAATGTTTTTTGAATAAAAAGATTGAACAATAAATAAACTTTTATTTATTATACGGCCCCTACCTCACGGAGTTACCTCCCGTTGCGCATGCGCACCAACTGGGTAGGCTCCTAGACCCGTATCATCATTCCTTCTGCTGTCACTGCCATGAACAGACGTTAAAATTCATGAGCCGTACAGAGCTGAACTTTCTGAAGAAACAGAAAACGACTGTGTCTGAGACACCACCTGTATGTATGGTATTTATTTGCCTATGAAAAGGAACAGTAAAGCTTTACAGTTGGTTGTTTCATAATTGTGACTTTGTATTATATTATATTACGCGAACTTTCTGCCATGGCGGGAAGTTTAGCGTGCCATGTGGTCGTAATATTGCGTATTGAACCAACTATTACCTTCCGTGGTAGCCTTCACGTATTTTTCAATGTTTTCTACGTGTATATATATGCTGCTGGTCCGCCGTTAGCTACATGCTTGCGTGTTTGCTTTCAGGCCTTTTCATCCTGTTCAGTCTGTGGACAGAGTATTCCACGGGCCGACAGGCATGACATGTGCGTCGCCTGTCTAGAGAAGACTGGCCATGACGCGGACACATGTCCGATATGTCTTGGGTTTTCCCCCCGGGCCCAAAAGCGGAGGGCGGCGGACACGCTATTATACAAAGAAATGCGAGAGGCGGATGGGGAACTGACGCAGGTCCCCCCGTCTAAGTCTAAGCGTAAGGGAAAAAAATCCCGAAGCCAAACCCCCTCTCCCGCTTCTACTGGTGGGTTTGATATGACACTAATGGACAAATTGTTTCAGCAGCATATGGACTCTGTGAAGTCCCTCGTTCGTGAGTCTGTTGGAGGTCTCCGGCAGGAGTTCCTCGGTCACTCCGGACGGGGGGCGGAGAGTCAGGGGGTGGGATCGCCGGGCTCGGCTCGATCCCTCAGCCTTGAGGCGTCTGTAGACCCGTTGCCTCTGGCTTCGGGTCCGGATGCCTCGGCTGCCCCGAAGGGGGAGGTGCTCCCAGTCCCCCTCTCGGAGTTGGCACAGGGACCGTTGAGTATTCCTGGTGTTCCGGTCCCTGCGCACTCCCGCCCCATGAGAGCGGAGGCACCAGTTCTGCCTGGTCTGCCTCCAGCAGCGTCGGGACCGGGTCCGTGCACGCTTCCAGGCGCCGGCGTGGAGCGCTCTGTCTGCTCTTCCCTCTCTGTGCTTCCTAGCGCTAGGCGCCCACGGGTCGGGGTAAGGGTCCTCTTTCGGAGGAGACCCAGCCTCTGACTCGGGCTCGGGCGCCGAGTCAATGGAGCTTGGGGAGGTAGAGGAGCATGACGGAGGTTTCCGTTTTGCTTCGGCTCTGAGGGAGGTCCAGCAAAGAATTGCCGAGGGCCTACCCCAAGCCGCGGTGCCTGTTGGCCGCTCGGACTTGGCTGAGTTCCGCTTGCCAGGCGAGGCGTTTGCCCCTCGGCAGCCCTCGCAGACGCAGCTCCGCATTCTGCCTTCGTTGGTTCAGGACGTGGTCGAGCCCCTCTTGTCTGGTACCCGTGTTCGGTTCGACTTGCCGGACTTAGTACGGAGGTACCAACTTGGGGAGGACTCCCTGTTCGTTGTTCCCATCGTTGACGAGTGCGTGTTCACTTCCGTCGCCCTGGGAGGAGGCTTGGCTTCCTCCGGAGCAGCTCCGGCTGCTCGGCAAGGGCGCCTCACTCCACCGTTTGCCCTCGCGGGCTGCTCCCTGCGGCACACGTACCGGACCTACGAGGAGGTGTACCGGAACGCGATGCAGCAGGTCAGGGTGATGGTCCATGAGGCCTACCTCTCCTCGATTCAGAGGTCGGCCCTGGAGGTGGAGGGGCATGCTGGGACTTAGCAAGGACTCTAAGGCCTTGTTGGAGCACCCGCGGGTGTCTCGCCCCCGCGCTCCCGTTCTACCTTCCTCCGCCGGGGTGCAGCCTACACCCGAGTCTGCCGGCTGGCTTCGGCCGCTTGGTAGGGGTAGGCGGAGGAGCAGGTCCGCCAAGAGTAGGGGCAAGGAGCAGTCCTCGACTAGCTCCCAGCCTTTTCACGGGCGCGGGAGGTCTGACCCGACCTCCCGTTAACCCATCAGGCTGCCGCTCAAGCCGTGTGTCACACCCAGTCAGCTCCGCTGCTCGGGACAACGCATCGGCTCCTACCCCATATCCCAGTGGGAGGCCGCTCTCTCTATTCCTGGCGGAATGGGAGAAGGCTACCAACAATGCTTAGGGGTGCTGGCCACGGTCAGCATTGGCCATTTACCACTGTGGAAGCGAGTCGGTCCGCCTGACTTCACCGCATACGCCGCCCTCACGTGCCGTCATGTCAGGCAAGGGCGGACATATTGCGCCGACGAAGTTCAGGCTCTGCTGGACAAGTCCTGCAATCGAGCGATTCCACCGGGAGATGAACAGGCGGATTTTACTCCATCGCATTTCCTCGTCCCGAAGAAAGATGGCGGGTTCCGTCCCCATTCTCAACCTCAAGGGGTTGAATCGCATGCTAGAAGTACCATCCTTCAAGATGGAGACACTGCGCTCGGTGATCTCATCTGTTCAGCCCGGCGATTGGCTCACGTCAATCGACCTAAAGGATGCGTATCTGCATGTGCCCATACATCCCTCGTTCAAGCAGTACCTTCGGTTCTCTTACGACGGGATGTGTTACCAATTCAGGGTGCTCCCCTTCGGCATATCGACTGCCCCAAGGGTGTTCACCAAGCTCATGTTAGTCCCAGCTACCCTCGCTCGCTCGCAAGGAAGGCGTTGTTACCCTTACCTCGACGACTGGTTGCTCGGAGCACTAACACAGCCAGCGAGTCTAGATGCTACTCACACAGTGATAGACTAGATGGTTTTTCTTGGAGCGCGATTCCAAACGAACAAGGATCTCGTTTCCTTGTCGCCCGACCAGATCACCAGAGTTTGGGAGATGGTATCTTCGTTCCTCTCCCAGCCCCAGGCACCAGCACGGACTTGGCTCCGTCTACTGAGCCATATGGCGGCGACGATCTCTGTAGTGTGGCGGGCGCGGTTGAGGATGCGTCCTATACAGCAAGCTTTGGCTCGGCTGTGGACTCACACGGAGGATCTGGAGCGCAGTCTCACAGTCCCCGAGTGGTTGACACCTCACCTTCAGTGGTGGACAAATGTCGGGAATCTCACCAGGGGGATCCCTTGGAAATCCCGACGCCAGCTCTCACAGTTCAGACCGATGCGTCCCTCACGGGCTGGGGGGGTGTTCTGGGCAGTCTGTCGGCGTCCGGACTCTGGTCCGAAGCCAAAGCCCACCTTCACATCAACGTGTTGGAACTGAGAGCTGTGCGGTTGGTATTCGAGCGCTTCAGAGAGCATGTCCGTGGCCAGGTAGTCCGTCTTCAGTTGGACAACCAGACGGCCATGTCGTACATCCTGAAGCAGGGAGGCACGGTGTCCCCAGCGCTCCTCCGGGAGGCGGGACTTTCTCCTCTGGTGCGATCAGTACGACTGTCAGGTACTCCTGTTTATCTCCCCGGGCTGGAGAACGTCGCGAGCAGATCGCGCCTTCGCCGGATCCTGGCCCCGCGAGAGCATGGATGCTCGACAGGCAGATTTTCAGAGTAATCTCCCCAGTTGTACGGGTCATTCCAGGTGGATCTGTTTGCGTCCGGGGGACGCATCAGACACCCATGTTCTGCTCTCGGATACCGGACCCAGGGCGTTGGCTGCCGACTTCCTGCTGGATTGGACTGGGCAAAGTGCTCTGGGCGTTCCCGCCGTTACCACTCATTCCCCGTGTCCTTTCACAGCTGTCCACCCAGCCAGCTCGGCTACTTGTGCTACTGGCACCGCTTTGGCCGTCACAGAGCTGGTTTCCGGTAATTCTCAGGTTTCTGGCTCAGCCTCCTGTTCTATTACCTTTACGACCGGACATTCTCACTCAGAACGGAGCGCCCCACCCAAATCCACGGATTCAGTGGGTGGCTTGGCCTCTGTCAGGTCTAACCTCGAGACACGCGGAATTCCTGCAGCAGTTGCAGACACAATTCTGGCTTCGGTGCGGATTCGACAAACGTTCAGTCACGAGGATAGGTGGTCCCGCTATGCGCGCTGGTGTTCAGATAGGGGCATTGCAGATCCCTTTTCTGCGGATTTAGTCCGAGTATTGGAGTTTTTGCAAGCTCGTTTGGAAGAAGGCCTGGCGGCTTCGACCATTCGTGGCTACTCCACCGCTATTTCCACTTTTCACACCCCTGTCGATGGTGCTCTTCTTCACAGCGCTTTCTTGCTGGCGCGGAACGGATTCGACCTGCGCTCAGGCGAACCAGTCCACCTTGGGATTTGTCAATTGTGCTAGATTGGCTGTCCGGTCCTACTTTCTCACACCTATCGGCTATTTCCATTCAGTTGTTAACTTGGAAAGCTGTTTTTCTGGTGGCGGTAACATCTGGACGTAGGGCGGCGATTTACATGCTATTTCGTCCGACCCGGCGCTGACTGTTTCACACGGATCGTGTCAGTATTCGCCTCCCAGATACTTACCGACCGAAGGTCGATCACGCTTTCCATGTGACAGCTCCTATCGAACTTCCTACTCTTACCCAGCCTTCCACATCGGGGACCACTCCTACGAGCACTCACCCGTTGGATGTCCGTAAGACGCTCAAAGTCTATATCAAACGAACGCAGGGAATCCGTACGGGTACCCAGCTGTTCTGTTACGGTGGCGGGAAGGCTGGTGTGCCAGCGAGCAGGCAGACTTTGTCTCGCTGGCTAGTTTCGTGTATTTGTGCCGCTTATCAGGCTAAGGGCAAGCCTCCCCCTGAGGGGTTGAAGGCTCACTCGGTCAGGGCAGTAGCCGCATCAAAAGCTTTGCATCGGCACTCCCATTGAAGAGATCTGCTCTGCCGCTATTTGGAGCCAGCCAAGCACGTTTATACGGCACTATCAGCTCGATACGCATTCCCGTAATCGTGCGAGCTTTGGCCGTACGGTTCTCTCCAGTGGACAGTGTCCTGCCACCCTGACCGAGTGAGTCTTGGTTTATTGGTTTGGTTTTTGACGCTGCTGTACAATAATTGCGTATTATTGACATATCTGCTACTGTGAGCTAACTACATGTACCCCCTTTCGATTCTCTCAGGAGTTATTTGTCGAATGTGAGCGGTATTTACATTCCCCCCTACGGTGCTCACTAATGGACACATGGTGGGTGGGTCTTTGACATTCGCACCACGTGCGTTGTCTCACTATGCTAAATGGAGGTCGTCTTTGAGTACACTTCCTCCCTGTCAGTTCCCCTCCCATGATGCCTCTCGCGGAAGCGAAACTAGGACAAGTGACAGGTGAGTGTTATGGCGTCTGTTCAAATTTTTTTCCATGATACGATCGCTATATTTTGTGTGTGCTTGGACAGAATTCCCTCCTCCCTGGCCTCCGGTCTTTGGGAGTCTGTGTTCATGCATAATATGTACCCCAAGGACGATCTCTATGAAGAAGAATTAACCAAACCTGAAGAGGTTTTCATTTCTTCGAAGAGAGTCGTCCTTGGGGTAGGGCCCTCCCGCCTCCCCGCAATTCTGTTCACTGATATATTCAGCAGAAGGAATGATGATACGGGTCTAGGAGCCTACCCAGTTGGTGCGCATGCGCAACGGGAGGTAACTCCGTGAGGTAGGGGCCGTATAATAAATAAAAGAGTTTATTTATTGTTCAATCTTTTTATTCAAAAAACATTGATACAACTGTCACAGGACATTTTTCAGCCGGAAAATGCATATGTACCCCAAGGACGACTCTCTTCGAAGAATTGAAAACCTCTTCAGGTTTGTTTAATTTCAAGTGCATATTTGTCACATAACACTGGCCCCATTCAATGTTTCAGATTGCAAGCTTAAGTGTGCCAATGGCGGTAAACTGGATTCGGGCACCTGCTCGTGTTCTTGTGTTGGTGGCTATCGTGGTGCTGGCTGTGGCAAGGCACCTTGCACGACGGCTTGCGTTAACGGCAACGTTGACCAGAAAGACTGTGCATGTGTGTGTACAAAGGGCTGGACTGGCCCCAAATGCGGTAAGGTGGAGTTGTTCATGTTTCGTTAACAGAACAAGTTTACGCCGCACACACCAATATTCTATTTCGTGGTTGTTTGTCTGGTCCAGGCTCGATTATTTACAATTAGATGCTCATGACGTTGATCACTTATCTACACAATTGGGATACGATGACGTGTCAAGCAAGTCAGCGAGCCTGATCACCCGATCCCGTTAGTCGCCACTTACAAGCATGGGTTGCTGAAGACCAATTATAACCCGGGTACGGTAACGGTAGAAACCTGACAGTCGGGTTCCATGGCTTGCTTCGTCACATGTCTCCGACGGCGTGCAGTGCTCAAAATATCACCGGATTGTTTGGTCCAAACTCTAGCTTCCGTTGTGTCAAGTGTCTTTGAGAGCCGGAGAAGATACGTTTTATGTTATCGTTTTCTGAATCTACCATTTTGTCGTGTCTAATTTCTGGTTTCCCAAATACGTGTCCGTGACTGGATTGGGTGATCCCCCTGACTTGATTCCGTTTCATCAGATCAAATATTCACTGGATTACTCAATCTCAGTTGATCCGTAGTGGTTAGAGCTCCGCCCGGAGAATCGCGGGTCTGATCCCCGACCGCGTCATACCAAAACGACGTTATGGTATTGTTGGTCCCTGCCTGGCGCTCGGCATTAATGGGTACAACAAGGACTGGTCGGCTCGAGTCAGTATAGCTTCACTGCGGCATGGTATCTCAGTGGGCTAGCACTATAAAACCAGCTTAAGTCTGGGCTAGTACAAGCAGCCGCATACACGCATATATATGAGCGAAATATTCTCAGATGACGTAAAACCCAATTTCACCTCACCTCACCTCCAATCTCAGTTGTTTATAGACGGCTTTCCAGGCTAGTGCAGCGGGCATTTTGCAGATACAGTGATGGGTAATTGTTTATATTTCTCGTTCTAGATGAAATCGACCAATTTCTGTATTTACTATAGACATACTGCCGAGTGCAAAAATGGAATACACTTCATCTTTTCATTTTTGTTTAGACAATACAGGATTCTAAGCATATTCTTAGACTACGTCTGTTACTGAAGTCGGTATGTCCGGAGTTTATATTTAGCTCATGGAGTGGTTTTTGAAGCGCCACGATGGCAGCAAACATTGCACGTGTCTGAATGAAACCCACTCGTACAGACATTTCTCAAGGTCATGTATTATGTGATAATCATTCCAGACTGTAGTCGACAGTGTGCAAATGGAGGCACTCTGGATGAAGCTAAGTGTCAGTGCGCATGTGCCGGCGGCTACCGTGGTCCAGACTGTAGTCTTCCTCCGTGCAAGACAGAATGTAAGAATGGCAAGGTCAACCAGAAGAACTGTGTGTGCGAGTGTACAGAGGGATGGAGCGGTCCTAAGTGTGGTAAGAATTGGATTACTACTCAATAAAACGTTTGTTTCTTCTCGTGAAGGTCCGGGTTAGAATATTGATCTTCAGTAACCCAGGCTTGTCGCAAGCGGCAACTAACGGAATCGGGTGGTCAGGCTCGCTGACTTGGTTGACACATGTCATCGGTTCCCAAGTGCGCAGATCGATGCTCATGCTGTTCATCACTGGATTGTCTGGTCCAGACTCGATTATTTACAGACCGCCGCCATATAGCTGGAATATTGCTGAGTGCGGCGTAAAAGTAAACTCACTCCTCTGTCGGCACCAGAAATTATTTATCTTTATTACAATGACTGACAGACTGCCAACTGAAGTGTCCTTATGGTAGCGCACTGCACATGTCTTCGTGCGTTATTCAGGTATATTTTGCTTTACAGCCTTTTAACTTTGTGCGCATTATACAAATGGTTGGAATGAAATCTGTTTCAAGTATGAAACCGACGTCCTATGTTTGGTAACGTTTCAGATTGCAGTCTCAAATGTGCTAATGGAGGAACTCTCGACAAGGCTAAATGTGAATGCACGTGTGCTGGCGGATACAGAGGTGCGGACTGCACCAAGCCTCCATGCAAGACAGAATGTGTCAATGGCAAGGTCAACCAGGCAAACTGTGCCTGCGAGTGTCAGGAAGGATATGTTGGTCCCAAGTGTGGTGAGTATTGTTTGAGGTTTTGTTGCTCATTTGAATTGATAGGGGAACCGGGGCGGTGGGGTAGCCTAGTGGTTAAAGCGTTCGCTCGTCACGCCGAGGACCCCGGTTCGATTCCCCACATGGATACATGTATGAAGACATTTCTGGTGTCCCCCTCCGTGATATTGCTGGAACATTGCTAAAGGCATAAAACTAAACTAAACCTCTTTTAATATAAACATTAAACGAAGATACTTTCAATGGCGAAATAGACGCCAAATGATACGTCTGTCATTATGGAATATCGGGTGCGAATAGCTTGTTTCAGATTGCCTACTTATGTTGCAGACTGCAACCTCAAGTGTGCAAATGGGGGTAAACTGGATCCAAGCACCTGCAAGTGCGCGTGTACCGGCGGGTATCGCGGCGCCGACTGTAACCTCCCTCCTTGTAAGACAGAATGTGTCAATGGCAATGTCAACCAGAAGAACTGCGCTTGCGATTGTAACTTCGGTTGGAAGGGACCAAAGTGCGGTAGGTGACAGCATATTGCCTGTCCATCTGTAAAGTTCATTACTGTAGAGAATTCATACTATTTGGGAATGTTATTGGAGTCACTCTCTACGTCTGAAGGCTTGACCTGATTCATTGTCCACTGACTTATAAATCAATGCCACTACAGTAAAGGATTTCAGTGTAGGACGGTGTGGAAACGTTTAGAGCTGTTCAGCTACTTCTGAAACAACAGGGCCCCGTTCCTCAAAGCGATCGTATCGCTACGACTGTCGTAACTCCCATACTTTAACATAGACTTACGACTGTCGTAGCGCCACGATCGCTTTGAGGAACGGGGCCCTGTATTCGTGTTGCAAAACTAAATTAACCCTATTATACCATGAATATACCGATATCATGTTCTGAGCTTGTTGCTATACTGACATTCAGATTTTTGTACTTGGTGTTACTGTAAAACGGATATACTGCAAATTCATACTGGTCTTCAGATTGCAAGCGGCAATGTAGAAACGGAGGAGTCCTGAATCCGGCAACATGTGACTGCGCATGCGTGAACGGCTATCGTGGCTCCCTGTGTGGCCTTGACCCCTGTACCACCAAGTGCGTCAATGGCAAGGTCAATCAGAAGAACTGCAAGTGTGAATGTTTGGAAGGCTGGAGCGGTCTATCTTGTGGTAAGTGGTTGAATAACGTTAGTTTATACAACTGCCATGCGTAGTTAGGTTAGAGCAAGATCCAGCCACCTCGTGTTAGCATAAATGTTAATACACAATCATCGGACAGGGCTTCCTGTGTTCGCAGATGAAACAATCTTCATACTGTAAAAAATACTCCACAAATTCCTAATGCCCAACACCTGCCTTTTGAAACAAATGTGGCACTAGAAATTGCCTTCCACTATTTTGCAACCATCGAGCTAAAGAATTTGATCACCATCTCCAGACTGTCAGCGAATGACAATAGGTCATGCCCTGGAATATCAAGGATGAACATGGCATCCTGCTATCATGAGGTGCTTGGCTCTCCGGACACAAATGGTGAAAAAGTGACTTTTGACAGGCTGTTTAGGATATATTTGGAAGAATTAAGTTCCTTCCCACTCATCCCCTACACGCAATTATATATCGTTGTTTATGCAGAGAGGCGGTGGGGTAGCCTAGTGGTTAAAGCGTTGGCTCGTCACGCCGAAGACCCGGGTTCGAATCCCCACATGGGTACAATGTGTGAAGCCCATTTCTGGTGTCCCCCGCCGTGATGTTGCTGGAATATTGCTAAAAGCGGCGTAAAGCCAAACTCAGTCAGTCAGTGTTTATTCAGCTTGTCGACCTCATTCTCGTCAATTGTTTTCAGATTCTCTCGTATATTAGACATGCGTCCTGACAACAGTGTTCAAAGGGTCAGTAACGTGGAGTTGCGTCCCTTGTATATTTAAATGTGGTTAAGGGCGGTGGGGTAGCCTAATGGTTAAAGCGTTGGTTCGTCACGCCGAACACCCGGGTTCGAATCCCCACATGGATACATTGTGTGAAGCCCATTTCTGGTGTCCTGGAATATTGCTAAAAGCGGCGTAAAATCAAAGTCAGTCAGTCAGTTAAATGTGGTTAAACATTGCCGGAGCTGTGAGAGGGCGACACGACACAACTTGTGTCCTGTTAAAATGACATCTTAACATGCGCTCTCAGAAAATATTTTGTGCTTAGAATGCGGACTGAAGTGTAACAATGGTGGCACCCTGCTAAAGCGGTACTGTCGATGCCTTTGCGCCAATGGCTACCGTGGCGACTCCTGCAGCGACCCCCCATGTACGACGGAGTGTGTGCGCGGCCGGGTGAACAAGCGCACCTGTGAATGCGTTTGCAGAAAATATTGGTCTGGACCCAAATGTGGTAGGTATATCGCTAAGATACTAGTAACAGTGAACGTATATAACGAACAAATACGAACAGCCTTATTTCTATTGTTTTCGGTAAGAGGGGAAGGGTTACGGCCAATTCCTGTACAGTTTAATCGATATGTCAATAATGATGTATACGTAGAAGTAATGTTGACTTAAACGTCTTATAGCCATAGTTTACTGTACATATTTACCTCAACATTTTCAACTATTCATGTCGTCCAATGGATACGAGGCCATCATATCCATTCGTTCTCTTTCAAGCTTTCCAGGAGCTATAGTCCGTTTGCAGTGAAAACGTACCGATGAATTTCACTTCAAACAAAAAAGTAAATTAATGAACTAAAGTGAAAATAAGATTGCGAATCCTCATAATTTTACCTTGACAATTGAACATTTAAATCAGAATTTAATTCATCTTGGGATACAATTTGTTTGACAAAAGACAAATAGATTCAAATCGCTATTATTGGTTTGTATTACAAGGGGGTAAGCGTAGTAGTTGAAACAGTGAAACAAATACACGTGCGGTAAGTGATGAGCGTTAACTTAGACCAACCCTACTTATTCTCGGTTTTTCTAATGCTGCATACTCCCTTGCAACACAAACCAATTACAGCTGTTTGAAACCATGATTGTTTGTTAAACAATTTTTATCCTAAGTTGAATAAAATTCTGAGATTTAAATGTGTAGAACGTCGTCTTAAACGTAATATCGCGTACAGTTGACATTGTGTATCTGGCTCTATTTTCAGACTGTAACCTTCATTGCCAGAATGGTGGCATCCTGGACTCAAAGACTTGTTCCTGCAAGTGCGTCAATGCCTACCGTGGTGCCGCCTGTGGTCTGCCGCCGTGCAAAAGCCCGTGTGTCAACGGAAAACACAACCCCAAGAGCTGTGCCTGCGAATGTTCCGAAGGGTGGAGTGGCTCGAAATGCGGTGAGGACAAAACCACTGAGCAGCTGCAGCATGGTCACGGTTCTAATTAATTCCCAGTTAGATTTTGTTCAAACGTAATTGCCACTGGCCCTGTAAAATATGCATACTTTGTGTCCCATTTCTTTGAGACCCCACTTTGGGACGGGTTTGTTGAAAAAGACAGGAAGGCCAAATACAAACAATTCTGGAACACTTGTTTTCATTAACAATATTTTTCACATGGTTGGTTTTGTCTGTTACATTTCATAAGCACTACAAGCTCGTTTCAAGTCATGATTGAATTTATCTTGAGGATTCCAAGAAATTTGTTCCCAACATACTAGTCATCCTTTTAAAGATGTGAAATTTTGCCAAAAAAACCCCTAAAAGAACTACATGTTTTTTTCCTTATTTTTATGTGCATTAACAAATTTCATAAATGACGCTAACCAATTATTTTCGATGATTGATCGGTAGTAATGAACCAATCATCAATTATGAGATTTGAACCAATTCTCAACACTACTGTCTTCTAATTATCATTAAGCTTCGGCTGAATAGAATATTTTTGGTTTGTTTGAGCTTTCACAATGGCAAATTTAAACTTGGCAGATAAATTCGTTTCAGCATTATCCCTCATTACATGACTCCTACTTAGGTTTTGCATAATACGCTCAGAAGCACACCCCATGTTACTGCAACTTAGTCTGAAAACACCCATGTCTCTCCTGGCGGTAATAATGAACATTGTCGACCCGTGAAGGTCCGGGTTAGAATTGATCTTCAGTAACCCATGCTTGTCGTAAGCCATCGGGTGGTCAGGCCCGCTGACTTGGTTGACACATGTCATCGGTTCCCAATTGTGCAGATCGATGCTCATGATAATCACTGGATTGTCTGGTCCAGACTCGATTATTTACAGACCGCCGCCATAAAGCTGGAATGTTGCCGAGTGCGGCGTAAAACTTCACTCACTCACTCATGAACATTGTCTCCACAGACTGTAATCTCACATGTGAGAATGGCGGGATACTGGACGGTAACCGGTGCGAGTGTACTTGTGTCAATAAGTACCGCGGCAAGACGTGCATCAAACCCCCGTGTAAGACTCCATGTGTTGAAGGACGCGTCAACCAGGACAACTGTGCCTGTGAATGTCACCTGGGCTGGAGCGGCGCCAAGTGTGGTAAGTCTGGGCTATAAATCAGTATTCCCTTCAGCTGGTCGGCCAGTACCTCCCAGACCTGTCAATATCAGGGTTAGTATTTATCTTCGGCAACCCATGCTTGTCTTGAGAGGCGACTAACCGGATCGGGTGGTCACTATCGCTGACTTGGTTGACACATGTCATCGTATCACAATTGCGTACATCAATGCTCATGCTGTTGATCACGAGAGTGTCTGGTCCAGACTCGATTATTTACAGAGCGCCGCCACATAGCTGGATTACTGTTGGGTACCGGCTTAAACAACCAACACTTTGTATCTGTATGTCATCCTGGTCAAACCCAATGTAATAGATACAAATACAAGGGTGGTCTAGTGGTTTGCTTGTCGGTCTGTGAGAACCAGTTCAGGCTATGGGGACCCATGTCCAGTTTGGGGTTCATCCTGACGCTTGGTGTTAGTGAGGATACTTGTTATCTCCATGTATCCTGGATAGTTAAAGAATCGACTATAGTACTGTCGGAAATAGAAAAAAAACTGTTTTTAGGCTGTTACCCTGTATCCCTAAAATTGACACAATTGCAAATAGCATATGTCGAAATAACCCACTTCGGCCTAACTGGGCGTTCAGTGGGATGCGTAATACGATATCCAGAAAAGCATGTTTACTCGTAAAAATACGAATAGCTGCTGAAAACAATAGATCAGACTATAGATGGCAATTAGGTCGCTCAGCCAGGTATGACGACGGACCGTCGACTCACCTGGCATGAAATGCATGTGCTGCCTACAGGCACAAGGGGTCATCTCAAAGATATTTTGTGCTTTTTCATGTGTGTTGACTATGTCTCATCTATTGATTAACATCTTACGTGTCTTTCTTTCATAAAGTTTATGTTGAGATATGTAAGAGTATGATACCCGAAAACCATAGAAACGCATCGTAGTATATAGGTGGCATGACCACCCGAAGATCGACAGGACTGGATATTATTTGTAAATTGTTATGACGTGCCGTTTACCTCCCCAATAATATTGCCCTAAAGGATTATCTTATCTTAGCTGATATCTCTATCCCCAAGCCCCACCCCAGGTTTTGCTTTTGAGGCGACCCCTCCTGTTTCTTTTTATAGTGACAGTGAGACTGCATGGTCGCTACATCCTTAATAGTTTCGGCATAAAGTTATTATTTTTTTACGTCAGCTATCGTTTATAATGAATCTACGACTAATTTCAAATCGGGCATTTAAAAAGTGTCCTTTGTAATATAATATCGTCGCACACTAATTTGCATAAAGCCATGGTCTGTTCCAAATAAGTCTTTTTGGACTTAGAAAAACCCCGCATTGCTCATTTCTGCACTAATTTCCCCTCAGTAAAGTCCCTTTTCTCCGTTTCCTATGTCTCTACCACTGAGACTGTAGTTAGGCCGAACTTAGTTTAACAGATATTTCACACTTTCACATATCAACTACATATTTTGTAGAGATAACTGAGAAAATAGTTTTTTTTCTATTTCCGACAGTACTATAGTTTCAGATTGTTTATCGATCCTATAATTGACAAGTTTACTTCCACATTACATGTCAGACGTAAGAACAAGGATACAGCCGAATTATTTTCCCTTGTAGATTGTAAACAGCTGTGCAACAACAACGGGACTCTGGACGTGTCCAATTGCAAGTGCGCATGTTCCGGGGCGTTCTACGGGAAGAGCTGTTGTAAGCGTCGCAAATCAAATGTTGAACTTTGTGCAATGTTAGCTATTCATGGTCCTGAGCACATCTCCTTGCATCTGTAATTGAGGTCAATGAACCTGTTCATCAACTAAGATGCTGTCATAATCGAATTGCCGACCGAAGTGAAACATAACGGAATATAACTTCTAACTCAGGAGGGTTGTTCTCAGGTGTACCTCTGATATTTCTCCCTGAGAGTTGACAACCTCTAGTACGTCATGCCTTTCTAAAAGATGACTGTAAAGCGTTTGTCGTCACGTCGATGACCCGGATAGGTACAATGTGTGAATCCCATTTCTGGTGCCATCCGCCATAACATTGAAGGAATATAAGAATAAGTGGTGTAAACCATGCTCGCTCGTAGGTGCCTGATATTGTCATGAACGGCTTAATGAAACTTGGTGTTACTAATTATCCATGACATTTATTCATCTCCGATTGGTTTTCGTCCGAATGAGCTTTACAAACAGCTGCAACAATGTTGACCACGGCGTACAAATCACTTTTACTGATGATTCTTTTTCAGCAAAATGCCGACGGAAATGTGAAACCCCGCAAGTCCTGTCACCAGCTTCCTGTTCATGTCAAGGTGACATTTGATAACGTTGTCGGAACATCAGTCATTTCATCAGTGCTTATAAGCTTTGTGGAGGGGTATGTGCAATACAGATAGGTTAAACGGGATTGGATACTTGCCTCCGGGACGGTAGGGACGACTATGCCCCAGTATGATTGTTGTAAAAGCTAACATATAGGGTTGATAAATTAGGCGTCAAGTTTCCATGACAAGGTGGAACGGTTTTCAAATCAAGATGTTTCTGGGCCAAATCGAATATTTATGGGACGTTTTGCAGCTGAGATTGCTCAGTGTGGCATAGCACAGTGTTGCTGAATATTGCAAATATTTAGTCCCCTCTAGTTGCCTCAAGTAGCCTCCTTGCCCCTTTACTGGGTTTGTTTGAAGCCTATTCTTAGCTCACCTAAATTAAAATATAAAGAGTCTCATGGCCTGAATTTATCTTTGCGCGTAGTTAGTGACGAGTGGATGTATATTCCATATTTAGCGTGATTCGTGTTTTGGGTCCTTTTTTCACCCTTGCACGTTGGTCGTAAATTCTTTTCTCGCAATATATGTAGTAACACCTTAAGCCATACAGCTGAAACTAATTGTTAATAACCGACTAGACCGTCCTGTTTTCAGCTTTGCCTCCCTGCACAAAAACCTGTTCTAGTCAAACGGTGCTCTACAAACGAACCTGCTCCTGTGTACCGAACACTGGTAGGTGAAACGTCTACTTGAGTTGGGGTGGTGGGGAAGCATGTTTGTTACAGCGTCCACTGAGATGGATTCCTTACATGGGTACAATGCGTTAAGCCCACTTCTGGTTTTCCCAGGGGTGGTGCATAGGTGCTCTTGCAAATAATCACTGGTTTGCTTGGTCCAGACTTGATTACAAACTATATATAGCCGACGAGTTCGGTTGTCAGGAGCTAAACATTATCAGCAGGAAACAGCTACCATTACGATTCCTTTCAGGCAAACTTAATCATTCGTAGTTTGAGTACTGCTCACCTCACCTCATAACATTATTTTCACACATGCAGTGAACTGCGCCCAGTTCGACGGCCCCAAATGTAAGAAAGTAGTTGAAGGCAAGTTCTGTGGTACCCCTGCTTCTGATGCTGACTGCCCTCAGGGATGTGGACTCTGTGGTGAGTATGGCAACTTTCAAAACAAGTGTCGGGGCAGGGATACAATTTCACGCTACACCAAGTGGGTTTGTCTTGCATGGCTCAAGGGAGGTGAATTGGATTTCGATGTGGCGCAATACAATAATGTACATACAATCAACATTCAACTGGAAACTTGTATCGAGCGTTAACAGTAAACTGTACGCATTGTCATTTGTAGAGTTGACTAGAATATCAATTGTGTTTTACAGAGCGGGACTTCACTCCGCCGCCAAAGGATGACAAGCCCAAAGCACATATAGACGACGAGGAAGAAAATCCCTTTGGTAAGTAACACCAAGGCATCCTAACGATCTATTGCTCCGACCCTTAGTTGCTTCAGGTCATATACAAAAGCTGATTAGGATATCTCCACACTAAATTATTGCAGAGTTGCCATAAGGATGCAAAGTTTTCTTTAACAAGGATCCACTGCTCATAATTATATTCCTGCTGCGTTGGTCGTTGCTCTAATATCGATCACCAGATGGTCTTGTCCAGTCATTTACAGACATGTGCCAAGCATCTGGAACATTTAAACCGCATGAAATAGACCGGGAATTTTATGTGTTCTTTTGCACCTTGCAGCAAGTGGGTGTGGTAAGGCACCGGAAGTAGCCAATTCGAAGCACGTCCAGGATGGTGATGGATCCGTCATGACTGTTATCATCTACTCGTGCCTTGATGGCTTCACTGGAACCGGGGAAGGCATTACCCAGTGCCAGGAGGACGGTACCTGGTCGGATTTTGAGTTCACCTGTACAAGTAAGTGTAAGACTCTTGCTATTTAGCCGAGAGTGTATTGAATTTATTCCCGATTAGAAGTTGCGTATATAGGTTTCTATATTCAGTACTTATACGCTACTGTCCATGACCGCATATGTAATAGTAACATGGAGATCGTAATTCCATCAAATTTGTTGCATATAACTTTTTTCTTTAGCCGGGAATTTATTCAACCTGTTTCCTGTCACCCATATACTCTTGTACATATTTTGAATGCTTCCACTTTGCCAAATTGATTGCTTCACATAAATACCTAAACTGATTATAATAACAGGTTAAAACCTCCATTTAGATAGAATTAAATGTCATAAGAACTCTCACTTACCAATGCTAAATGCAGTGTAAAACCCTATTCGCCTGCAGATTATCTGTGTAAAGCGCTTTTCTCAGGATGAACAGAGCATCGACGCTCTAGTTATCCCCTTGTTTGCATGCTACAAGTTTGCTCGCTTTCTGCTTGATCTAGCCAAGGCTAAGAGGAGTATTGCTGGATGCGGACCCCCACCTGAACTGGACGGAATGACGGTGACGTTCAACACCACCTCCTCAGTCGGCGCGACCGCTATGTACGAGTGCCTCAAGGGATACATGGGATCAGGATTTGGTCTGTCAGAGTGTTCACATGACCATCAGTGGACGCGACCAACACTTACATGCTCCGGTGAGATCACGACCAGACATTGCCCTGATCTATAATTACTACTGCACGATATTGAAGGTTTTGCGAAAAGTGTCCAGCTGCTCGCTTTGAAAAGTGTATGTCTGCAAAAAGTTAACGAGGAAAGAATGAAAATTTCCAAAGGGTAGCAAAGACCGTTCACTGCCTGCTCCTGGAACACTACTGAATTGAAGACACACGTTTCCATGGCAATTGGCAATCATTATTTACGAGCAAGATGTTAAGATATATCCATTTGAACGAGTCCATACTAACAATTTTAACGCCAGCATACAGTAAAAAGCTAGGTAATGATAGAAATTAAAGACTTAAGTCTATAACTATATATCTAATTCACATTCATATGTTTGTACTTGCAGCCAAATCAAGTAACTGGATACAAATGGGGCAAGCACTGCAATCCCACAATCCACAGTTCTACTCAGTCGTACATGACCTATTCTGGGAGTCGTGTTCACCAACTATGACGGTCTCGGTGACCTTGGGACAAGACAAGATGCTGTTCTATCTTCACAACGTCGGATGGGACGGGTCTGACATATGGGGGCAGTCGGTTCTCAGGCTGACCAAGCAAGACTGGGATACGTTCTCCTTAAAACCAAAGCGCGAGTACAACATCTTCCTCACTAACTCGGACTGGACCATCCTTGTCGTCGGCGATGACGGAGTATACGAGAGGAAGACTCGACGTTCTATCCTAGATTGGTCCTATAAGAATGATTCCTGTCTGCTGCACGTTGGTTCTGATTCGGATGCAGTTCTGGCAGGACTTCTGGATGGAAACGGCCTACATCAAAGGGACATAACTCACGTTGATGGAGAACTATTTGCTACTCAAAGTCAAAGTGTATCAGATTTCAAAGGTCGAGAAACAGGTTGGTATACCAAGAAAGAATTATCAAACGGTGTTCAAAAAGTAATCCGTTGGCATCCAAACAAAAAGACAGCGACTGCCAGCATTGATGACGAGACGCCGCAATGGTGCCTGGACACGTGTTGGCACGAAGTATCCTTGACCAAAGACACGACTCGGCTAATCAACGGGATCATGGCTGGACACAATGCCCTCATAAAAGTAGGCAAGCTATTAGGTACAGCTCGAGACATCATTGTCTATGAAGGTCATGTGACTGCAACCCTCATGGAGTATTGGTCCCCCTCTGACCAATCAGCATTCTCGGAACATTCTGAACAAGTATGGCAATCCGTTTCTTCCCAAGGGGAAGTAACCTCGTGCAGACACAAACAGGAAACATCAACGGTCACATCCTACACAAAAGAGAATCTCCCAAGTCGGTGGTTCCTTGACAGTCGGCCATGGAGAAAGGTTTTATCTGTTGATTCTAAAGGAATAGTCATTTCGGGCTCCAAATTGGATCTCGCTGTCAGCCTCAAAGCCAGCAAAGAACTGAGACTGGGCATCCGTCTCACCAGTGGCCTCCTCCACTACATGACTGTCGACACAGTGGTTTTGCGGGATTCAGGCGATGTTGCTGCGGAGGTCACAAACCATCCGGGTCTCGAATTGGACAAGGATTCAAAGTTCAGTCTGTATTCTAACTGCCGCACATGGTCAGCTATTATTACGACAGAAGGACAGTACAAAGTGTACGAGTACACCTTGGGCAACGTAGGCAAACACATTGTAAGGACGGATGTCGTCAGTATAGAATGGTTTGTGTACTGATCTTTCACCTTGGTGTCGGTTGCAAAATTTTACGTAATAAAATGGTCCATGGTTTCTGTTTCTTTCGTTTGTCAATGAATTAGAATATAACTTGTCACCCATGGCCACACGTTCACTCACCTCGTCCGGACGAAAAACCTGGTTCCACAGGGGTTCCAATCACTGAACAATATTTTTTTTAAACTCAACTTTTGCAGTGGTATGTTTTTATGTTATGATTAACAAATATTTCAAATTTGAACGAAGTGTATTTTATGTAATGAGTGTAGCTGCAGAACTTCTCTAAAATATTCATTTCTTCACCGATTTCGTTCAAATTTGAAATGTTAATATACGATTGCAAAAATCTAGAGTGTTTTTTAAATTACTGTTCAAACAGTGATTCGAACCCCTGTGCCTGGTTCGATTCCCGGTGCCCCGTTCCCACCTCGATGCTGTAATATTGCTCAATGCGGCTTAAAACAACACATGCACAATGCTACTCAACGTTGATAAGGATATTTGTATCTAAATGAAATTGCCCATTATCGTATCAAGTATACATTTCAGTAAAACATGATTATCCTCATGGAATGTTGTTCATGTGAAAAAGGCCTTGGCCAGCAGATAAGTGTGTAAAGCTACGGTAACCGCACGCACGCACGCACGCACGCACGCACTCACGCACGCACGCACGCACGCACGCCCGTCCGTCCGTCCGTCCGTGTTGGTGGTAGCCGTTATCAAGCAAGTGATAAATATAATGTATTAAAGTTGTTCTTATCTTAATGTCCCTCGAAACGCTTGTGAGTATCTAGCCGGGACCCGATAGTTTAGACCGCCATGGGTCCCCTGCCGCGATATTGCTGGAATATTGCTACAAGCTGCGTAAAACCAAACTCACTACAGTCCGTTTGAGTCAGAAACGGACCGATGAATTGCAAATTTTATCATTGTACAAAATTGCCACAGAAATATAAATAGTACACATGTTTATCATTTACTAATACCCAACAGCTTTCTTATATTTGAAACTATCATTGAAAACGCAAAAGTTGTTATCTGTTGCGCCGGGATGAAACCGCAGAAACGGAACAGCCAGTCATGGCGGGGGACATCTCAAAATCTATTCCGGGACACCTGTCGGTTCCTCATCTGTCGTAGTGTCATAGTCAGGACTTAAAGGGATGACAAGTGGTGCCACAGTTGCCTGTTGTAAGCCATCCCGAGACCAGTAACCTTGTTCAATGACGTTAGCTACCTTGTTGACACAGTTTTGCCAAGTTTCAGTCGTGATTTTGTTAAGGGATTCCTTAACCAAAACCTCTACGTCACGTAATCTAAAAGTTGTGTTTGATCTGGCAACATCTCCTGTGACAATACCCCATATCATTTCAGTGGGGTTAAGGTCACAGTGATAGGGTGGAAGTCGCAGACTATCGTGACCCTTACTTTTTATGTAACTGTCAACTTTGTAGAAAGGTTCACCTTTGTGGGTTTTATGATCTCATATAGCTGAGGCTTCGTTGCCTTTTGAAGGCCGTGCGATCTGAAATTTGTCGAGCCATGATATCATATCACCTTTTCGACTGTTCGATGTCGGGGCTTTACTGTCGGGGTCCTGCACGCTGTGGTATGGGGCATTGTCCATTACGATAAAAGACTTCTCTGGTAGAGCTGGTACCAACTTGTTTTTAACCCAATCGAGGAAAACCGCACCATTCATCTCGGAATGGTTGTCTGTTATCTGTGGACTTTGCCCTGAATACCAAGTAGCAGCCTTGGAGAAAGCCTTTGCTGGAGCAACTAGCATGGAGAATGATTAGTCTCTTTTCCCTAGATACAGCTTTCTACCTGACCCCTTATCACCACCATCGGGTACCCACTGACTACTGGCTGTGTGCGAGGCATTGACCCAGGTCTCGTCCAAGTACATTGGCTCGAACCCTTCCTCGCGCTTCTTCTTTATAACCCTGAGAAAATTATTTCTCAAGCGAACAATATCAGGGCGTTCACAGAGTACTGACCTATTCTCCCCCGAAATTTTCTTATAACAATACCCGTAAGAGTCGCCAGAGTGTGTACTTTGATACTCTGAGGTGTTCTTGCTTCAAATGCTTTTTCAGCGACATGTATTTGTTTTCGGAATAGAGCTTGTTGATAGACAGCCTTACAAGGTTTTTTTGAAAGTTGTCCAAATGTTTTAATTTGTGTGATTTTGACACGACCCCTACCTGCTTCGCATCACCCTCACAATGTTTGTGTTCCAGAACATTTGTCAGTACCCTTGCTGATACTCCTAAAGCTTTTGCTGCCCGCTTACGGTTTTATTAATGGCATAAACTGGTTTGCCCCTTTCGGTTTCAGCACGGAAAAATCGTACACTTTTATCATCAACTGTTTCACGTCAGCATTCAACTTCATTTTCCATCGGGCATGTGTATCCCGTGCATGACGAGATAGTGGCTGTTCCGTTTCTGCGGTTTCATCCCGCCGCGACACATAACAACTTTTGCGTTGTCAATGGTGATAGTTTCTTAAACAACCTTTTTGGTGGAGTCCGGAAAATTTTCAAATATTAGAAAGCTGTATTTATTAGTAAATGATAAACATGTGTACTATTTATATTTCTGTGGCAATTTTGTACAATGATCAAATCATTCATCAGTCCGTTTCTGACTCAAACGGACTGTAGGCCGTAATGAATTGGCTGATAAACGACCGACGCGGCCTTTAGAAATTCTTTTTACAAGTATTGGCCAAGTTGATATTCCTGTTTGGCATGATTGAATGCTCTAGAATGACGACTACATGGATCAGTTGTACTTCCGATATGAAGCACTGGTTTGTCCAACTCGATTATTTGCAGGCCGCTCTGACATCGTGCATTCCTGGTATCTGGAGATAATATTGTCGCATCCACACCATGATGTCTTTTCACACACCGACATACTCGCCTACACCTTGATTTGATTCCAAATTCAGTGTATTTGTGACACTGCCGTCAGTTTTGTCTGTTTTTCTTTCAGGGAAACGATCGCAACAAAGCACATTCGTGACACACGATACATTTTAATGCATATGCAATACAAGTATTTATAAATAAGGTCAACGTTATCATTCGCCGCTTGTTCAGAGGAATATGGTTCAGAATAATTCTCGACAGTCTGTGTCACGATGCTAGTAAATGACTCGCGTGTGTGTCGTGAGCCCACAGCGTGGATCTGTTCCAATAGCGATTACATGCTGCTGTCAGAGCTGTAAAATTGCTGCGAGGAGTAATCGCTGAACACAGTATGCGCCATACAATGTCATTGTGTACACCTTGCACCTTTCGTTTTCAATATTGGTGAATAGATGGGTCTATTGCTGTGGTGAAATGGTGCTCTTTTCCTATATCCCTCTCCAACACAACTGATGTGGAAACTGGTTTTGTCCGTCCATCCGATTCCAGAGCACAACTCTAACCAAGAGTCAGCGCAGACAAGCTTGCGGTTGTAACTTTACTTGTTTTTCCCACATTTTTTTAAAATGAAGTTTATCATTGTTTAGTCACAGAACTGAATGAAGTGGTTTAATTTCCAGAGCAGAGGTTACACGTCTTTACAAAACTCGCTACCCACATTCATCATTTCATGTAGACAACCTATGCGATGAATTGTTTACGGAAGTTATTTCACACTTGAATGTTTTTCCTGTGTTTGGACACAGGTTACAGTATGTCTTGTATTCACTCTTCCACAAGGGACCACCTCCGTGATGTAGTGGTTAGAGCGTCCGCCCGGAGGGCGCGGGTTCAATCCCACCCGCTTCATACTAAAAGATATTAAAATATGGTACTTGTTGGTCCCTGCCTGGCGCTCGTCGATAATGGGTACAACAAGGACTGGTCGACTTGGAGTCGGTATGTGTCTGAGTGGGGTATTCATGCTTCACTGCGGCATGGTATCTCGGTGAGCTAGCACTATAAAACCAGCTTCAGTCTGGGCTAGTACAAGCAGCCGCACATGCGCATGCTCGTCGTCAAATGAGCGAAATGTTCTCAAGCACGACGTTAAACCCCATTTCATCTCGCTTCCACAAGAAAGTGGGCAAACCAGTTAGTATTTACTTTTGATATTTTTACCCCAGCTTAATATCGCAGCTTGTTCCTCTTCATCTAATTCATATGCAAATCAGTGTTTAATTTTCCTTTGTTTAAACTGTGAGTACAGATATTCTTGTCTTCGGAGACCACCTAACGTCACTGAACGTAAGCTACACATACCTACGAGCCTGTCAGACACGATCAAACGTGGGGACTGGCCCAGATCGTGAGGAGCGAACGGAAGACGCAGCGACTCTTGGCCTTGTCTGCGACAGCAACACCACCGACTACTTACTCTTGGAAACTTGAGTAGATCAGATGGATATCTAGAAGTTCGGACGGAAAAAAATACAATGTCAAGACAATTATTCAAAAAACACGCAAACATTCCATCATGCTCTAAGATTAGGTGTGAGAGCCTTGAGCATGTACAAGTTGCGTGGATATGTGCAGTATATAAATATCCTATTATCCATCATAATCGGGTATTTTTGACATTGCTAGCATCTTTATAACCACCCAGCTTAGAGTTCCAGGTTCCCGAACAAAACGCACGTCCTGTATATGTATAGTTCTACTGCTTCTACCACTGAACATGCTTGTCCAACGGATAAAATATCGTCTTATACATATTACACATTAATTACGAAACGATTCACGAAAACATGGTCTTTGTTACATGTGTGCTAAAACTGCAGATGTTGGATGCATTTGGGGTGTTTTTGTTCAATTTTGTCAGTCGTTTTATTCAATTCAGTTCAGCAGGTGTTCATTGTGTAGCATCAATGTTTAAAGTCAGTGGTCACACAGCACAATTGAAGCGTAGTACTACGTAAAATAATTGACGTTTTTGTTCATTTTAATTATCGCAACGTCATCGTACGGCAGTCATATTTAATTGATCTGCTTGTAATCGGAACTCTTAACCAAGGACATGGACGGGACGACAAACGTTGCATCAATGACAACGATTCTTTTCCTCATCATT